CAATATCATCATTCATGCATCTTACAAATCTGATAAATTTTACTTATGCGTGAAGAGACTAATTCTAAGTTTTCAAGTAGGCCAGATAATATACCATTCGTTGCACCCTACTTCTAAATTTTTTTAAAATTTCCATATGTTCCACGTAAAGTAAACTTTGGAGTGATAACTCGGGTAATTAAAGCATCCACTAGCATGATCTAGAATGGTGCAAAGTAATGAACTTGAAGTAAGAAATTGAAGGAATGAACCTTGAGAATATCATTGTGAAGTTTTCCTATCAATTTACATTGTTCATTTTGTTTGGCCATTGGGCCTAACTTACTCCAGCAAGAGAAAGCAGGCTCATCTTAGGATGGAGGGTCAGCCGACTAGCATGAACACTTTAGGGTGGACTGGGTGAGAGGGGGAGAACACCCCTGAGATTAGGGTTTGACTAGGAGAGGTGTGGGTTTCTCAAATACCCTCATGTCATCTAGGCTTTTTTTTTTTTTTTTCCTAACTCACGTACAGTGTCTTCTTCCTCCCTCATGTTCAAAAAGTTATCACAGTTTGGTGTCAAAGCTGGTTGTGGCGCCTAAGGCGAGGGACAATCATCTCAAGGTGATGAAGGAAGACCTCGACACTATCCATGGCCATGTGGAACGGATGAAGTAGAACCTAGCTCACCTTCTCAACTAGTTAATGCAGCACATTGAAAAGCTGGAGACCAGACCAATGCCCTCCAACAGGGGTAAGGAAATAGGCGAACCAAATGAACCATCTTAGATAGACAGAAGCTCACATGTCAATCCAGATCATGTATTGAGAAGACCAATGATGATAGAGTCACATGCACGAATTAGAGAAACCAAGGTGGAGACTCAATTAGAAGTACTTTATTCAACAAGGACAAGATGGCCAAGTGGTTATTTAAACGTGACACTCCATTTCAATGCGAGTCAACAAGATTTCACGGTATTTTTTTATCTCCTTCTTTGCTTTATGTGGACGGTTCAACTTAGCTACCATGTGGGTTTTAGGTTAGAGTATTTCTTCAATCACTGATCATATATTTTTCTGCTAATTATCTATCCAGCTTTTCACATTATCACTATAATACTCTTGATTTTAAATTCTACTCATATTTTGATTTAAATATGTTGACCATCATTTTTTCTATTTGTGCATAACTTACTCTCTAAGTTTGAATATCACATCGGTGATTATATGTATTTGATTTTCGAAATAGTTTTCATCCTAACACTAATGTCTTCACATTACTTAAAAGCAACATTTGAATCTCATTAATGACTTTAATTTTGAGAACATATGAAAAACTTATCACACACGTTAACACACATCATTTTTGCACTTATATTTAAATATAGAGATGTATCTTAATAGTGTGGCTCATTAAATTTGTTGTTAATCATAAGATTGTACATAACATCAATCAATATATGCAATTTGAATATTTTTCAATAATACTTGTCATATGATGAAAAAAAATATGATCTATATTAGATGATTTCATGAATTATGTCATAATTAATTCAAGAATAATTCATACTTGGATAAGTTGGGAGGATAATTTTTCCCAAGCTCAAGCCTAGTAGGGATGTTAATGGGCCAAGTAAGCCCAAAGGCCTTCCTTTACTCTCTCTCTCTCTCTTAGATAGGTGATGACCATTTAGCCATCCATTAATTGGCTCATCCCTCAATGCTTGGGCTCTATTTTTTTATCTGAGTCCTATGATATACAATCTCTATCTCCCTCTCATGAGTGATGGAGGTGGGGGGCAAAGTGACTCCCAAGCCTAAGATAGGTCCAAAGACTGGTATGTCAATACCACACTTCCATTGGTTGAAAGATTAGAAACTTCTCAACATGCTTATGGGAAACTTTTGATTCTTAATGATTTACGAGCAAAATCATGATTTGTATGTGTTTCTAGATGACAAAATTAGTGGTAGATGATGTATGTGGACACTTGGGGGGTTTTCATGATGGGATCTGAGTTGCCCTAGTAGCTCCACATAATGTGGTTTACTATGGACTTTGGATCTTGTAAGATAGAAGATGACCCATGTTCTTTATTTTTTTCTTATCATATGGGATCGTTAGGAGAGAGAGAGATCACCTCATGATGTGACTTATGACGATGGACTTTAGGTTCTGTAGGAAGATAATAGATGATCAATGATTTTTTATTTATTTCTTATGTAATATGTGATCTTTAGGAATTTTTAGGAGATAGAAGGAGATAGTGAGCACCACATGATGTGGGTTAGGGTGGACTTTGGTTCTAGTGGGAATATATCAAACAGCCCATGCATTTTATTTATTTCTTGGACCAAATGTGATCTTTATGAATTTTAAGGGGGGAGGAGAGAGAGAGAGAGAGAGAGAGAGAGAGAGAGCACGACATGATGGACTTCACATGTTGTAGGAAGATATTAGATGTTTTCGTTTATTTCTGATATCATATGTAATCTTTAGAAATTTTTAGGAGAGAGATGGAGAGCTTGGAGTGAATTGAGATCTCGATGTTAAAATCTATAAGATTATAGACCACAAGTGTCTTGGGTTAGAGGGAGAGAGGAGATAGGAGAGAGAGAGAGAGAGAGAGAGAGAGAGAGATATTCCTCTCCCTTAAGCAATAGGAGAGAATGACTAGCATAAGATTATTATCCAGGACGATCTGACCCGTAAACGATGATGCTCAGCCACCTCTACAGTTAGCCGAGAAGACGACGCATATCCTGGTCAACCGCCGCCGCCGCCGGACCTCTAGATTCTTTGCCCTGGGAAGGCGACAATCTGGAGGCGTGCGGAATAGGCTGCCGCCGTAAGCTGACATGGTGACGACGGACCGTCAACCGGTTCACTAGATTCTCGATCCGTCCGCCGTCTCCAAGGGGACATCTGGGGGAGGCTGACGCGGCAATAGACGGCCCCCACACTTTGGGCACGTCGGCGTCAATCCACCGGCGTCGTGGCGATGACTTGACGGCGCCGCCGGCGGTTGCGACTAGCGCCACGTGTCCCTGGCTTGTTAGGCACTCTTTGTCGGACGTGGTGACGGGGATCCACGTGGAGATATTATGGTTAATTGAACAGATACCAAGATTAATCACCTTATCACCCTATTTTCCTTAAAATAATATATAATTAATGTAAATTACTCTTATTTTCCAAGTCAAAGTAAGCACTTCTTTCTGGATCAAGGGTAGAACATTCAAAAGTCAATGGATCCGGCCCATTTTAGGTATAAAAATTATTTTTCTTAATATATTTCGATAATTACAACTTATGTATGGACATCTCATTTGACCAAAGGTGGGGCATTTTTATTTCATATAAAGATTCGTCTTTTATACCCACTTACTTGACCCCTATCTGAATTTGAATTGACCAATGAGATTAGGGGAATCCACGGTTGACTTTTGGAATCACTTCAGTTTGGCAGCTATCGCGTCATCTTTATCGCGTGTGTGCTGTTAATGTATCCGCGTGGCATACTGTTCACGAGGTGCACACATCAATGAAGGATAATTACGCATTTTTTTTCATTTAACGTACATTATATAAAATATTGAAAGAAGGTGGATATTTGGGAAGTTTTCCTCTCGAAAAGGGGTTAGCGTGTCGCAGCGCACATCCTCGTCGTCCTCATCCCTCGGTCCCAACTGGGACTGCTTTCGGCATGCCAAACAAGCTTCTCCCTCTCTCTCTCGCTCTATCTCTCTGTGCGTCTCTGTGTCTGTGTCTCTCCCTCTCCACTTTTCCGCTTTTGGGTCTAGGCCCTGGTAGGTGGGGGAATTGCGGGGGGGGGGCAGAGGTGAGAGAATTCTGGCCCCCATTAAATTTTTACCGCGGTTAATGCACATGGGAAGAAGACGGTCCTGCCCATTCCTCCGTCGAACCCGGATCCCTGGATTCTCTCTCTTTCAGACCATACTTGTCTTCTCCCGGAGTGTCCTTGGCGGAATAAATGGCGGAAGGATAGCGAAAACCTCGGTCCCAGCCCCATCTGCCACGCCTAAAGGTCGGCCTTTTTGATTGTTCCGTCTCTTGGTGGTCGTGGTTAAAATGCCGGTGGAGGAGGAGGAAGATGGTTGAAGAAGGGCAGCTAGGAGAAGGAACCCCTGACGGCTGGAGAGGGGAAAAAGTGTCGACGAAAATGGTGGTGGGCTGTCTTGTGGGAGCCAAGTCCTTCTGTCCCCTCTGTTTTCCCTCCCCTGCCACCGCCGCCGTAGACTCACTGTTGAGATGAGGCGCCTCCCCAGTTGCTCCTCCGCCTTCGTCCTGTTCGTCCTTCTCACGATTTGATTCTGTTTCCATCTCCGTGACTGCCCTCAAATCTCGCACTCTCCACTTACTCATTCCTTCCGGTTGTTCGAGGCTTCTTTCCCTTTTTCTGACCATCCAAGGAGCTCGTCGGCAGGGGATCCCCATGGTGATCCCGGATTTTCCCAAATGCAGGATCCTCTTCTGACCCGTTTATGGCAATCAAGATCTCCGCAATCCACGGCCGAATAAATGGTCTTCGGGAAGCGTCACCACCCGCAGCGGCAGCGTACTCCCTCGCCGGCGGTCATTAGAATTCACGCTGGAGCAGCCCAGCGGAATCGGATAGTTGGTGGCTGGTCGGCGGTGGAGGCGCTACGGATCCTTCTTCTTCTTCTTCTGCTCTCCGTCAGATTGAAGGTCGGGATCCGTCTGTTCTTCCTCTTCAACTGTAAATAACCGCTGCAATCTCCCTCCGCCGGGAATTTTTTGGGCATCACCGGGTGGGGTAGATTGACAGAGGCCGCCTTCGTTCTCACACAACCCAGGACAAGATTTTTTGGGTATTCCTCGGCGCCACAGGGACTGTAGCGCCTACAAGAACACACAATTTTAGCTTCTTTTTTAGTTTTCATTGGAAAAATTCTCCAATAAATAGGTAATTGAGAGCGAGCAAGAGAGAAGCGGGAGAGTGGAAGCTGCTGTTTTTGTGAGCAGTTCCTGCTTTATGGGAGTTACCCGCCGCCTGTTCCTGGACTTAATTCAAGAAAAGGTCAGGTCTTGGTTGGCAGGGTTTTTGGGCAAATCAGGGATGTCTGGTTCAACTGATTGCCTGATGTGCTGCAATTGCTGCTCCCGTGTGCCGGCGGGCACCGGCAAGCTCCGGTGCCGGGCCTGCAGCCGACTGCTCTGTGGCCAATGCATGCCGGCCACCGAAGGCATAGCAGAAGTGGAGGAACCTGGCGGCATCCTCTGCAAGGACCTCCCGTGGCGGCTGTCCATGATCTGCAAATTCTGCTCTCAGGCCACCGGCCTGGTTGAAGCAGTGGCAGAGCCTGAGGAGGGAACGGAATCCTTGGCATCCCCCCAGCAGCGGTCCTCCCCACCATCTCTTCACTGCTCCACTGCCAGGTTTGCCTGGCTCCATGCCATCATAGCTGCCCATCTTGGGTTTTGCTTCTTGATTGTACCGGTGATCACCCTGTAATTCTGAGTTGCAGGAGCTTCGATGATGAAGAAGAAGAAGAAGAAGAAGAAGATGGGGAGTGCCCGGGGAAGCACTTCTGGAGCCCCTGTAGCATATTCTCTCAGGATGTCTCTGATGTAGATCCCAGTAGTTTCAGCACTGGAAATGAGTTTTATAATTTCAAGTGCCTGACTCCGAGTCCCTTGGACAGCCCTAACAGTTATGAGCCTGGGAAGCTCGATCTTCTTGAACAGGATCCCCTCGACAATCTTAGATCATCTGAAAGGGTCACAGGGGATCGGGTAGAACTTGCTTGTGCAAGGGACGACAAGTTGATCCACTTCGATAGCAAAGCCCAAGAGGATTCCAAGCCATTAGACATCGAGAATAATGACCAACTTTGGCTCCCACCGCCTCCAAAAGACGAAGGAGATGATGTTGAAAATGGGTACTTTGAGTATGATGATGAGGAAGACGGTGTGGGCCGCTTGGACTTGTTCTCGACATCCAGCAGCTTTGGCGTTGGCGATGGTGACAATGTTGGTAATGATGAGGATGACGATGATGATGATGGTGGTGGTGGTGGTTTCGCAATCAAGGAGAGGCCAAATGACGCCCAGAAGGAGCTTCTGCGGACTTCTGTTTATGGGCACTTTAGGGCTCTAGTTTCTCAGTTGCTGAAGGGGGAGGGGATCTCTTCTGGGAGCAAAGAAGGGGAAGAAGGCTGGTTGGATGTGGTTTCCTCACTGTCATGGCAGGCGGCGAATTTTGTGAAGCCTGACACCAGTCGAGGGGCCAGCATGGATCCAGCTGATTATGTGAAGGTTAAGTGTATACCCTCTGGTAGGCCAAGGGAGAGGTATGCTGTTTTTCATGTTCTTTGATATTTTTGTACCGCAGTAATTAGGATTACTTTTCTATTATTATTTTCTTTCATGTAATGAATTAATTTATTTATTTTAATCTTAAGAGAAAGAGCCAGTGATCATGGCGATTGGATTATGCAGTAGAAATTAAAGACAATTTTGTCTTGTTTCTTCAGTGTGCTCGTGAAGGGAGTAGTGTGCACGAAGAATGTGAAGCACAAGAGGATGATCTCTCAGCACAAGAACCCTAGATTGCTTCTTCTGGGAGGAGCTTTGGAATATCAGAAGGTATCCAACAAGCTGGCATCTTTAGAAACCGTCCTCCAACAGGTACCTTTTCCCATCCCCAACCTCTCTCTTACTTACTCTTTTTGAACCTTGGAAGCTTGGATGGAATCTGAACTGGGGTTTTGCAGGAGATTGATCATCTCAAGATGGCTGTTGCAAAGATTGAGGCCCACAGGCCAAACGTGCTACTGGTAGAAAAGAGCGTCTCTTCGTATGCCCAAGAGTACTTGCTTGCAAAGGAGATTTCCCTGGTTTTAAATGTGAAGAAGCCTCTTCTAGAGAGGATATCCAGGTGCACTGGTGCCCAGATCTCCCCGTCGGTGGATAGTATTGCCTCGACAAGGTTGGGGCACTGTGAAGTATTTCGCATCGAGAGGACCATTGAAGAGGGCCTTTTGGGAAACCAGCCTGGCAAGAAGTTCAGCAGGACTCTCATGTTCTTTGAAGGTTGTCCAACGCGTCTAGGGTGCACGGTAATACTCACATTGTCCATATCACTGGGCATTGGATAGCCGCATTCTGCTTAGTTTCATCACCCTTGTTGAAGTAGAGCCGGAGTTTGAGTCTATAGTATAGATGCTTTTAGATGAAACTTTTTTATGTGGAAACTATTATGGATTAAATTTTAACTCACGAGCTTGAAGCTTTTTAGATTTTTCTGTCATATTTGATGACAAATCATGTAGTGGGCAGTTGGAAATTTACAAATTTAAAGTTATTTTGTGTATGGGTGCAAACTTGAGTGGAACACGGTTTTATGATCTTATTACTAAAATGAGTTGACATTTTTACGTTGGGTTTGACCTTTCAAACCCTGCTATCAAGTTCATTGCAGCATATTGACATGCATGTCCTTGGTGTTTGGCACATAAAACCACCCGCAAAACACCTGCACTAAGTAACAACAACACTGAATGGAGGGTAGTTGCCGTGGGATCAAGTTTGATATTAATTCAAAATATAGTTTAAGAATCTAGATTTTATACCTGGACTCCACTTGTTTATCTCATTTCCTAGTATGATTATAGGGAAGTTCACCCCTGCTTTATTTGTAAGAACTTGCTGCCAAGGCTCTATATGTTGGAAAGCTTAGACAACCTGGAAGCATGCCTTGTATGCCCGATACCTTGGGGAGGCTCATCTTGACCTGATATCATCTTTCTCGTCCTCCACTGGTTATTCTGCTCATCATGGGTCAATTGCATCTCATTCAAACCTCACAGCATTGGAACCCAAATTTTTGAAACCTCCTGCATTCGTCCTCCATTCTCGAAGTTGAGGAAGAGGAGATCTCGGAAGGAGGCTGCCTTGGATTTTGGTTAGTTTAATGGTCGATGACATCTAGTCATGAGGTGTTTACAGAGCCTTGGTTTGGCAAATTTCTGCCGGTTTTGTTTTGGTCCCTCTGTTGCTATTCCTCTGAAGGAAACAGGATGAACCCAATGAGTACATGTGAGACTGGGGCAGTGTTGGATTCGTATGTTAACTAATAGGATCTGTAGCTAGTGAGGCCTGAAAATTAACTAAAAACTCTGCACTCCCTGAAATTACCCATCTGAGAGTTACGAATTTCTACTTTGGTGATCTGTGTAGGTCCTCCTGAGGGGCCCGAATCGTGACGAGCTGAAGAAGGTTAAGCATATTCTTCTGTATGCTAGCTTTGCAGCATATCATCTTTCTCTGGAGACATCATTCCTCGCAGATTCAGGAGCAACTCTTCCAAAAATGCCACAGAATCACCCTCTGGACTCACCTTGTGGAGGGGAGTATGCTGCTGATTCTGTCTCAGATGCTTTGGATTTTCCAAGCCTTGATGGTCCTTCTCCAAGGCACAGCGGGGGATATGTGAGGAGTGAACGAGAAGAATGCAAACCTCCCTCAGATCAAATCAGTACTAATCCCACCTGTGCATCAACTTCGGATTTGTCTCCGCGAGGAGGGTTTTGCTCTTCTGTATCTGCTCCAGATCTAGCCTCGGCCGTGACCAAAGATTATCAAGCTCTTGATAGAGGTGCCCATGGCCCTTTGGATTTCTCCACTGATGTGCAGAGTGATGGGATTGAATTATCCAAGAATGGAGCTCATGAAGAAAGGATGGTTCGGATGCCTACTGGGAACGATAGATCTCCCCCTGGTGATTATTTCTCCACATCCGAAAGCCAACAGAGCATCCTGGTCTCTTTGTCGAGTAGCTGTGTCTTGAAGGGCATCGTTTGTGAACGATCGAAGCTCTTCCGCATCAAATTTTATGGCAATTTTGATAAGCCACTTGGAAGGTATCTTCGTGATGACTTGTTTGATCAGGTATGATTCTTCATCCTCAAGATGAAAGTTTCTCCTTGGAGATGCTTATCTAATGAATGTATAAAATAAGAAAAGAATGATCTTGCTCTATGCCAGACATCTTTCTGCCGGTGCTGCAGAGAGCCTCCAGAGACCCATGTTAGGTGCTTCACTCACCAGCAGGGCAGCCTCACAATAAATGTCAAGCGGCTTCTGTCGGCTAAGCTACCCGGTGAATGTGATGGGCGGATATGGATGTGGCATCGGTGCCTCAAATGTGCTCAAAAGGACGGAGTTCCACCTGCCACCCAGAGGGTGGTCATGTCTGATGCAGCTTGGGGGCTCTCCTTTGGGAAATTCTTGGAGCTCAGTTTCTCAAATCAGGCAATCGCCAACCGTGTTGCGAGCTGTGGGCATTCTCTCCAGAAGGACTGTCTTCGCTTCTTTGGGTAATTACCTTCCCAAGATGGCCCAACCAGTTGTTGTTGTTGTTGTTCTTCTTCTTCTTCTTCTTCATCATTTGTTTTCTGTTAATGTCTCGGGCTTTTGTTCCTGCCCAGTGACTAGTGTTGGATTGTCTGTCCTCTCTGCTGACAGATTTGGGAGTATGGTCGCATTCTTTCACTACTCTCCTGTAAACATCCTCTCTGTCCGACTACCCCCATTTGTGCTTGAATTCGCCTCTCAGTCCCAGCAAGAGTGGTTCAGACGGGAGGCAGGGCAGGTATATATATGCCTTTGGAATGATTTAGTGGTGCAGCTATTGATCAATGAACTATATGCTATCTATGATTTTCTTTTCCCCATAAGCTAATATATCCAACTTGTTGCAAATGCTCATCTACCCACAGATCGCAATCAAGGTGGATCTTCTCTATGGGGAGGTGCTGGATGTGCTTCGTGGCATCGAGCAGAAGGTTGCTACTTATGTGGACGAACCATTGAAAGCCAGTCTTGGGAATCTACTGACGGAGCTGAGAGATTTGGTGAAAAATGAACGGCAGAAGTACGATGTAAGTGCTCATTAGAGAATGATCGCTTCTTTCATGTACTCATCAGTCTCGTTTGAGTGGGGCCATAAATCAAGCCTTGGCATACCAACAGGTCTTCCTGCAGTCGGCAAATCTGGAGAGCTTTCAACTGGGCCATACAAGTTCAGACGTTCTGGAGCTCAATCACCTGAAACGTTGCCTTCTCATCGATTCTTATGTCTGGGATCGCAGGATCTACCTCTTAGACTCCAAGGTCAAGGGTTCCTCCTCGGAGATTGATGTCCACCTCCTGGAGGTCTCAATTCACAATGGCCTGATACAGAGGAGCGAGTCATTTCCTATTGGCAGAAGGGCTGACTTCTCTCCAACGTCCAGTGCCAAGGAGTCAGAAGGTGTCGACTTGTTGACCAACCCGGCTGACTGCTGCGCAGAACCAGCATCGACAGACTTGATTTGCGATGAAAACAGTTGCAATGAACAAATGGGGGGCAGTGCTGCTGCTGAAAGGTCTCCCATGGGGAGCTCATCATCGCCTGGGTCAAGCCTCTCTGACAAGATTGACTCCGCGTGGACAGGTACCTGGCATTCCCCAAATGGGTCACCTTTGAGCGATATCGACAGTTCCAGAAAGTCAACCATGACCCCTGTCAGGGTCTACTCCTTTGATTCCTCTTTGGTTGTACGCCAGAGATTCCATGACCTGGCTCCCACGCTGCCCTTGCCGATGACTGGGGGTCATCTGGGCTTCGTCAGGGATCCGAGCCCGAGTATCCAGAGGGCCTACTCTCAACATTCCCCTGGGGGAATCGAGAATCTGAAATTCCTCTTTGGCCGCATGCCGCTCTTCATTTCCTCAGCGAACAGGATGGTGAGGGACGGTGCTAGACTATTACTCCCGCAGACAGGTGGCCGGAATGTTGTCATAGCTGTCTACGACAAGGAGCCCAGCAGCGTGATAGCTTATGCCCTCAGTTCCAAGGAGCACTCAGACTTCATCACCAGCAGCTTGGACCAGGACGAGACGCTTGAGAAGGACCCAACCAAGGACCGGTGGGGTCACAGAGGAGGAGCCGCTGCGTCGCGGTCCTTTGAGCTGGAGGACGTCCAGTCCCAGTATTATGACTCCGAGGAGGCATTGTTTTCCCAAGTGAGCGTCTACTTAGAGCCCAAGCAGCCCCATTTTAGGTTTTCTTTCGTGGATGAGTCCTCAATCCCGGCAGAGAAGGCGAGATTCTCTGTGACTTGTTACTTTGCAAAGGAGTTTGATGCGCTCCGGAGGAAGTGCTGCCCAAATGAGCTGGACTTCATATGCTCGCTGGGCCGATGCCGGCAGTGGGATGCTCAGGGCGGGAAGAGCAACGTCTACTTCGCCAAGTCGCTCGACGAGAGGTTCATCATCAAGCAGGTCACGAAGACGGAGTTGGAGTCCTTCGAGGACTTTGCCCCGCAGTACTTCAGGTACTTGATTGAGTCAATTAACTCGGGGAGCCCAACTTGCCTCGCCAAGATCCTCGGAATCTACCAGGTCAGCCGCCAATAATTTTCTTTAAAAAATCAAAAAAATGTTCTTTTTGTTACCAAATGAAGCTTTTTTTTAAAATTAGAAGTGAACCCTTCTGAGGCGGCGGTTTCCAAATCAGGTGACAATCAAGCATCTGAAAGGGGGGAGGGAGGTGAGGATGGACCTGATGGTGATGGAGAACCTCTTCTTCAGAAGGAATATCTCAAGGGTTTATGATCTGAAGGGCTCTTTGCGCTCCCGCTACAATGCTAATACCGCGGGGGGGAACAAGGTCATGCTGGACCTGAACCTACTCGAGTCGCTACGCACCGAGCCGATCTTCCTTGGGAGCAAGGCAAAGAGGAGCCTGGAGCGAGCTATATGGAATGATACCTCCTTTCTTGCGGTAAGTCTGCTCCCTGAACTGCAGTCATTGAAAATTTCTTCATTCTAAAGAGCAAAAAATTTAATGAATCACAGGGCAATCCCTTGTTTCCTAGTCATGTAACAATGATGAGATTGGAATATTCTCAAAATCATAACCTACCCCTTTACTTACCCCGGTTTTGGTATGGTTGACTATCTTACCCACATCTGAGAAGAAGGTTTCCATAGATTATATGCGGACAAGGGCTGACTATCCATCGGGGTCTGGGGTTTATCCTTGATTATGTGCGGTCAATTCTGTGAATTACTTACTTTTAATGAGAAATTCCAAGAAGTACCACCCCAAAAAGATTCGATCTTTGCAATGTGGTGGAAGGCCCGAGGGCTTGGCCTCTGAAAACCTGAACTCCTCTCTCTTTCCGACATAAAATTGGAAATGACTGAAGTCAACTTCTGACATTATTTTGGAACTGCTACTCCATGGATCGTTCTCTTGTGCTCTTCTCCCCAGACGGTCGATGTCATGGACTACTCCTTGCTTGTGGGGATCGACGAGGAGAAGAAGGAGCTCGTCCTTGGCATCATTGACTTTCTCAGGCAGTACACGTGGGACAAGCACCTGGAGACCTGGGTCAAAGCCTCCGGCATCCTCGGGGGCCCAATGAATGCCTCCCCCACGATTATATCCCCCAAGCAGTACAAGAAGAGGTTCAGGAAGGCCATGTCCACTTACTTCCTCACAGTTCCTGACCAGTGGCTCCCCTGAGAGAAGATCATTCACAAGCTTGAAAATTCTTGGATGAACTGAGCTGCTCACATTCGATGAAATACCCCCTGCCGAAAGTTTTCTTTTTTATTTTATTTTATTTGGAGATGGGTTTTTTCTTTTCTTCTGGGAATCATCTAGAGATATACTTGCTGGTGAAGAGATGATCCAATGAACTTGTTTTAGGGTTCATCGGTTTCTCTCTCCTCCCTCCTGTTGCCCGTCTGTAAATTATGTCCTGATGAACAGTTTCTCAGAAATTTATTGATATTTTTTCCATTAATTACTCCCTTTTTCTCTGGGTGTTCGAATTTCTCTCAGACACAGATTTAACAGTCAACGGCCAGGATAGATTAGCTCCAGCTGATCCTCCACTTTGCAAGGAGCTATTTTTTATATTATATATATATATATATATATTTTTAATATGCAGGGGAAGGAGATTTCACCCTGGGCTTTAAATGGGCTGGGCCTGAGAGTGGGCTTCCTTTACTTGTATGAAGCCCAGAATTAGGCTCCTAGCCAGAGTTGTATAAAGCCCATACTTGGCCCTAAGGAGCTTAGGCCAGGATATCCTAGCAATAGAACCTTAGTAGGGCGCTCTTCCTTATTGGGGAATACATGCTCTGGATCCTCTCACTATTGTTGCCTTGCATTGACCAGAATGAGTTCCGTCAAAGTCAATGGCACCATGTGGGGCCACCTGGTCCAATGGCTTGGACCTGGGCCCACCTGTTCTGCCTTGTGGCTCAATGGTTCTTAGTTGACCTGGGTCTATTCTCGAGATAAATCTTTATAATTGGTTCCAAGATGAGCTACACAATCTGGAGAGTACCAGCCGGCCCGTTGACAACTTTGACTTTATCTGGTTATAATTTTTCTTTCATATCATTAATGTGTCTAAATTGGGATCCAAAAGACAAATACTCTGAATTCTAGTACTATTTTCAAAGTGAGCTTATAAAATGCAACATATGTAAGATCATTAGACTAATATTAGTAAATATAGATGATTGGGCAAAATAAAAAATTATGTGAATTTTGCTTTTGAGTGATATTGTGGAGTACCTATAGTAATAATTTAATTAAATACTCTAATATGAGTGAAGTAAAATAATTAAAACTTTAATATGGGTTCAGACCTAATAAAAAAAAAGAGTAAAAAATCATTGAAAAATATGTTATCATATCCACATAAACCTTATAAGGTTCATACCATGTCCCAGATGTTTTTTTTTCTTTTTTTTTTGGTTAAAGTGTGTTCAATGAGGTTTTTCTCCTTCACACTCCTTTATTATGAAATACCATTGTTCCAAAGTTTGCATAGTATCAATCATATCATTGTCCTTACTACTATGTTGGTTGGTAAAGGTCCTCCAACATTGCATGACTACCCTTCTTACATCAAATATGATTAATGCCTCTCTTAATATTTTATAAATTATTATTATATTAAAATTGTGCAACCTTGAATTAAATTTTGGTAGTAAATAGTGTTGAGATCACTATGTGGATTAAAAATTATATTGATAAATCATTTAAATTCCTTAATAAAGTGTTTTTATTAGAAGTATGTATATGATTATTTGTCCGAACTATATGCACAATATTATTGTGAGACATACCAAATAAATCATGAGGTTAGGATTTTTAGGTAGTGCAAAAAAGGTATACCCAATTCTATTACATGATAGCTACAATAATCTATATTCAAGGCATAGGATGGTGTGAAGATTAATCACATTCTCAACCACACTTAGAGGTGACTTTGAGGGTATTTTTTCTAATATACTTCACATATATCAATTTTTACTTGCTAATTATATAGTTAATGAATTCTTTGTGGAAGAAGTCTATATGAAATTCTCTTGAAAATAGGTTTCTTCCTCTTTAAGACATGAAATAATATTAGAAATATTCCTCAAGAAAATAAAATGACTTAAGAAATAAACAAAATATTTGTCTATGATATGTCTAATGTGGAAATAACTATTAGGTTGTCCCTACTTACATAAATAAGCAAAAGGCTTTTCTCTTCATATCAATCAAGTGCCTACTCAAGTTCCTTGCCTCTCCTTCCATTGGATGTACCATGTAGGAGGAGCTCACAACAACTGTTTCTGATAGGCCATAAAATTGTGCTGTGGTTGTATATTATACTTATCATTAGTCCCCCCCTTTTGACTAAAACCTAAGTCAACCATTTATGACATTCCGGAACATGTTTCTAGTTCTTGATTGAACTTATCATCTTTTGTTTACTCAGGGAAATCTAAACATGGAGAGACTAATTTCTATTTTTTCACTTTTTACATTGTCATTTGTGGTTAATATTACATATTTGATGTGATTTAGGAGCAAAGACTATGATGGCCTATAATATTCATTTATGCTTAATATTGCATATTTTCGCATGAATATGTCTTATGTTGACTTAGTTAAGCAACATTGTGTGATTAAGGAAAGAAAAAAAAAAGTACACTAAGAGTAGCTTGAACTTTCCCCTTAAGGAAAGCTGCTCTAACTAGTGATCATTTTATTCATGAGATTCCCCCCATTCTTGCAGCTGACGACTCCTATTTTATGAGAGATTAAAGTAAGATCAAACTTAGAAATATTTAAAAGTATTTAAATCAGTCATTAAATGCAACATACACATTTTTGAACAACACCCCAATAGTCTCTCTCCTCCTTTTCACCCATTATTTCTTCTCTTTCTATCTCTTCTCTCTTCATTCCTTGAGCATCTCTTTCTCTCTCCTCTCTCTATCATTTTGACCGTTTCTGTGTCCTCCTTGCCGCCCCTCTTCAAGGACTAGTTCTTTGGACTTTAAAAAAAAAATAGTAGTTATAAATAATTAAAAAATACTAGGAAAATTTAATTTTTTGGGCATCACGAAGTTAATGGTGAATAAGACCATACCAAAGCAACTATACGAGTTTTTCCTTAAATTAAACCCGATTTTATCCGATTTATTTTAAACCCCTAACGTGTATTTGAAGTTTTATAATGATTTTTATTCATTGGGGGTCGAGTATCACACGAGGTTTGCAGTCACCAGATCAGGAGCAAAACCGGCGGCCTGCCGCCGCCGTACCGCTTTCTAGCCGTGGCGGTAGACGGGGTCAGCGGAGGGTGAGCCAGACAGCGGTATTCTGATGCCGATCACCTGCGCCGTAAGAAACAGACAACAGGACGAATAGCCGAAAAGGGCAGAGATCCCGCCCACGCCAGCGATCCGCGTGATACCTAGCGGAGCGTTCCTAACCGTCCGATAAATAACGGATCTACCTTCTCATCCGTCCGATCCCTTCTCCTTTTTTACTGTGTTTTCTTTTCCATTATTTTATTACTTTATTTGTAAATTTATTCTATTACTTTATTTTCTCTGGGACGCGTGTCCCCCCCGCTCTCTCTATCTCTCTCCTTCTTCTTCCTTTTCTGTCATTTTTAATACTTAAAAAATCCGTAAATAGGACCTTCTATCTTGTTAAGTGCGCCCCTGTCCGTTTTCTCTCTCATCACTCTTTCTCTACCTCTGCCTTTCTCTCTCTGCAGAGTCGGTTGCTCTACTCTCTCTCTCTCTCTCTCTCTCTCTGTCTGTCTTTCTGTCTCTGTCTCTCTCTGTCTCTCTCTCTATCCAGTGCTCCGTGCTCGGCGGAGCTCTCTACTCTACGGCGGAGGCGGCGACGATGTCCACAGAGGAGGAGAGTACCCCGGCGGCGCTACCGCCGTACCCTGAGGTGAGATGCCGCCCTCAAACCCTAGCTCTCCTCTCCTCTCCTCTCTGTGCTAGAGATGGCCGCCGATGACCTGCTCTCGTGTTGTTCCTCATCTGTATCCAAGTCCTCGGGTCGTCTACTTGTCCAAATGTTTTGGACTCCTTTGTTCTTCTTTTTCTTCTTCTTCTGAAACCCTAGTCTGAAAGAGACGAGTCTACTGCGAAACCCTACCTGAATCATTTGGCCATTTTCTCTGGTCTCGCAGCTGATTCTGGAAGCAATCGACGGCCTCAACGAGAAGGGCGGGTCGAGCAAGTCGGCAATCTCGAATTACATCGAGTCCCACCGCGAGAATCTGCCGGAGGATCACGTGGCCCAAGTTGCCGAGCACCTGGGGAAGATGAAGGACGCCAACGAGCTCACCTTCGCCAAGAACAACTACTCGCGACCGGACCCCGACGCTCCTCCCAAGCGCGGCCGTGGCCGCCCTCCCAAGCCGAAGGCACCGCTGCCCCCCGACTACGTTCCACCGCCGCCAAGGCCCCGCGGCCGTCCCCCCAAAGCCAAGGCCCCCCTCGCCGCCGCTGGAGCCCCAGCCGCCGCCTCCCCGAGGCCCCGTGGGCGACCCCCAAAGAAGCCCCGCGTGGAGGTCGCCGGCACCGCGGCTCCCGCTGCCGCGGCCGGCGGGGTAAAGAGGGGGCGGGGGCGGCCGCCCAAGGCGAAGCCCGCCGTCGCCGCCGTGGGGGCTTGAAGATTAACCACAGAATAATTCAAAGGTCCGGTGGCGGTGGAAGGCGGCGGCGATCTCTCCACGGTTTAGCCGGAATCTCCATCTTCTTCCTGCTCCTCCTCCGCGCCTAAATCTTTATTTATTTCACTTACCCTTTTTCTGTGTGGACAGTTCTAGAGAGATAGGTGGTCCCTTTCTTCCTGCTGGTGTTGTTTCTCTCACTTCAGCTTCTTCTTAATCACTGTGCTTACCAGTCTCTCACTCTTCCCCCCCTCCCTGTGTGGCTCATCGAGAGAGAGAGAGAGAGAAATCTAGAGAGCTGGAGAGAGAGAGAGAGAGAGCTTCTCATCCTGTAATCTAACCAAATTCGCTCGATTAATCATGCTGCCCTGATCTGTTCACTGGGGTGTAGTTCTTTCATTTGCCTCCACATAATTGAGAGAGAGAGAGAGAGATGAGAGAGGGAGATGATGATGATAAGCTCCTAACCGTATGGGCCAGGCCGAGTCATGAGAGAGAGGGAGATGGTGATGGTGATGATGATAAGCTCTAAACAGGAAGGGCCAGGCCGAGTCTAGAGAGAGAAGGGGAGGGATGATGGCGGTCGACGGAAGTGTTGCTTTCTCGTTTGACGAAAATTAAGAAATGGAGGTTAATTGGGAAAACGGAGCGTATATGAGGTTATGATGGGAGTTAATGGGCCTGGAAGTGGATTTTATCAGCCCACAATTATTGGTAGCCCTTCCTCCTTTATCGGTCCCCTCTCTCTCTCTCTCTGTGCCTGCGCCCTCTGTCGTCTTTTGCTGGGGAGTAGGACGAGGGCAGGCAGTCGTCTTCAATTTCATCCTTTCCAATGGCTTTATGAGGAGCGGCGTCTACGGATGGCCTCCCTTGGCGGGTCTTCCTGTCTCTATGGCCTGCCTTTATTGCTCTCTCTCTCTCTCTCTCTCTCTCTCTACCCTCCCTTCCCCCCTCTTTATAACCGCATAAACCCTGTCTCTCTCTACCTTCGTCATTAATCTCTGCGCCTGCCCTTTTCTCTCTCTCTCTCTCTCTCCTCCGTTCACCTTGAAAATGAAAGTATTTTGAGATTTTTTAGTTCTGGGTCCTCTATAAATTAGGCCAATATTGATATAACCCAAAAATTATGCAGCCATACACAGAGCTCTCCAAACAAAGATCCCCCAGATTAACTTTTTATTTATTCTTAGGTCCTAAAAGATTCCGAATTGGGATTATCCCTTCACTGGAATACCAGGAGACTTTAATACCGTCATACCCTAAATCACGTAGTTCGTCCCCCATACCCTAAATAAGTAGTTAATAATAATAATAATAATAATAATAATAATAATAATAATAATATTCCTTTTTATTGCCCTGCCATTTTCAGCTGCCAAGTCCGACCCTTTATGAAAGAGGACCTGAACTATGTTGATGCACACTGCAACACACCTATTTAAACGTTTGCAAGATATTAGACAACATTGGTAAAAATAAATTAAGACATATTCGAGGAATATAATACATACTAGGGCCTAGATAGGAGTTCAATTGGTGTTGTTGAGGGGGTCTGTTGATAATTGACCTAGCTTGTACAGACCCCCAACCAAAAATCCTAAGCATTTAATTAATTAATTACTTATATAATTTAATTAAGAATCAATATCATATAGTTTCATGAACAACGACTAACAATATCCTATTAATGATTGCACTCTCGTTACCTTAGGACTATTGATTAGTGACCATATGATGGCCTTGTATATCTCTAGATAATAATGGGGGGGGGGGGCAAATATAGGTATGCAAATATTCATTACAAATATATGCAAACAATGAAGATGATGTAATAAATAAAATAAAAATTTGAATAATTAAAATTGATATGAGATTTTTAATGGTGATGCTTATTTTCTTGAAGGGTGTGTGGATGTGTGGGTTCTTGGCATGGTGGTTCATGCTACAAGGCTAGACGAGAGCATTATGGAAAGGAAACCTCATACCACATTCTAAGGTAGTGAAAGTGAGCTCCAAGAGGGTAGATCTATCCATGGAAATCTTGTCCAAGGAGTTGAGAGCCAAGAATACTTGGGTTGATGACACCTCGAGCTTTTTGACGAGCTAAAGTAGTACAGCTAGTGGAGGAATGGTAGTGCCTCTACATGTTATTCAATTGGCCACAACAAAGAAAGTTGTTGAAGGATTGATAGGTCATTAGCCTAGTAGAAGCTACTCCCCTCAATGTTAAGCTAGCACAATAGTATTATTAGTTTTACTAGAGCTAATCCCTGAATTATAGTGAAAATCTAATGAGCAAAAGAAAACACTCTTAGGACAATGAGGATAGGCTGCAAACCAAATCACTTCGAATCTTGCACCTGCTTTTGGTCTACTTAAATGACCTAACTTGATTTATTTTTGTATTCTTGTTCTATTCTAGATTGAAATGAATTGACATATCTAATAATATCTATTTGATTAAATAAATTATTTTTTCTATACCTATAATGATGGCATGTCACTACTTTTTGATTAATTGAGTTAATTCTACTTTCTATTGTATCTTTGTGCATATTTTTAGTATACACACCACACAATAAGCAAAACTTTAGATTAAAATTAGTTTTATATTTGAAATCCAATAAATGGGTCTATTCCCCCCCCTCCTATATACTCTTATAGTGTACCTTGGGCCCTACATTAAGAGTATTTATACAAGCTCACGTGCAAGAATAGGTGAATTTATCTGTACATTGTTATGATAGTTGTCGTGCAATGTTTTATTTTCATAAACTCATATTATTTTACATTTTGGTTATTTTCAGGCAGTATGATTGCCTTTCTTGCCCTCATTGTAATTTAGATATTTACATGAATATGTTTCAATTGCAAATATCATAATGTTAGGACGATACATGAGCAAGCTTGTAGAGCAACTAGTATAACCTTACAATAATATAAGAGCAACCTTACATCACTAATAAGCTCAACTTAAATATGTTTATGTGGAATTTAATTATATTTAGAGCCTATATATCATGAAAGTAGGAGCATGGGTGAGGTAGCAAGTGCAAGAGGGGGGGGGGGGGGAGGAGAGGATTCTTTGATGGATAAGGATATGAGAGACCTACATTAACATGGGTGTGGGTTAGAGATATAACTGAAATTAATATTATTCTTGTTATACCATTTTTTTAACATTTAACAAATAAAAATTTGGGCTAGTCTATAGAGGCTAATAAATGCAATATATGCTCTAAATTTCAAAATTAAGATTTTTTTTGAACATCTGAGAACAATGGTTTATGTTTCAGCCTATGAATTTTCTGCAATTAGTTTTCAGTTGGTATGCAAAATGAGTTTCAAGTTAACTCCACAAAAGAGAAAACAATATCTTTAGATGGGAATTTGGATTTCTCACGATGGAATATTTATTTAAAAATAAGTATGAATTTTACATGGTTCCTAAATTAATAATATGAAATGCAAAATAATACATATTGGTATTAGTTGCAAACTAGATTTACACCTAAAAGGAAAGTAGGTTGATAAAAAATTCTTGATGGTATGACTGGTAGTGTTATATTTGATAATGAATATATGTGATATATTATTTGGTGATGTGATTATATGCCTCATTCTATAGTAATGAAAAAAAGGATAATTTATCATTGTAAAAAAATTCATGATTGTTTTAATCTATCAATAATGAAATTTACCATCCCATAATTATAAACTAAATTAATGTGGTTCTGATTTCATGGCTATAAAATTTGATGAGAAAAGAACTTCTTGCTAATGCTTATAATGTCTTGGGAAGTTGTTGTGATCCATGGTCATTAAGAAAGAAAGGTTCTGTTGGATTATCACCAATCAAGGTTAAATATCTTGTAACTCCATTATGGAATACAAATGATTAGAAGCCCAATCAGTTCTTATTAAATGATTTGGAGATTTAAAATTACGTGGTTCTTATGAGGAAATGGGGATGATGAGTTTTTTTAAGGAATACTAATAAATGAGATTTTTTGCCAACTTTATTTGAACTAAAAACTCTCTCCATATAATTTTTCCCCTCTATATCCATATAAATTTTTCAATGAGACATCATACGAAGATATTTAAATATTAATATATATATATATATATATTAATATTGGTACGAATTCAATAACTTATTCAAAAGTAATGCAGATATTGAAAATCATTTTGTGAGCACTCACATTACTAAATGGAAAATCATGCTCATAACGTTATTCAAACCACAAAGTTCTTTTACAAAGAAAAAGTTAGATGAATAAAACTACATCGTTCCCCATTTGGATCTCAACTTATCAATTTGTCTTAGAAAATTTGAGAAAATACTTATTAATATGTATAACTTAACAATTTCTCGATAAAATGTACATTTGAAAACATACACAAATTCATAACTATAGATACGTTATATAAAAATATCAATTTGGGATATTTTGTGATCTCTATTGAATATACATATATTCCTAAATGTGTGGGATATGGTACCTTGAATCTGCCATGACTGATAGGAGATGATCTTTTGAAAAAATTAGTTCCCTTTATCTACATGGAGACAGAAACAAAAAAATTATCGATCCAAAAAACTCATCTTAATCTATAATGCATGTCTCCTTTAAGAGATAAAGAATAGATGAAGAGTAAATGCCCAACATGTAAAACTTTCTACATGGAAGAAGGCAGCTACTAATCCTGTGGAAAGAAAAATGTTTCGGTCAATGGCTCACCTAAAAAACTCCATAAGACTCTACCCCATTCTATATAGTTAGGGTCTTATAGGTTAAGACTTTTTGGGACTCTTCTGTTTCTTGGGAATATGTCCTACTACTGCCCAGCACTTATTAGGCTAAGATATAGAAGTATGGAAGAGGATAACCCAATTTAGCGGGGTCAATTGGATCATTGTGTAGCATATACATGGGAGATTGTCCAATAGGGCCAATTCAACAGACCCAGCCCAAATAGGCCATCTATTGATTGTAACACATTAGACATGGGGTGAGAGGGGGAAGAGATTGGAGAGCCACTCAAGGATTGAGTGAGGGAAAAGGATAGAGGGAGAGATGGACTCCAAGGACAAGGTTAGGATAATTTGTTTCCAACTAACTTTCACTACAAGTGTTACAATTTGTGCATGCTAAGAAATATTTTTTCCAATCAACATTAACTAATTATTTAACAGGAACTCTAATATAATATAAAAATATGAAAGTATTCGTTGAATTTTCTGTAGAAAAAGGATTGGATTGGATCATTTTTATATACTAAATGATTTAAAGGATGAGAGAGGCCTCAAATTTCCTGATTGGTTTTGATCTAGTATTTTATAGTATTACATCCAAGATTATAAGGGCCTCATAACACCTATGATGAATTATGCCACGTGCTTTGGCCTCCCAAAATCCTTTGAAAGGTTGGGAGGCTTCCTACCATTGTAGTAGAATGTTATTCTAATTAAATCCCGCTTTCTATGTGTGTATCTATGTGACATAAGGTTTAGGTTGGGGGGTCCCATTTTCTGGGCCTCGTAAGATGTGTCTTTGATCGGCCTTCGAAGCCCTATATTTTATGCCTTTACATGGTAGGCGATGATCTCATTCTACAATTCTCTCACAAAGCAGATGACAAGAAGGATAATTTTCTGATTAAATGGGCATCCAAGTCCTTTCTCTGGCATCTTTCTAAGTGGGGTAATCGTAGTGTTGAGAGTGGGTATTTCGTTGGTAAGGTCACGTCAAGAATGGTCAAATGATCCTCCCAAAGCGTCACATCAGTAAGCCAACGCGTTTTGAATAACATTTACAATCTGGTCGTCGCCATTTTTATGTTGAAGTATCAACCCACATGGCTAAACTCAAGGAGAGAATGCCGCATCCTGATATTAGTTTTACGAGATAGGGTTGATTTGAAATGTCAAACACATGAGTTCATGAGTAAATATTTTATCACCTTTATCATACAGGAGAAGGGCAAAGAGAGCGAGCGAGCGAGAGAGAGAGAAATAGAGAAAGAGAGAGGGAGAGAGATAGAGAGAGAGAAAGAGAGAGAGAGAGCTTATATCATAATGGCCATCTTGCGCGTAAAACCATAGATACAATATTTAATACACAAACGCCAAAAGATAGTTCCGAAGATTTGTATCTTCGAATTGAACAGTGTAAAATACTCATTTAATGATTTGGTCTTTGTCACTTGTATACTAAAATATAAATCGAATTAACGTCAATGTTTGAAAGTCCTCAAAGCTTGAAATCCTTGCTAATGAGGCGACAGTGCCCTAAGACTCTAAAATATCGATGTCCTTGGTAAATCGTTGACCAGATGGGCCAGAAAGAAGGGAGGGAGGGGAGAGAGAGAGAGAGAGAGAGAGAGAGAGAGAGAGAAAGTTAATAAAGATGTCCATTATCTTTAGAAACTATAGAACCAGAAAGGACTATCATCTTTTACTAATTTTACCAACTACCATCAAGATGTGAGGTTGTCAAAATTTCAATAAGTGCAGTACCTATAATCTTGTCAAACAAGCCTCTTGCCGCAAAGTCTTTATGTGAATGAGATAATCATTTTGACACTTTCTTCTAGCGGACTTTGAATGGAAGGTTGGTCAGACTACAGCAATTATGCATCCTCAATTCAGATTCTTTATGGGTAAGTCAAGACCCTGGCCCACTTTGCTTGTGTGACGGCTCCAAATGCAGACCTAAAAGAAGGAACAACACCCAGCTGAATCCAGGCATCAACATCAGCTAACCCGCAAAGGTCAAAGCTTATTATGCATGGTGGGAGAGTCCATTTTTCTCTCACTCTCTCTGAGCCGTGTATGGAGGAGCGGACTGGACTTCATATATTTCCGGTCCGGAACCTACCATTTTTCTCTCGCTCTCTCTTTGGATCTAAGCTTAATTCGGTCTTGAAAAAAGATGCTCAAGTCAGGACTCAGTTTGGAAAGGCTTTGATCCGGCCCGGCTGTTGACACCTTAATACCTCGTCTTAGTTACCCCCAAAATGGACGAGAGACATTGACATGGTCCGGAGACAGTCGACCCATCTATCAAAATTGGCTACAACTTGTGCTGATATTCTGGAATTAGCCATAAAAAACCTCGGCTGCAACAGGCAAGATACAGTCGAAGAAGCCACCCCCAACTCTAATGTCAACTTAAAATCAACATGACGTAGGTGGAGTCAGTGCTCCGTCCTTGACCAGGCCACGAGAGCGATGCACCTTAGCTTCGTTGAATTAGACGATTTGATCGGCTTTGTTAGGGTTGAGTTTTCATCTTTCTGCCTGAATATTAGTTCCATGGCCAATAGAGAGAAAATTAGGGCCAGGGAGAGTTAAAAATCCGTGTTTTGGGGTTTGTGTCTTCGTACTGCATTAATTGCAAGGTCAAACGAGAGAAGGGGGGGGGGAGAGATAGAGGAAGATCGTCTGAAAACATTACTTTTCCGAGTTTGGATCTTTTTCCGAGAGGGAGAGAGGGAGGGAGAGGGGGATTATTTGAAACTGTGCTCTCGACTTTGAATCTTTCTGCTAGTTTATTTATTTCACGGGAGTGAGAGAGAGGGAGAGTGGGAGAAGAGAGAGAGCAAGTTTAATGAGTTATACAATTCGCGAGTTGACGGTCAGCATATGCAGATAAGAATGACAACAGCTGGACGCTCTTTACGAGCGGAAAACGCGGATGTTCTCGCAACCTCGAAATGGACAGCGCGATCTGGACTCCACTCCCGAACATCAAAAACTCTTATCTATGGTCTCTGAAAGTATGCAAGACAGAGAGATGGAGATGACGATGGAGAGAGAAAAGGAGTGAGAGAAAACGACGTGAACGCGTAGAAGACAAACTTGCGTGGAGGAATTCAGAAGACGCGTTCGTTGATCGATGTTAAAAGCAGCTCGTAGAATTGGTATGCGGTGGGACTTGACAATCCTCATCGAAAACTTCCTCCACACTCTCATTATGTTTACGTATTCGAGCACATGAAGTCGAAAAACAGACGGAGAAAGATACGCTACGAGAGAGCGGAGAGAGGGAAAGACAGTCTCATGCTACTACTACAGCTTCAAATTTATACTTTCATGGGCCAGGCAACTCCGCCTAGTAGTCTAGAGATAGACAGCGCTTCTCTCTGGATTCAAAGTCAAAATGCATTTGTTTTATCCTCTGGGTCAAAAACGCTCATAAGTTGAAGTCTCTCATCTCAGCATCACCCCGAACTTTGAATCCCCCAAGTTCTTCCCTTACAGATAGATGTCTAAAAACGTATATAGATAGATAGATAGATAGAAGAGAGAGAGAGTGAGAGAGAGAGAGAGAGAGAGAGATGCAAGAAAGAGTGTGCAGTCAACTTAATCAGATGCCAATCTCAAGGCATCAGGTACCATGCTTCGTTAAAAGAGACCATGAATTTCGGGCGTTCAATCTCTTCCTCGCATAAAAGACTACAACCTGATGAATTTCGGAGACCATGACATATAACATATGTTTGAACGTCAGACGTTGTCGATTCAAAGTCACCTTGACCACTTTGGCATGAAAACAATTATGATTTCGAATAAATGTTCAAAAATCTAATTATCTACCAAGCAACGATTTAGTTTACATTTAGTCAAATAATTTAATCTGTTACACTTCAAATTATGCACACATTTTCTCATTACTGTGAGTTTACACATAAATGAACTCGTAATTACACTTGCGTACAGAACATGCACAAACACACACGCTACCTATCTATATGCACATTCATGTACATATAGTTGCCTTCCCGATCAAAAATTCAAATTTTTTGTGTATCCACGGGAAATCTCTGTCCATCCAATGATCGGTTTTCAAGGGATAGAGAGAGAGAGAGAGCCATTCACTGGAGTGGGAAGGGCCAAGAGCCATGATCTAAGACAGTCTCCTGACAGCCGCTGAAAGGGTCCACGGTCATCTCGCCGTCATCCCACACATTAGTATTGTAGCTCCATACGGGGGACTCTGGCCAACACATGAACGGTATCTCTTGCTCTTGAAGGAAGGCGGGGGAATTCGATGAGGAGGCCGAACAAGAGTGAGAAGCCGAGGCGGAGTCTCTTTCTCTCTCCTCCTTTCCCTCTCCTGGGTTATCAATCTCCAGTCGGTTTTTCGCGCTCATGGGCTCTTCTTCTTCTTGACAGTTTGAGGGATCGTTGTCAGTGGATTCAATGGGCTGGTGGGTTAGCGGGTCGATCCCCATGATCTTTAACTTCTTCTTGATATGGGTGTTCCAGTGGTTCTTAATGTCGTTGTCTGTTCTTCCGGGAAGGTGAGCTGCGATCTTTGACCATCTGTATCGAAAAAAAGGACTACTTTATTCAAACACCCAGCAACATAAGAGGTAATTGCACAATAATTCAGAGAGAGAGAGCGTGAGAATGAGAGAGAGAGAGACAGAGATGGAGCATCTGGAAATTATGCGAACAGCGGAATGACTCATTGTGTCGGGGGAGGGGAGAGAGAGAGAGAGAGAGAGAGAGAGAGAGAAGTAACCTGTTGCCGAGAGTGGCATGAAGGTTGATGACGACCTTCTCCTCATGCTCGGACAGCAGACCTCTCTTCAAGTCTGGCCTCAGGTAGTTCGTCCATCTTAGCCGGCAACTCTTCCCACATCTCGACAGCCCTGAAGTAATGCGATACAAGCCGATTCCTCAGATCGAGCCAACGAGAGAGAGGGAGGGGGGGGGGCGGGGAGGGGGGGGGAGGGGCCCCGACCTGCGAGCTTGGGAAGGGCCCTCCAGGAGCATGGACCCTTCGTGCAGATGAAGTTGATTAGCCTCCTGTCCTCCTCAGCCGTCCACGGCCCCTTCTTTATCCCCACCTTGTCACAGCACGGCTGCCTCCCCATGATTTTTCACCTCCCGAGACCAAAAATCGTCCTCTCCCACTTCACAAGGATAGCACATGTGTGTGTGTGCGTGAGAGAGAGAGAGAGAAGCAGGGACCGAGAGACAGACAAACAGAAAGAGCTAGATCTGGAGAAGGAGAGAATGCAACGAGAGAAGTCTAATCCCACCGGCCTTCATATATGATGCTGTGCCCAAGGGTTGGTGGAACGCGTAAAGTCCGATTACAATCGACCGATCGGTGGGCCCCCTGGATCCTCTTTGACCCAATGCTTTAAAAGCCTGTTCAAATGTTTCCGGTATTAATAAATTATTTTAATCATATTAAACTGGCCTATATTTTCAAATCATTAAAGTTTGCGGCTGGTCAACGACCTAGGATTCAGCGGTCCGCCCCAGGCCTGGACAGTTTTTTAATGGTGGGCCAGTACAAAATACCGAAAGAGGGAGAAAGGGGATATATATATATACAGAGAGAGAGAGAGAGAGAGAGAGAGAGAAAAGAGAGAAGAGAGAAGAGAGGGCCACCATTCAAGCTCTGATCTGATTGGATCCACTAGCACTCTCAAAACTACATCCTCACCTTAGACTTGCAAGATAATGAATAAATATTAATAATAAAGTAATGAGTCATTTAGGCACACATATATGTAAATTGCTTGATTTGAGAAAATGTCCCTCATCTTTCTACTTGGCACTATAGGTCCGTATAAGCTACCACAAATTTAGACTTTATCCCTTGGCAGTCTGATAAACTTGAAAGGATGCTAGTTTAAATGTTATATTTAAAATTTTATCATAGTAGTACCATCATATTGGCAAAAGGAAATCCATTTATTTAAAAAACCATTTATATAATAATTTTGATACCACTAATATTATCTATAATTTTTTTATAAAAATAATAGTTTTCATAAGACATCACATTTATAAATACAAATTAATGTTATTTTAATTAATTTCTAAATTGTCTAGAACATATATAATGTTTATGATTATAATGTTGCTTATTTTCATTTTGTGATTTCAAAATAAATTTCACCTTGAAGATGGGACAAGGGCTCACCTTGAAAAATAGAGAAATGGAGTGACACAACAAATAGACTAATTGTTGGAGTTGTGGAGAATGATTTATTAGGCACTGATGAACTCTTCAATGAATACACAGATCCAACTCTACAGTTAGTAAGTAGAGGAGTTTAGGGAACAATGATCCTTTGGTGGGGAGTTATGGTCTCAAAGAGGGAGGGGATTTGTCACCTCTATTAGAATGTGTGTGCAAACACGGTGTGTTGACATAGTGTGCTGCCACATTGAGGGCTTTTGAGAGAAGAACATGTGCATCAATGAATGTAAGATGATTTCTTAAACCATGTTTATTTGGTTTATCTCCCTATTCTTGCCTCTTCCTTTTTCTCTCTTGTTTTTTAGTATTAGTCTTCCATTGTACAAGAAGGGGAATGAAGATGTGTCTTCTCTAATAATTTGCATTAGAGCCTCTAGTTTGAGGTTGTCTTTTGTTTGAGAACACACATTTGTTGTGAGATTGTTTCAAGAAAAGGAGTAAGAACAATGACAATAGATGAAGGAAGAGTCAAGATAAATAAGTTTGATGATTTTTTTTATAATTTTTAGAAGATATAGATAGATGATTATGTATATCAAAAGAAGCTCCATCAACTGTTATTTGATTTCAAATTAAGTAAGATATTAATAAAAGATTGAGAGTTGTTAGACATATAAGTCTTAAAGTTGTTCATCCAAAAATAGTAAAAAAATGTTGCATTCAACATTTTTAATGAGAAGATCACATAAGATCTTATTAGGGCTGTTTCATACATATATGAAAAGTCATTGGTGTCAAATAATGTATATATGGTGCAACATCTCTTTAATAACCAACATCAACAAGTGTCTATATGAAAAGTCATTGGTGACAAAATGAACCTCTATTATAGACCACATCAACAAGTTCAATTTAATAACCAATGAATTAAGTTATGTAGATAATATTTTTGATGATACGGTTAGGATATTAATCTTATTGCCTCCCCTTGCCTAAGAGTTGAGTCATGGTGATTGTTGCCAATAATATATCAAGTTCAAGGAGGTTCAAATTGGATGAGGTATGTGCTTTGATTCTAAGCAAGAATATTTGCATAAGAGAATGAGGTGAATCATCTCATTTTCTCTTAAGTTTTGAAGGCAAGAGAAGAACTTAGAAAAGGAATCAACAATGTGGTAAAAATAAATCAAAAGGAAGAAATCAATGGAAGTACTAGTGATGAATCTACAAACTCCATGAAAAAAGAGGTTGATGGCATTTTACTTCTTGACGTAAATCATCTCATGGAGTTTTGAATCATAGAATCTAGTATCTCTTTCCACACTACAACTTGTAAGGAGTGAATAAACAACTATGCTCCGAGAAATCTTAACAAAATATATATCAATGATAATGAAATTAAGGGTATTGTTGAAAAAAGAGCATTTACATCAAAACTTCTAATAGGAAAGTAAGAAACTTGTTGAATGTGAGATGTCCCAAAGTTGTAGAAAAATTTAATCTCAATAGGACAATTAGGCTATGAACATTTTATAATAAATTTTACAAAAAAATGATAAGTAGTTACAAAAGAGTCATGATAATTACAAGAGGTGTAAAAAATGACACTTTGTATACAATCATCATTAGTCAAGATAATGTAATAGTAACAAATTTAGAAATTACTTGTTGAAGACTGCATTTTCAACAAGCAAATAAATGTTTTTTTCAAAGCTCGGAAGAATTCAAATAATTAAAAAGTTAGAGCTGATACATATTGATATTTTGGGACCTTTCTTTATTCCCTCACTTAGAGGCTTAGGACATTAAGTAAGCTTCATTGATCACTTGACTAAATAATATATTTTTTTCATTTTCTAAAAAAATAAATCTGAAGTTTTTAAGAATTTTAAGAAATGAAAAGGTCATGTTGAGATAGAGTCTATAACAAAAATTAAATGCCAATGAATTAACAATGAGGGTGAGAATGAAAAATAATTTAATATCTCTATTTTGAATGTGAAACTCATATGAAGAAGATAGTTCTAAATATCCCTCAATTAAATAGTCTTATCCGCCTAACACCATAACTAAATGAGGTACCCTCTTCAACTGATTATGAATTAAGTAGAGAAGAAATTATTGAAAAATTTCTTGAACTATTGGCTAGATATAGAAACTCTAAAAACTAACTTTAAAGAATGAACTAACCCTTTCTTTCTTCAAAAGATGAGTCATTTAAGTGAAAATAGGCATATGCTAAATTAAAGCATTATGTGAAGACCGCAAGGTTTAAAAAGTACAGAAATCAAGTTAAAGTAAATTTTTTATAGGAAAATGATGAATTAATTTTAAAAAAAAATGATGAGGGTATAATAAATTATTTATGAAAATAAATTAAATAAATAAGAAGTAATAAGAAAATCAAGATTTTTTTGGGTCCCTATTGTAATTTTAAGATCAATTGTGAAAGCACTATTTTGCCCATATGACCTATCTATGTTGAATCTAGGATATTATCAATTAATGAAATCTTCAATAAGAGAAAATCCTAACTTAGAAGTTTGGAATGAGTTATTGTGTCATGTTAAAGAACAAGAAAACTTGGTTTCAATCTAGGATGTTACTTGTACTTGAATTGGTTTGTCAAGAGTTGGCTAAATGAGGCTAAAAGAATTTCTTATAAATAAAAATAATATGATGGTTGATATGATAGTAAAAATTAGTTTCCTCATTCAAACTTATCAATCAACCAAGAAAACTTCATAAAATGACTATTGAAACCCATCATTGTAAAATTCGAAATGTTGACATTTATTGTTGCAATAAATCCCAATTTCCATGTGGTTTACAACAAGTTAGAGTCTCAAGTTGAAAGCCAAGGATCTCAAGTTGAAGGCAGTAATTCAAGTGGTTTGTAAGAACCTACACTGAAATGGCCATAAAATAACCTTCGAGTAAATAAAAAAATAACATTTATCTGCATGTTAATAAAAAAAAAAAAACTTCAAGGCATGTCAATAGGCCACAAAATTCAGACCCTACCCACCTTTTTTGTCTTTGACCGTACGTACAGCTAATTGTGAAAATATCAATGGGGGTCCCTTGTGACTGATCTATCAGAAATACAGGACAAGTTCTATTTTTTAATAGATTCAGTTCAGAAGCCTATTCCCTCGACCACATGACCACTCTCCTCTCCTTCCCATCTACTTGTGGGCTCCATAGTCAACACTTCCTCTGGGCTACACGTTCACTGCCACATCAGCTTTTCCCACATCAAGTGTTGGCTTTGATTCGGACCTGGGCCAGACTTTATGATAAGCCTTGGGCCTGGCCCAGCCACCCTTGGTCATGTGACCCTGGCACGTTTGAGGAAGCCCAGTAAAGCCCACGTTTAGTCGTTAATGGGCCTTAGTTTTATTGGATTGTGTGGAAATCGTCATCATGATATTCGGCCAAGTGGACTCTATAAAAGATACATGGGCTTGACTCCGAAGATCAGCCAGCCCCAGTTGTCCGGCCTCTCTCGAACGCGGTAATACTGGCTTTTATCTTGAAGGAAACCCGACAAGCTTACATTATTTATTCCAGTCTGATATCCAAGAGTCGTACTTTTACACCTAATAAAGTTACATTTAATCGAAATTTTTCACAATTTATTTAATAAATAAATAAAACCAAATTCTGCCGAAGTTTTGATTAGTGGTTTGAAAAGTGGATGAATGATAACTAATGTTCTTCTCGCACCTCCTAATATGGTGGAGAGGGAGAGAGTTCCTTTTCTCTGCCCACGTCTGCCTATATTTGGATTAAAATGAGCCTTATAAATCGCCGTCACCGCTTTCTCATCTCTCTCTCTCTCTCTCTCTCTCTCTCCCTCTTCCTCTGTCTCCCTCATCCCTCTCCGTCTCTCTCTCTCTCTCTCTCTCCCTCTCCCTGCCCTGCCCGTCTTTCTCTCTCGCTCTCGCCCTTCCCTGCCCGTCTTTCTCTCTCGCTCTCGCCCTTCCCTGCCCGTCTTTCTCTCTCGCTCTCGCCCTTCCCTCTCCGTCTTTCTCTCTCGCTCTCCGTCTTCCTCCATCTCTCCCTCTTCCTCTGTGTCTCCCTCATCCCTCTCCGTCTCCGTCTCTCTCTCTCTCTCCTCCCCCCCCCCCCAAAATCCCTCTCCTTCCCCCTATCTTTTCTCTCTCTCTAACCACGTGGGCAAATATATCTCCTTCTGTTTTCAACTGTGTAGCCCTCTCACAAACAGACCACAACGGATTTCCTGGAGGCAACCCTAACGAACCCACCATCAAATTTCGAACTAACTTGAGGCGGACGAAGAAAGAAAGCTATCAAAGTTTCTCCTCTGCATTTCTCATCCTCTCTCTCTCTATCTCTCCCTCCCTCGCTCCCTCCCATCTAGAGCTATGGGAGGCTGCCGTCTCCTCTGTGTGACCTTCTTCCTGGGATGGGCCTGCATGACGCTGGGACAGGGCGGTGACGACACCACGCTGCCCTGTGTGAAGCAGCTGCTGCCCTGCCGGCCGTTCATCGGCGCCACCGCGCCGCCGACGCCGATGTGCTGCGACCCGCTCCGGCAGATGATGAAGAACGAGGTGGAATGCCTTTGCGTCTTCTTCAACAACGCCGAGATAATGAAATCCCTAAACGTAACCAAGGATCAGGCCCTCCAGCTCCCGGAGGCCTGCGGCGAAGAGGCCAACCTCAGCCTCTGCAAGACCGCCAACAACGGTAATATCTCCTTCCTTTCTCTCTCTCTCTCTCCCTCTCTCTGGCTATATATCTACAAATATATATATATATATATATATATATTGCGAAGTCATATGAATTAAGAGTAACCCTCTGTGTTTGTTTGAATATTTATTTTGCCTCTATCTGTCATGCAGGAACGTCAAGTCCGGGTCCGACGAGCACTGCAGTTGGAGAACAAGGTATTTGACCTATGGAATTTCCTCTCTCTGCGCAATATTGCTCCTCGGAATCCTTCTGATCGATCGACATCTATTCTAAGCTACCCATTTTTCTTTTTACTGCGATGCCCTTCTGCTTAAAAAAATTCCAATCGTAAAATATGGAAATAACTTTGGCTAAATATCCTTCTGATCTATGGGAACTCCATTAGGAAGCATAAACAACGTGTTCATAGATATATTCACCAGCATTATTAACCCCTATGAATTTCCTCAGGAAATATTAATAAAAAATTCTGATATTTTATGGGTATGGCCAATATTGTAGATCAATAATTCATTTGATTTCCTGAATTAAATTGTAAAGAATGATCCACATTTTTCCTCAATGTTCCCCTTATTTGTAGAATTCCATTAATATTCATGTCCCTTATGTAAAGTTGGCCTAACAATTTGCATCATAAATATCCTGATTTATGAAATTCTCCAATCAATTATGAACAAGATTTTCACTTATAATATTAAAATTTATGGAAGTTATATATTAGGTATTAAGTTTTCATCAATATGCTTCTTCTCAAATCTTGATGCTATGAGGATTTATTTCATTGTAAGACTCCCATGTAAAAAAGAATTATGAGAAGTAGTATATCTTTACATAATTATCCAAAGTCTGCTAATAAGCAATAGTTTCCTAGTCATTTTTCTATTGATGTAATTCCCAATGAAGAATAGATTTTATTAATATCTTTCAAAAGTAATGTTGTAACATGATTGGAAAATCATGAGTCATAGTGTTTGCATCAAGATGTTAGCCGTAATTGAAATTTTGATAAATTACTTCAAAGCTCTAACAAGAAGTGATTATGAACCCAATGGATCAGAAACTCTAACATTTGCACTAGAAATTGGTATTTTCATGCTATTTTTGTGTAAATTTTTCATCATTTTATGGAATTTTTAATATCCTCAGAATTCACTAAATATTCCTTTTTTGTAGAAAATCCTGCACCAAGCTCTCAAGGCAGTGGACTCCATAAGAAACGATATTTGATTGTTGGGGCTGTGCTTGCTGCTGTTTGGTGGTCTCTAGTCACTATTGCATTATAAGATTAGTTCAATAACTCATTCTCCTATTTCCTTCTTCACCTAGGTATTTCAATGAACAGTTTGAGAACATTGTTGGTTGGATCTCCTTAATGATGGTCCTAAAGTTATCTTAAATAAAATTACCTCAAAATGTGGAATCTTGAGTTATTTCATATAACAACAAAAATAATTTTGGAAAATTATGACCAAAAAGCATTTTCTTCAAACTTGGAGCTGGGCTTGAATATCATTCTCTGGTAATTGTAGCATTTTAAAGAATTTAATAGAAGAAAAGTGAGCGAATAAATTATGTGATGTATCATTCTCTAGTAAAAGTGAATTTAATAGAATTTTATATTTTAATATAGTTAGAACTAGATACTATGGTAAATTAAAATGTCACAAATTAAGGTTATGTTATTCTTGGTAGTTCTAAACTATATTTGACCAATTAACATTTTAAAAATAAATGGATTTCTTCAACAAGAACCTCCTACCCCCCCCCCCTCCAACTTAGAAGAACTCATCATTTGTTTCATATACCATTCAATTGATGTTAGGAAGAGACCAAAACCTAGACTCTTTCAAATAATTAATTTTGAAACTCTTCAAATCTATCATTTAGGGGAGGAGCATTCTAAGCGTACTATTTACATGTCAGTATTTGGGTAATGAGGAGGCTAATTTATGTAGTCAACTTTCCTCATAGGTATTGACCAAGAAAGATTAACAAGGTTGACTCTTGAGACTTGTCCATACAAGGTTGACATCCTCATAAAAACACTTTTGGTGGGTTTACCAATGTTCTTGTCGTCATCCTCATATAAGGTTTTCCTCTGATAAATTCATCCATTTTGTTTTTTAAATTCATCATTTCAAGGATTAACTAGTCCTAGATCTATGATTGACGATCACTTTCATTTCTTCTATTTTTTCATAACTCTCCCTATCATTTGTGTTATTATTTTTGACTTTTGTATCTCCAATTGAAATAAATATAAGTGATATTATTGGAGAATTGACGTTTGCTAAGACCCAATTGAAAAATGGGCTAATTTGATAGAACATTGATATCAGTCAAGAAGGAAATTTATTCCTTTGGGTCTTAAGTTCTTGGAGCTCAAGGTAGGGAAATCCCTTCAAAGACTTGTCTTTTCTGTAAATAGAATGGTTCTTCACATGTGGATGGCTGTTCAAGGAATGCCAAAATAAACTCAAATTCTTGATAAATAGCATCTTGGCGCATTTATCCCATGAAAACAGTTAAACACCTACGTAAACTTATATTTTCACTCTTCTTTTAACCTGTTTCATGATCATAGATTAGATGATTTGACCTACCGATTTCAATTCCACTCTCATTTTGGCCTCGCCAAATTGAATTCGTGTTGCTCAGCTTTTTCCTCAACTCGGCCCGAAGAGTCAAGAAGACCGGGGCTGAAAGCTTGTGTGCCCAGGAATCAGAAAAAGGAATCTGCTAAGCCTCTCTCGGGCTTCAAAAAGGCCCGGCCCGCAGCTCATTTACGGTCCTTCCCACTGGCCCCATTCCGCCCGGCTTACAATCCATCATCTTCTTGTCAACCAATCAAGGCAGTGTACCGTTAATTCCCCTTCGCCGCCGCCTTGTCGGCAGAATCCCGAAAGATCTCAGCCGCCCATCCGGGAACCTGCCCCGACGATCTGACCGGAGGGAGGATCATCCAGCCGTAGACGTCATCTCATTCAAAGTGGTCAGCAAACAAGGCGCTGACTTTGTAATCCGAAACATCGTGATCAGGTCTAGAAGATGGCATTAGGTCAAGTCTAGCCGTAAGCTGACTGACAGTTGTTGACTGGATCAGGTCTACGCCGAATAAGGGGAAGGCAATGGACAATGGTCAACTGAGACCTTTTCTGGCGGCGACGTCTTGGGACAGCGCTATCTACCCCGTTTAAGACCGAGAGGATGGGGCGCCGCCACCAAAGATTAAAATAAGGACGTGAAATTATGGCACAACAGGGCTTCGCAATGCATTATTTTTCGACCCAAAAAAAAAAAAAACCCAAATACTCCATCTTTGTTACCATTGCATGAGAATTCTAAGGACCACAGAGGCAAAGACTTGTTTATGCTTTCAACTCCATGCGTAGGGAGATAGAGAGAAAAGCGAGATGAGTCATGATTTAGATTCTCTAAAATCTATATTCATTTAGTTTTTCTAAGATTCCAGAAATATATGTAGGTCAACCCCAATCATTAGTCACTCTGTTGAAATTCATCAACATATCTTGTTTTTTTGACGAGGGGGAACAATTAATTTGATTGACCTTTTTTTTTTGATTTAATAACTTACGTCTTTAGTCCATGGTTAAAGCAGACTTGTCTACTTGCAATTTATAGGTAGTAGTTTTTTCAGTGGCAACAAAATTGAGACTAACATCAATGGGATGAGAATTTGTGGAGCCATTTTATTAAGGGATCCTAAAGAAAATAAATAAATAATATATCAACATTCTCTTGTTGAATAATTCAATACTTTATCCACAAGCCAAGCTCAAAGAAGAATCTTGACAACAATGGCCAATCTATATAGTCGTATGAACTCAGGTTGCAATAAGAAGAAACTTTGTCCCCACTTAATCAATTTCTTGGCATATCTACAATGAGATAGGGAGAGAAAGAGAGAACATTGAACTCACCGGAGACTTTTGGGCCAGACCCTGTCAAAGATTTTGACTCATTCCAGAATCTTAGGTCTAAATAATAATGTGCGACATAAAATAAATTGTCAACTCGAGAAAGAGGTCTAGAAGGTTTCTTCTTCTGTCAATTATGAGGTTATGAAGTTGGTGATTAGTCATGTAGGTGAGGGAAGGATGCATTGAAAGGCACTTGAGCTTGAGTTGAACTTGGCGTCCTCTGTTCAAGTTGAGTTTTGATGGCCGTTTGAGCACCCTCAGTCGTAATAATCAAATTATTATTATGGTTTGTAAAAAAATAAAATTATATACCAGAAAGGTAGAATAGGTTTAATTGTTGAATATTCAAACTTTTTTAACTCATGAGGATATTTAATTCATTTATTCTGAATCAGCCACTTACAATCAGTACTGACCTCAATGAGAAGGTTCCACGTTCCAGTTCAACATAACATCACATAATCCGCGTGATGTCCCGTCTCTCTCTCTCTCTCTCTCTTAGTCTGACTCTCTCCACGCCTCTCCGTCTGACCCTCCCTCTCTCTCTCTGACCCTCTCTCCTTCTCAGCCATCACCAGAGACGTAGTGGCTATAAATTGGGCGGGATTTCAGGACCTGGCTCCGGGGATCTCTCTTTTTCTTTGATCGTCTGGAGGCAAAAACCCTTCTGCCTTTCCCGGGGAGGAGAGTAACTAGGTTATCCTCTCTCTCTCTCTCTCTCGCTTAAGATTTGACGGAAGGGAGAAGCGGAAGGCATCCGTAAAACGGCGACCCAGCCGACTGTGGGGCTTATAACGGAAGGGCCAGAAGTGGAGACGAAGGAGATGGCAGATTTTAGGGAGGAAGAGGGAGGAGTTCCTTGCTTTTCTTCGTCGAGTCGCCCGAGCATGGTCGCCCAGGCTGCACGCCAGGGAAGACACCTGCAGCGTTTCACCAGGACTGGCCTCCGCCTCGTCGTCGGGTAGACTCTCTCTCTCTCTCTCTCTCTCTCTCTCTCTCTCTCTCTCTCTCTCTCTCTCTCTCTCTCTCTCTCTCTCTCTCTCTCTCTCTCAAGGCTTCTGCTTCCGTTTTTCTCCTGCAGGTGTATCCCTTACAAGTTCGAGGAGGACATCAGAATGGAACCCATCGGTCAGTCCCTGCAGGTTCTTGTCATCAGCTCTCAGAACGGCCAGGAGCTCATGTTCCCCAAGGTAGGGCTCCTGGAGCCCTGAACTACATCCTCTGGGAGAACAATTTCTCGTTCAAACTTTGATAAATTTACGTTAGTAGATTCTATTTACTTCGACTTCCTAACATAAGATCTTGACTTGACATGTCTGACTAGATGGAGACGTAAAACTTTGAGCAAGGTCCTTAATCAGCTTTAGTAAGATCTATAGATGCGCTACATCTTAAATGAAAACAAGGTTATGATAGTATGAGGGTTGATTTACCCCTGTCAGTGGAAATTTTTGTGATAGCATGTTGATTTACTATATTGAGTGAAAACTATGATCAATGTTAATCTAAGGAATTCCCTCAAAGGACATAGAGATTACAATGGATCCTGGTCCCATAAAACCATGATTCTGAAACTAGATGAAAATTATAATACTAGAAGGTGGATTTGATGCATTTAAAATGGGAAATCATTTTAATCACATGTGTATTATCTATTTTCAAGTGAAAACTATAGAAAATACATGTAATATAGATTTCTTTTGAAGATGTGAACTTTCTATTGTTTAAGGTTCTTTGTTCAAGTGGGATAAGATGCAATAAATTCATGGCATTCGAAATGAAATGATGTGAGATATGATGACAATATATCTTCTATATTTAGATTCAAATTAAAATAATTATATTTCTGCATTTATGATCATTAAGTATAGTTTATAAAAAGTATGAGGGTGGGCATACCTTTGTTAAATAAAAATATAAATGTTGAATAATTTCTTGTTTTGTATGTGCTCCTAACAATATGTTTTTAGTCTCCATACAACCCATGAATGAGCTATAAGTCTTAGTCCTGATTAGATTTACCTAGTTTATCACAATTTGTTAAAATAAGAGTCTTATATGAACTTCAGCAGAAGTGATGCTCATGATGTGAAGTAAGGTAGAAGAAAGAACAACTCACAACAAAAACACTGACGCAATGATTTTACATGGCTCGGAGGTTGGCATCCTACGTCTATGAGAGACAACAAAAGTTTAATTAGATACAAAAAATAGTACAAGAAAATTAATCCTTAAGAATCCAGAAAATAAATCTTTGATCTTGACCCTTTTAAGATCTCAAAGAATAAATCCTTAATCTTGGCCCTCTGATGCAATCACTAACCCAAGAGATCTTCCTTAGAAGTTATTTTCCAATCACTCTCTCTCTATGGTGGAACAAAGGTAGAAGTAGTTGTTCTAAGTGGCCCTGAATTTGGAGAAGTGACACTTTATTTATAAGTACTTCACAGTCACCGTTGTGCAAGCAAGAACCTCGAGAAATGTGCCAAATAGTTTTTCTTTTTTCCACATGCATTTCTACATTGAGTCCATAAATGTGAGCATTTAATGTGGCAGCCTCAAAAATGATAAGTCACATTAAACAACACAAACTACCTATCCTTGGCATTTAGACATACTCTAGTCGATGAAATTTTATCTTAGGTCATAGTTAATCTAATTTCAAAAAAGACTAAACTAACCTCTCTCTCTCTCTCTCTCTCTCTCTCTCTCTCTCTCTCACACACACACACACACACACACACTACATACCGTTCCCCCTCCCTCCTCTTCTGCTACGCATATGTCATTTGCATTAATTTAATAACCATAGAGGCAAATCAGGAGCTCATTCTGGGCATATCCATTAGTCTCATATGACAACATATTTGGCTGAAGCAACAGCTCACTATGAGATAGTTTCTGAGAAAATGTAAATAAGTTGAATAGATAAGGATCCATCTAGGTGATTTCAGAGATTTTTTAAGGTCTAAAAACTAAAAGCACTTCACTTCACTTGATATCACTACCATTAATTGAATTTCTTTACTTTACAGAATTTCACTTAATATCACATAATTTCTTTTAGTTCAAAGTAATCAATTATTTTTGCAAACTACCCCTAAATTTTTTACAGAAATGTATGCATTGAAAACATTTTTATACTTTATATTAATTATGTATCTATATCTAATGAATGATCATTATTTAGGGAGGTTGGGAGATAGACGAGTCGATAAGAGATGCTGTTCATCGTGAGGCCATGGAAGAAGCAGGTGTCAAAGGTGTCATCGAGGTACATTTTACTGATCTCAATAAACTTCTTTATGCCATTAATATCAATAAAATGCCTCCTCAAACTCTACTTGTTTGTCAAGTGACATGTGTAGCTCCATCTTTATAAATTTTAACTTATTTTTTAAAATAGTTAACTTGCCTTGAACTTTAAAATAGTTTTGATGCCATAAAATGCACGGCAGCCAAATCAGACCCACTGGATAAATCATGAATGGAATTTATTTGTCAACGATTTGACTTCATTTGGCGAACAAAGTTGGTTGCGGTTGACATTTTGGGAGAAGTTAGGTGGAACTATAACAACATGAAATACATTCTGTGTACTAGCCCATCATACCCAGCTTCATAGTTCATGCATTTATGTCTCCGTGTTTTATAGATTCTGACCTTCCACAAAGAGGCTTTGACTTGAACATGGGAAAACGGGCTACACACATATAAGTCTAGATCCAGCTTTATAATTCATGAATGCAAAGGATTCAAATTTTGACTTTCCAAAAATAGGGTTGACTTGGGATACAACTCGTCCAAGTCGATAATTTTTCGTGACTGCTGACTTCCTCATCCATTCAGAGGATCCTTGGCAAGTGGCGGTACATGGGGAAAGCCGACAAGTCATACAAGTATGGGTTCATGTACCCATTGAATGTGAAGGAGGAGCTTCTCCAGTGGCCGGAGATGGGCACCCGCCACCGGACATGGATGGCAGCAGACAAGGCGAGGGAGGCATGCAAGCAACCGTGGATGAGGGAAGCCCTCGACAGGCTCCAACGGCGGCTCACCGGCGGCACCGCCGCCAATAGCCCTTGCACGGCCATAGCCAAGATGTGCACATCGGAGAGGTCAGCTCCATAAGCACCTCCTGAGAAGTCCTCTTGCTACCATGGCTTCTCTGTGATTTTGAAGTACGTGGTACTTGGTGTGAGATTTAGAATCGCTCTCTCTCTCTCTCTCTCTTATTACACACGACACACTCGGGTTTCGGCCCAATTACCCAGTCCGGGTTTCAAGACACACAAGACTCCGAGCAATATCTAATTACTAATCCATGAGACCCATGGGCCCAATATCAGAGTCCATTCGAGCTGTAACATAGGCCTTCCAGAGAGAGAGAGAGAGAGAGAGAGAGAGAGAATCCCACCTCATCACTCTCGTGACGCGGCGCCTAATAAAGCCGTTCATTAGTCCCACATCGATTGATATATTAAAACGTCACAGTAACAGTATATATTTTAGGGCCAAGGGCTTAGTGACACTTACGCAGCCGTGTGGTGAGCACAGAGCGAACTATTCTTTCGCCTTTTACTAAAGAATACCGTGTGCCCGCCACATACAGCGGCATACGCCAATTTTTGTGGGGATCCAACTCCTTGGAGATGAGCCCATCAATGCAAGATTGCCCAAATATTCCCCCTAAATTTCATAATATTATCAATTAGTACCTAGACTTTGTCATCTATTGAACTCTCATGTGGCAGAAGGAGATTGGCGGGGCAGTAAGGGTCGGTTGGTTCATGCTTCCACGTCAGCCCTTAGTCTCATGTAGAGAGAGATAGAGTGGGCTATATTCATGGGAATTATTCAGCCCATCAACTCTTGTGTTCTGACCTCACATGTCTTATTCCTTCAAATTTGTGGGCTTGTTGGGGCCTAGAAAAAAGATTAGCCCGGCTTAGCTTGAAGGGCAGAAAACTTGCCACGTGGCGGAGATGAACCAGGCCAGCGTCTGATCCGGTTTTTTCCGGGCCTTTCTCCAACGTGGGGCCCGGGCCATCCTTTTCTCCCGTACGAATGCTTAAAAAGTCGGCAGGGAATCGGGATCCAGCTGCCAAACCCACGGAAACTTTGCGGCATCGACGGGACAACGCCCTCCCCCCCGAATCGATTCCAAGTCGGGACATCCGCCCTGATCTGCCCCACACGTGATACACTGACTTTCCCATTGACCCGTAGGTGAGAGGAAAGTTAGAGAGAGAGAGAGAATGTGGATTAACCAAGTGGATAAATAATATTAGCATGATTAGAATAAGGCGGAGATACGAACTGAGAACTCAAAGGGAGTTCTTCACATTGTTCGCCACTTTTATTTCATTGCATGAAAACAAAGACAGCCATAGGAAGAGACAATAATAACCAAAGAGCACCCACCCATCCAACCCCCCACTTCTTCTACCTACTGAAAGAGCCCACCAGCCCCACCTTACCTTGTGGCTTTGACACTTACAGAAGAGACCATGATCATGACGATAATGACGATGATAATGAGGATGATAATGATGATGATGGTGATGATGATGATGATGATGATGTGATGGTGATGATGATGATAATAATAATGATTATGTGATTATTTAGGGTTTCCAGAGGATGGTGGTCTCGGCGATCATGGAAGTGACGATATAGGGGTCCATGTTGGAGGCCGGCCTCCGGTCTTCGAAGTACCCTGAAGAAGAAGAAGTGAACCCATGATCCAAATCTCTAATTCGAGCAATGGGTAAACGGAGAACAGAGAAAAGGACCAACCTTTCCCATTTTGCTCCGTCTCCCGACCGACCCGGATCGACGCCCCGCGGTTCGCCACACCCTGCGGGTTTGATATACATCACGCCCTTGAGCGAGAGAGAGAGAGAGAGAGAGAGAGAGAGAGAGAGAGAGAGAGAGAGAGAGAGAGAGGTCTAAAGAAAGGTTTTACCCATAGGAAGGTGTTGATGTCGGCGGTCTCATGGCGTCCAGTGAGGCGGCGCTCATTCCCTTCCCCATAGGCGGCGATGTGCTCCTTGTGCCGGAGGCCAAGCTTCTCTATCGCCTTCTTGATGATCTCATACCCACCGTCGCGCCTCATCGACTCGGTGCTGAGACAAGAACAAGCACACATTCCACCCACATCAGGACACGACGATTTGACCGATCAGCAAGCATGCCCACCGACTAAAAACCAACCTGTAGTTTGTGTGGGCACCCGCTCCGTTCCAGTCTCCCTGGGTCCCCAAAAATAGAGCAAATAAGATCAGAAAATCAATAAAAGCAAGATTAAAAAAGGGATTTAAAAATATAAATAAATAAAATATCGAACCTTGATCGGCTTGGGGTCGAAGGAGACCACAACGCCGGCAATCTCAGTGATCCTCTGTTTGGAGGGCGAGCATGGAGAGGATCAGCCATGGGGATCAGAGGAAGATTAAAATACTCTCAGTGAAGGAAGCAGCCGACCTCCAGTATGTAGCGGGCAACCCAAACTTGATCACCGGCCGATATGCCGACGACTGGCCCCACCTGGAACTCCCACTGAGAAGAAGAAGAAGAAGAAGAGAAAATTATTATTATTATTATTATCATCAAATTTTCTCTTCAAAAGGAATTAAATATTTAAAAAATAGGTGCAATAATAATAAGAATAATAATAATTCCAGTCTCCCCCACCTGGCCTGGCATGACCTCGCCATTGATGCCACTGATGTTGATCCCTGCGTAGAGACAGGCCTTGTAGTGGGCGTCGACGATGTCACGACCAAAGGCCTTGTCAGCCCCCGTCCCACAATAATATGGGCCCTGGCGAAAAGTAATCGGCATAAATGGTTATTTATTTATTTATAGCAGTAATTCACGAGAAAATTGCCGACCGTTGCATGGCTAATATGGAATTAACTACAAGCCGACAGGAACCAACCCCTTCTATTAATAGGAATTTCTCGCAGACTGGAAAACTAAATGCATATAAATATGGAAATTTAATAAAAAAATCAGGGTTCAAAAATGAAAATATTCAAAGGAAAATCGGATAGCAAATTTTTTGAAGATTTAATGAAGATGTTCGTGAAAATCATGGGGACGTAAGTGGATCATAATGGCAAACCTGAGGACCGGGGAAGCCGCCCACGGGCCATCCAAGTGGCCAACCGATGTCCTTCTGAAGGAGGGTGTACTCCTGCTCGATGCCATACCTGCCCATGATTTTATTTTATTTTATTTTATTTTTGTCAGAAAAAAATAAAAAAATATCTCGAAGAGAAACAAAAAAAAGAAAAAAAAAGAAAAAGAAAAGAATATGGGGATGGCTCAAAGCTGATCATACCAAGGCACTTCGGCGATAACATCAGGGTTGCTGAAGACCTTGGCCGCATTGAAACGCTTGTTCGTAGGGATCGGCTCGCCCGCCGGAGTGTAGCAGTCGCACATGACCTAAAGCGGGGAAATTTCGAAGTACCCAGATTCCGAATCAGGCAAAAAATAATGGAGGAATCTCATCGCGAGTCTTGTGGGCACGGAATTCCATGTTTGATCTTACTGAAAATTTACAACCATGGGGTTGACGACGGAGACGATCATCGTCACCGTCTTGAGTCGTCAACGTCAAAATGAATGCGATTCAGACCCATTCATTTTTAAATAATTTATTAACCCAATTATTGTAGATCAACGATCTAGAGCGACAGAGAACGAGAGATAGAGAGGCAGAATGGTGGCTTTGAGGCATAAGAATCTTACAAGAATGTTGTTTCCCCTCCTGAACGGGTCCTTGTAGATGGCCTGAGGACTGCCCAGGGAAGAAAATCGACAGTGACCCGTCAGAAAACCCTAAAATCAGGAAGGAAGAGACGCACAGGGGAACACCCCTTCTTGGAGTGGCAGACTCACTATAGGATCACTTCGCTGTCCTCCCCCGGGGCCTGCCCGGTGCTGGAGCCGTCGTAGTTCCACTTGGGCAGCTTGCTGGGGTCATCGACGGGCCCGGTGATCGTCTGTTTGTTTCCGATTTTTAGAAAAAGAGAAATTCAAGCATCAGAAATGGCAAAATCGAGCGCCGGAAACGAGAATAGGACGGGGAGTGTCGTCGGAAAATACCCTGGCTTTGCTCCTCATGTCCAGCCCAGAGCCACCGATCCTATCAAAAGGAGCATGGAAGAAATCTATCCGTCAAGGAGGATCATCTTCGAAGAACACAATAAATAACAACAGCATGGAAAAATAGTAAAGAAGAGAAGCACTGGGATCCCATCACTGCCAGACGCGTGAGGACAGACTGGGTGAGACCAACTGCCGAACATCTCCCCGTCACTAGACGCGCCACTCGCGGTCAAAGGGAGAAAGGAGGGGAAAACCCACGTAGATGCGGTGAAAATATGGGAAAGAGACCCCGAGAACCACGAACAGGCCGGCAGATCTCGTCCTCCCCCGGGGGGAGGAAACACCGAATACGCCTAGATCCGCCGGCCAGGTCGTGAAGGAGAAGACCCGGAGGTGTCAAACACAGAGCGGAAGGTTGGCAACGCTGGAGGAAGCAGTAAGAAAGAGAGAGAGAGAGGAACCCACCATATGTACTCTGCAATGATCTTCTCAGTGGTGTCGGAGAGGTCCAGGTTGATCAGATCGGTGAGAAGAGCCATGGCGGGAGAGTTGGGAGAGGCAGAATGGGAAGAAAGATTCTGCAGGAAGAACCCCGGGGAAGGGGAGATAGGGAGATGGAGGAGGCGAGATCCAAGAGCAGGGGAGATGCACCAGGGGATGACGCGATTGGGCGGAAGGGGTCGCTGCTATCTTAATAGCCCTCACGGGGAGAGTTTAATAAATTAATTTTTTTTGTTAGTGGAAGCGGAACTCTGGGATGTCGGTAACATCACCGATCTGTTACGGTGAATCGCGTCCTTTTCGGAGGGAGTTGGCTCTGGTGAAATGATGAAATTGCCCCTTGGGGTGGTTGACTTTAGTCCGGTGACCTTTCTATTTAATTCATCATAAATATATATATAAATTCATAAAGGAGTACTATGTTTCCAATTAATCAGAATTATTATTATTATATAGTTAATGCAGCCGAAAAAGTCATCAGGGAAGGGGGAAAAATATGTACGGGTGGGCCCCGTCAACGGGGGTCGACTGGGATTTGATTTACCGCTGAGGGTTTAAAGGTAATTTAAGATCTATGGGGGTCCCACTCAGTTAGGCCGCTTCAGAATCCCACCCCCGTCGGAACAGATTCGCCGGGGTATCTGGAGCGTATTGTGACGTGGCATATTCCGATTGGGCCACAAACGACGTCATCGGATGTAATCTGGCGACGAATCCAGAGCTGTCATTCATCAAATTTAGTGTAATCCCCCCCCCTCCCCAACAAGAATGTTTTCTTTGGACTATAAATATATAAAAGTACAGGATATAAAAAGATATTTCGTATTCTCTTCCTCGCCTACTGAAACAAATCATTTAGGGGGTTTCCGCCTGTATGGAATTATTTGGAGGACTGATGTGACAAAATGGTGGCAATAATACTCACCATCATATATCTATCTGGCAAGAATTATAGACATTTTTTCCTATGTTAACAGTTAATTCAGTGGATTTCCAGGATCTGATTTCTGAAATCACTCTATATTTTTCATCCCAGCAACCTTGGCCCGGAATTAGAAAATAATTTAAATATTTAAATAATCATCATCAACTTTTTAAAAACTAGAAATAATATATCATATATTAAAATTTAAACATTAAATAAAATTAAATCTATAAAGCTTCATCCACCAAAATTCCAAGATTTTTGGGTTTAAAAATAAAAATGTAAAAATCCCATCCGAATGAACACAATCTCTACCACAAGAATCAGCTGACCAAAAGGGAGAATCTAGCAACATAAGTGGAGGCATCATGGGGATTGGAATCTTGGGCGGTGGGCCCCAAAGAGCCTTCAGAGTCACAAGCAGCGGAATCACCTACTAAGATTGAGTGGACGACGGCATGCCTAGCTCTTTGTACTTGATTATACCGCATTTTACAAGGTAAAGGGGTACTCTCATACTCTCTCTCCCTCTCTCCCCCTCTCTCTCTCTCTAGCTGTGCAATTACAAGATTGGGAGTGTGTAAACGGGCCAGGTCCAGTTGGACTAGGGCTTTGCAAAGTCAATCCCAATCTTAAGTATGTCCATAAAAAACACTTGTTACATAGATAGGTAGAGAGAGAGAGAGACAGATGGGCCGGGTCGGACCTGATTCCGAACTCTCTAGGCCCGAGCAATCCTTCCGTCATCCACCTTGAGGGTAGGGTTGACTTTTACGAGGGAACCCGCTCCAGTACCACGGGAATTTGGAGGCCCTTGCTTTGACTTTATGACGCGTGAGTGGATCGCTGGTCATCTACCATCTCCACCATCACATCTTATTTTGGCATAAAATAACCCCTTTGGCATTACTTTTGATAATGAAAGGTGACGATGGTGGGAGGCTAGATTCCCCTCCTCCTCTCTCCATTTCAAATCCCTGTGTTTCTCTCTCTATGTGCTGGTCTTGCAGCATATTAACAATGAAAATGAGAAAACGAGTGGACAAGCTTTTTTTCCCAAGAAGAAGAGCACTCTCTCTCTCTCTGGGGCGATTATAGCGCTGTTTGTTCTGCGATTAGGCTTATTGGGCCTTCCAATGGATTGAGCTAGACCGTGCGATTACGCTTGGGCTGGGCTTGTCTCAGGTACTTGAGGCCATGGAGAACCCAAAAGAGCGAGCTGAGGAGAGAGGATTTGGGGGGGAGCGGGGAAGAGAGAGAGAGAGAGAGAGAGAGAGCAATATGCTGCGACGTAACACTGGCCATTCATACACCTACCTAAATCAATCATTACATTGACACGCCTAGCTCCACCCCCGCTCCCCCCTTTTCACAGCAGATGGCCCTGAAACAACATGAAGTCAGAGCGAGAGAGCGAGAGAGCGAGAGAGTGAGAGAGAGAACGACCATGCAAAAGGGCCATTCATACGCCTATCTAAAATAAAGCACACGTCACAACAGCGCCGGGGCAGCCCAATCTTCCCAAGACGCCCCCCAAGCTTAGCCAGCCTACTTCCTTTCCATCTCCTATGAAGAACGGCCCTGAAAGATTGCCCAAAGGAGAGAGAGAGAGAGAGAGAGAGAGCTTCGTCCTCCATCTCCAGCAAGTCACTGCTGGACGACCTGCTCGACAGCCCTGTAGCACTGGAGACTGCAGAGGGGCAGATTCAACTTGGAGTGGCGGTACCTGTAGGGCCTGGTACAGGTGGGTCCCGCGCACTTCTCCCGCGGAGGCGGATAACTGGAGATCGGACACCAAGGAAGCCGTCAGATTGCATGAAGGTTTCTCTCATCAAGACAGAGGTGGGTTGGTCCCCTCGGACCATAAAGATTCAATCTTTGCCCGTCTTTCATGTCTGAGAATTAGCGACCCAGAAAAACCCATCCGCCCCAGTTTAATTTTCTTTTTCTATAACGTTTCCCCTGCTCGAAAATGTGTTTTAAAACTGTATTTTTTTCCTTTTTTAGTTAATTTTTCTTTAATGGGTCATCAAATGAAAAGGCGAAGGGGCCGACCTGCAAGGCCTGGGGTTGAAGATGCCTGGGAGCCCCACAGCCTCAGGGAAGGTCACGGTCGTCCCCTCCGGCCCCAGGATCCACCTCACTGTGTTGCCGGCCGAGGCCATGGACTTGGCGACCTTCTCCTGCAACAAGACCCAGAAGAGGACATGGGGAGTCAGCTCCACTGAAGATCTACCCAAAAGAGGAAAAGAAAAAAAGAACGAATAAATCTTGGTGTTCCTACGTGCCTGAGCTAGCTCATCCCGCTTCTTCTGCAGCTTCTCTTCGCGCTTCTTCCTGTTGGAGTCTTGGCCCAAGATTTTTCTGATCGCCTCAGCCTGAGACATTGAAATTAGTCGGTGAATTCTAATCATATATATATATATATACATATACATATAAATATCCAGCTTTATATGTAAATTCTGCATTATTTCTTGCTTTCAGAAGTTTTCTTTGTTACTAATTTCGGGAGTGTGATGGGATTTTTCAGACTGAAAGTCCCTAGGAAGCCCATGAGTGATGAACAAGGCCGACTAAGCTCCTGGTTTACAGTCCTTGGGTTATATCGTCATCTGATGATGATGAAGAGCATCCCCAGGATATTATATTAACAGCTTGGTACTTCTTAAAATAGTAAAAAAACGGCCCAATTTGTGCGTGCACCAGGGTTTGATCGTCATTATCTAAATTGGGTGGTTGCAGAAAGATGTGAACCATGGTTAAGTCAACGGGTCGTGATGGATGGTAAAATACTATCTGGGTAGTTTCAGAGGAGAGCATTGGTCAAGGGAGAATATTGCAGCGACATTTTCGTCACTCAAGGGCTCTGCGGGGGTTAAAACCAAAGAAACCATAGCTGGAAATCCAACCATGGAGAAGGGAACAAGGGAACTGACCTCGGACTCCCTGGCGGCCTTCTCCACCTGCAGCCGCCGCCTCTGGGCGGCTTCTGCCTTCTTCAGCTGCTGCTCAACTTCAGAAAGCTTCCCCTTTTGTCCTGTGATGGCAGGAAAGTATACAATAAATTCAAATCCTAACGGCGGTAACTTCTTCAGGTGCAGATGGAGTCCTCACTTCTTGGGGGAGCGGGCGGCAGGCCATCAGGGTACTCGACCAAGCTGGCGGCACTGCCGCTGGACCCATCTCTCCCAGTCTGGAGGGCCCGTTGGCGGGTAGTGAGAGAAAACTCCTTCCGGGAGTCGGGGAGAGAATCCAATGACTCTTGCCTTGGCGTCTTCCCCAGGGACTCAGAGGCATCAGAGCCCCCCTCTTCCTCCTCATCAATGTAGTCCCTGTCTTCGGAATCCCTCTCTGACCTCGGCTTCTTCCTGCCATCCCTGGACCTCCGCAGCAGAGAGAAGTCATCATCTTCCTCGTAGGAGCCGCGCCTGGAAACCCTAGAGACCTTCTGCCTCTTCTTGCTCTCCGACCCGCTGGTTTCCTGCTGGTCCGAGCTCAGCTTCGAGGCCCTGAGCCTCTCGAGGTACCGGATCTCCTCATCGGCGTCCTCCCCATCGTAGGCTCCATCCAGCACCCGTCTCTTGGGGACCCTCTTGCTCTTGCGGACCGGCTCTGAGACTGCTGTGCTCTGGGTCTTGTCGTCAGCTTCCTTTGATGTACCAGAGGGGCTCTGATCACTGAAGTCCTTCCATGGCGCTGCCACCATTGGATCTCCCTTCTCCTAGAAGATGTCATCATCTTCAGATTTTTTTTCATATCAGGATGTTCAGAAAAGAAAGAAAATATAGCTACATACATTTATATAACAATGACGAGATATGATGCTCTCATCAAGTATGAGAACTAGATGGGTTCATCTCACTGTGCATGAGATGCATGATATCTATCATACAAGTTTTAACAGAACATACGGCGGAGCCCATTGATTATGCTTCAATGGAATCATTAACTTTGTATCAGCATTCTAATTAACAAGGTAAGCTGATAGATTTTAGATTTTATTCAACAGGTCGGTTTCCATTACCGAATTTCTCGAAAAATAAAGAAAAGTACTCAGATATGGGATATGATAAATTGGGGAACAAAGGGTGTGAAGTAGGTCACCTTAAGAACTAGTCTCCGCCGATGGCGAGAAGCATCGTCAGGCCGGGGGGGCTTCGAAGAGGAGGAGCCGCCCTCAAAGCTGCTGTCCCCATTAGACTTCGCATGGATCGTGCGAGTGACGCCGCCGACCTTCAGCTTCACCTTCCTCACCCTGTTCTTCATCACCCCGCCAGGAGCGGATTCCGACCGATCCACAGCTTGAGCCTCGGTACTGCTCTTCCCTCCTGCAACGTGGCCGTCCAGAGGCGGCCCCTCTCTGTTTCTTGCAATGTTCTTCCAGCTAGCGGGGGCAAGAACACCTTCGCTGCTCCGAGGTGCGTTGCTCCCCGAAGACCCGGGCCTCTGAAGGTCACTACTGTGGAACCTGTCAAAGTCTCCGTAGGAGTAGGAGTCGTCTCTCTTGATTCTCTTCGAGGAGGTAGCCCCTTCGTTTTTGGAGGAAGAGCTCTTCGGGACCAGGCTGTTGAGGTTGACCTCCTTCCTCCGAAAGCCGGTGTCGTGGCTGGAGCTCCCGTCGGTAGAGTTCTTGCTGGCGTTCTCCGAGGAAGGAGTGGTCGAGGGAGGGGAAGGATCCCGCCCATCCAGCAGGGCCTGGGAATCCAACCGAGGTCGCCTGGATGTGGTGCTCCGCCGCCGCTTCGCGACGGCGGCGACGCCGTTGAATCCAGACACCCCGAATTCATCCATTACAGCGAAATGTATCTAGCAGAGAGGAAGCCCCTTGGTTAATGCCCCACTGCAGCAATCGAATATCAGTAATTCTACGGGACGGAATCAGTGATACGGGAGAGAAGATGATCGAATAACACAAACAGTAGAAATGAAGTCTCTCGGAGGTTGAGGAATCCTCCCGTCAAGAGGATCAGAAAATCGCCGAATACGCATCGAAATTAAACAAATCGCGTGAGATTTTAGGGGGGCAAAATCCTACAGCCACCGAGGGCATTGCGAGCGTCCCCCCGCGGAGGAGTCAACCACGAGAGCCCAAAGGAAGGTCGGGGGAGAAATCGGGGTCGGGAACAGCGGGGCGTACCTCCTCCAAGCAGGGGAAAAGCGGCTTGAAGTCGGCCTAACCACGCTGCAAAGGTCCTCCGGTTCCCAGGTAGAGGGGAGCCCCGGTGGCACCGCCGGGAAGGAGGACACGCCGACGGGGGAAGGCGACCCCGTCAGCCCTAGCAGAGCCCCGGGAGAAGAAGCTTCTAGGGTTGCGGAGGCGGATGGAGAAGCCGGTGGGCATAAAGTGGGAGGTGGAAGCCATTCCCCCTCGTGATGATGGTGGTGGTGACGAGGGCATTGGGTAATTATCTCCATCGCGGCCCTGTCGAACTCTCTCTCTCTCCCCGTTCCCCCCTCTCTCTCTCTCTCTCTCTCTCTCTCTCTCTTCTCTGGAATGTTTAGTTTCAGAGGGTTGCCTTCGGCTGAAAGCGTTCATCCGAACGGAATCGGATGACGGGTCGACGCCCTGGGCCGGGCCCGGGCTGAGATGGGGTTGGTCATTTGTGAGCCCGATAGCTTACCTGGGCTCAAAAGAAAAGCCCAAACTTAGCTATGGGCCCGTGGCGCGCCTCAAGTAGACAAGTGGTAGGAGGGACCGACCAGCATGAGAGCAATCAAGCCTGGAAAGAGGGCATAAGCCAAGGCCCCGTTGTGACACCCCTTAGTTGGAGGAACTTAATCTCACCATTGGCATGAGGTCGCATGATTATTCATGTTAGCATGTATGTCGGCATGGTATGGCATACACATTAGTGCATTAGGTGTGCAATGGCATGGTACTAATGTGTCATGTGGCAAGAGTTCATGTGTTGGTGCACACTACTTAGATAGATGGCACAAATGGGTAAGTGAGAGTATCAAGAGAAGGATTTGTGAAGCTTTTAGCATACAATATATGCCGTGCAAATGGCATGCATTGGCATACATGACAACACGTCTGAAGTGTATGAGGGGCACAGTGTGAGTGTTATGCTTAGGCAAACAACTCCATTAGGATAAGAGGAGGTTTCATAGGAATATATTATGACTCTCAAAGGTAGTTTGAATGAGGCACCATAACATTGGCACGATGTTGGCACATCGTGGCGTGGTGTGACACAAGTGGCATGCATGCATCATTGAGTGACACAAATATGGCATGGGGCACAATGAGTGCATATTCGTAACACGTGTAGAGACAAATGGCAAGTATGTGATAGGCATAGATTAAGGTTATGTATGAGGTGGTTAAGTCAATCTTATCTAGAGGATGGGTGCATACGATAAGAATACATTTTCATCTTGAGTAGGAGAAACTTCCTTAAAAGTGAAGGCTACTTAATGCTTGTGAGGACAAATAAGGCCAACACATGGTTGGACAAGCAAGGTAAGCTTAGGTTGACCATCTTATGATGAAAATACAAAGAAGAATTTTAAAAATCTATTCAAAGATAGATCCTCGAGGATACGTTGGAGCTTTTGGATGTCCCATTGTATCCTGGCGAAGCACTACTGAGCAATTCACATATCACTTGATACGGACGACTTATGTTTTTTCTGCTGGACCACACCGAACTCTGATCAAGCTATGAGCACGAGTAGGTAGGCGGCTGCTAGGGGGACGGCAGATGAATGTTAATCCATCATCACGTTGGAGGTCATCGTGGAGGGGAGAAGTTTCTTTCTTGAAGTTATTCATAAAAAATGACTAGGGCCAAGGCTCTTCCCTAGTAGGCCCAACTTAAGATTTTAATAAGCAACTACTCACTCTATCTCTTTCTTTGACTAAGCCGAAGATGCGTAGAGTTAAAATTTCATCCTTAAATCTATATAAAAAAGAAGATATTTGTGTGCAAATTCTTCACCCTAAATCCACAAAATCAAAATACTTTGACCCTTGAATTCACAAATATTTGATATCAAGTCCACAGGATGAAAGTTTTGTTGGAATCCACAAAGGACATTGAAATCCACCACAAGAGAATCAAAACCTCAAAAGAGGGTTTTTGTTGTTGGGCCTAAACTTTGAATTTTTGCCCATTTAAATAAATTTAAAATAACTAAAAGAAGAAAAAAAATGTAATTTATGTCATGTCTTAAATATATTCCTAATCCTCCTAAATGTAATTTATGAATTATGCAATGAGCTCCATGGAATGCATAACTGATTTCTAAGAAAAAAGAAATTGTTTAGAAAAATGAGCTCCAAACCTTAGCTTGATTTTCCTTTTTTGCAAATATTTCAAATTTTAGTAAAGTTTTCATCATCAACAGATAACTCTTTGAGATATTTGAAACCATTGATTTCAGCACAAAGGGTGATCAAGAATGATGTTTTCTATTAAGTGCATGTGCAACTTGATTCAATTTTTTTGTGATTTGTAATTGATGATTAAAATGAATCTTTTGAATGAAATAAACTCATCTTGTATGTAGTATGTTGATACTAGTCTGACCATTAATATATTTGAAAGCTTAATGATCAGTAAACAGAATAAAATTTCATTGAATAAGATAATGACTTTAAGTATATGATGCTCTAATTAGATGATAAGACTTTTATTCATAAGTTGTTAATTTATTTTTTGCATTAGTGAGCTTTTCACTATAGAAAATAAATAGATGACTTTCTTAGGATAAAACATATTTTACTCCCAAAATTGATGCATCACATTCAATATCAAATAATTTATCAAAATTCAGAAGTACTAATAGTGAGGTATAACTTCATTTTTTCTTTATAAGAATGAAATTTTTATTTCTTGCCTTAGTTCACATAAAATTTATTTTTTATGAATTTAGTAAATCTAGCAACAATAGAACTCAAATTTTAAATTTTATGTAAAGAGAGGCTAATCTATGAAAACTATGCAACTCATATATATTTTGGGGTATAAATCTTCGAAATTTTCAGATTTCAAAGACTGAACTAGAAATCATAAAAAATATAATTTTTAAATTTAGAAATAATTTATTTTTCTCCAAGACCCTTAGTAAGAATCGCAAATGATGAATATGGTATTCTTCAAGGTACTACATATCAAAATATTATTAAAATAATTGATAATGAATTTCTCAAAAAATGATTTCAGTGCCTAATTCATCATCCTCATAAATGTGTTGGGTTTGTTTACATTTATAACATTTATAAATAAAGTTAGATGAATAAAAACTTTTATGTGTAGAACTTTGTCTATATGGTATATAATTGTTTGATTTGGTGTAACCACAATTGTTCAACATCTAGTACTTAGAGTAGATGAAATGTGTGCTAGTAATAGTTTGTTTATTTCAAAATTTGACATTTTGTTAGAATTTTGACATCTATTTTTTCCTTTTTCTAACAAAGATTCAACACATCCAAAAGTCATAAAGGCATTATTTAACTTGAAAACTGATTATAATAATACTTTTTCTTCAATATCTAATTTAAGTCCACTTTTAAACCTCGAGATCATATATGACTTAGACTCAATTAAATTAAGTAATGAATACAATCTACAAAATCCTTTGGCATATTATACTATTGATGTATTTTCTTATCTACAATTTTGATATTACTCAGATAAAATATGTTTACAACCTGAGAGAAAATATTTATATTTTAATAATTTCTTCATTTTATCTCAACTACAAACTTGATCTTTGCTTGATTTAAATATGTACATTAAAGTTGATCCCACCATGCAGATATTCTACCCTATAATTCATAAATAATTAGTTTGACTTACTTTTTGTTAATAATTTTTGTGTATTCAAAAAACCTTTCAAATTTTGAAATCTAACTAAAGAATTTTCCTATTTTAAATGACTATTAAAAATGGGCAAATCAACTTTCATCCAAAAATGTTCACTACCTTCATAATCAGATAAACTTTTTAAACTATTTGTCATTTGTAAAAAAATTATCTAGGGATACCCTAAATCATTTATCCATAAAATATTTTGGGTATCCATAAAATATGTCATTTGCATATATTCTTGATGCTCAAGAAATTAAATCTGACAAAAAGGGCATGCCATAAAAACGTCATTTTCATTCATTTGACCCCCTTTACATTGTAACATATTTAGACATGAATTTGGATCATTAGTCTGAGCTTTGATGCAACTTGATGTATTCTAAGATACGTGGAGTTGAGATCTTGTATTTAAATTCACAAAAAAAATGAGAATTATGTAAAAATTATTTACCCTAAATCCACATAATGAGTAAACTCTAACCCTTGAATCTACAAGGACTTCATCTTGAGTCTATAAGATAAAAATAGATCATGTAAATCTACAAAGGTTGACGAAATCCACTAGTAGAGAAATAAAACAATAGAAACAAGAAAAAGTCGTAGAATTGATTCAATACCTCTAAAGGTTATAAGGGGAGGACTTTAAGTAGGTCAAAAAATAATTAAGATGATCTTAAAAATAGGAGGTTTTATTGTTAGGTGCCTGAAATTTGAATTTCAGCTCATTCAAACAAATTCAAAAATGGTTAAAGGAGAGAAATGATAGTGCAAACGGGAAAACTAAATTTGGATGTATTTTACCATAAGTCAAATTGTTATGGGGCCAACTCGAGCAAAAATTGAGCCCACTTGGATCTTTAAAATGAGCCCAGTTGCTTTGGGCTTTAAACAAGATGCATCTCTCTCTCTCTCTCTCTCTCTCTCTCTCTCTCTCTCTCCCTCTCTCTCTCTCTCGCTATATCTATATATATATATTATATTTGGCTAAGCCCGGGTATGAAAAAAAGGCAGCCCAGGCCCAGAGAAAATCAGATAGGCGAGGATAAATCCCATAAAATAGGCCCAATATGAGACGGACCCTACGGGACATGATAATAGAAAATATCTACACATTCTACAGTATGATCACTTATATATGCACGGCCCGAGATAGAGGGAGAGAGGGTGGAGAGTAGGTCCTAAAGAGAGAAAGAGATAGGGTTTAGAGTCGGCCCTAGAGAGAGAGAGAGAGAGAGAGAGAGAGAGAGAGAGAGAGGGAGGGGTTAATGGAGCTATTCAGGGCCCTTGAGGATGTTGTACTTGCAGAGGGGGCAGGTTGCATTGATGGAGAGCCACTTGGTGATGCAGGCGGAGTGGAAGTGGTGGTCGCAGGGCAGGGAGCGAAGCTCCGTGGCGTCTTCATACGCCGTGAGGCAGATGCAGCACACCTGAAGACCACAGCGTCTAAGGGTTACACCACACTGACGGCAATGGTGACATCTTTATCCAACGTAACCGTTAGAGAGAGAGAGAGAGAGAGAGAGAGAAGAGGGGGCAAGCAGCGAGAGCAAGAAATATCTCATTAACAAAAACAATAACATCTTTCTTCATCAGTGAGCAAGTAGACCAGTCCCAGAATGATTTTGGCAGCATGCAGCAAGCTTACAGAGAAAGAGAATAGAGCATTAAGTTATCTCAGAGGGAGGGGGGAGAAAGAGAGAGAGAGAGAGAGAGAGAGAGAGAGAGCAAATAACCAAACATAGATATGAAATAGGTCAATTACCATTATCCAAATTAGACAAAAAATAATTTTAAAAAATCATAGATAATATTTAGGAAAAGTCATAATCACTCACAGCTAATCATCCAAAGCTTTCCACTCCAAAAATTCAAACCCAATAATTCAGATAAAAATAATATAAAAATAATGGGTCGATTAAGGGGACTCACCGCATCCTCAGGCAGAAGTGACCTCCCACATCCATCACCTCCATCATCACTTTCCATGGGAACCATCAACCCCCCTACATCACTACCTTTCTCCCCTTCAGTGGCTCCCTGGACGAACTTGTACAGAGGGAGGATGCTGATGTCAGCTTCAGAGGCACCATCCTGTTATCATCAGAGGGGGAATTATTAAGGGGGGTCATTTTTTTTTAATTCTTTTTTTGATGGAAAATTATGTGGTCTGACCTGGCCAGCCACAGTGTAAAGAATGGCAATGATGCAAGGCAGACAGCAGCAGAGGGCGATCCCTATCACACACGCCAAAGCCACACAGAAGGTGGCGAAGAGCACGTCGAACGCCAGTAATGTCACTGCCAACCTGCGCAATATGGGTTTAAGACACCCAACTTAAGTACTGCAGTAAAATGTTTTTCTTCAAAAGGTAGGTGAAAAAGAAAATATTTTAGAAGGATAATTTGATTTTTTCTGCCTTAATCCCCATGAGATGATTAAATAAAACTTGTGAAATATTTATCTTCAATAAACATAAGAAAACATAGGAAGTCTGGAAAATATAGCAAAGATCTTATTTTACCCTACAACAGGGAGATTTAAGAAGGATAATACGAGTTTTTCTGCTGTAATTCTCAGGGCAGATTCATACATACCCTGAACCATATCCATTAGAGATACTCAGACAATAGATGGAACCAGTTCTGAAAACATAAAATGATATCTGGAAAAAATCGTGAAGAGCTTGTTTTGAAGCAATTGTGAAAATGATAAGGTTTAAAAACAATGGTTCGAATTTGTCTTGATTTTCATGGTTAATGAATCCCCTGCACAACATTCACTGAAGATACTCAATGAACATAAGAAAATGTAAGATGATGTCTGGAAAATATTGTAAACAGTTTCTCTTTCAAAGAGCAGTAAACAAGAAGATGGAGATTTAAGAAGAATAATCCAAAATTTCGGCTGTGATTCATCAGAGTATTTATCGAAGAAACTCGGGCACCAGAAGAAACCAGTTCCGAAATAGTACCGGATTTTTTTTTCAAAGAGCAGTAACCATGATATTGGGAAATAGTACCGGATTTTTTTTCCAACCCGTGATGGAAAAGACAAGACTTCCGAAAACATAAGAAGGATGATTTGAATTTTTTTTATTGTGGTTCCCCTGGTCTGGTTATATATATCCTCTAGAGGACTTTCGTTCATCATCACTACACGACCCATTAACATAATCGATGTAAATAATCATGAACTCGTAGTATGAAAAGTTCATGTGAGATCAAGAAATAAAGCGGGTTTTTTGGTTTTTAGCTCCTCATAAACCGATTTAATTACTGATAAATCCCTCATTTTTTCACTTGGACCCATGACTTAATACCCAGCCCATCTCATATATAGTCCTTCAGTCCAACTAACTTCATTAGACATAGGGACTAAAAAATAAGACAAATCGAGCTCTCAGGAGCTACGGGTCGAAGTGAAAAAATGAGGGATTTAATTGTTACCTTAACTGCTATATGGGGATCTAAGACCAAGAAACTCCCCTCCAAAAAAAGGCAGTCAAGAGACTTATGAGGAGTTTTCTAGTTATCTACATGTGGTTTTCAAAGGGTCTTCAAAATATTTTGATATGATCTTAATCAAGATATTTAGTCAACTTGTATGGTAAGAAGAACGCATCCAGAATTCTTTGAGGTTATTTTTATTTAAAATGAGGCCGTTGTTGATCAATAGAGAAATTTAACAGATTTGACATAGAAAAGGGTCAATAATAGGAATACAACAAACTCAGGTTAAATCGACCATTTAAAAATGTTAAACTTGACTACATGAGCACATTAATACGACTTAGAAGGCAATGGAAGTCAAGTAATTTCACAGGGAACCTTAAAGCGGCTCTATTAGATTATACACCATGTAAACCCCAATTTCATTCATTCAATACCCTTTGGTATCGTTCTGCATAAGAAATGCTATTTGAGGTCTTCTTCTTTCCACATAGATGTTTATTTTTTTCTATACATAAATGTTGAGAAATCACCACAGTTATCAATAAATGGGAATACAATAGGAAAACCACAAGCTTTGAGCACACCTAGGGATGAGGGTTAAAAAAATGGATAATAAATAAGATAGATATTTCGGGATAAGGAGAAGATCCGGTCTGTTATTTGCTGCCCCGTATTTAAAGCAGTGCAAATGCGGCCAGATGAAGAAGACTGGCGCCTACTAAAATAAAGGGGAGTAAAGTTCAGATGTGTTTATTCAAAGTAAAATCCGAATAAATCTTTCAATATAGCCATCTACCAAATACTATGTCATTTGTGTAATTTTTGTCATACCAATATAGTGTAGGGGCATCCTGTAGAAAGGCATCACCACCGGATACCACCCAATAGAAGCCAACGATCCACCAGATAAAGGAGGTCACCGTGTTGAGAGATTCACAACTTTTGGCCATCCTGATTAAAAAAAAAACAGAGCTCACATAAATGCAAGAAATAGCAATAAAAGTGAGAGATCTGTATATCGAAATGGATACTTTAAAGAAAGGATAAAGAAAGTTTCTTCATACTTCAATGATCATCGAATAGAGGGATGCTTTTTCATCAAATAATACTAAGAATCCAGAGTTGAAACTAATGTATTAGGTGGAACTGCCTTTTTTAAAGTTTTATTTCTCGCTTTCCCCCTCCTTTTTCTTTTTTTTTTTGGCGGGGGGGGAGATAAACTCTGAGAAAATAATTTCAGATGGTTTCCACATAAATAAATAAGACAAAAAGAAGCACATGAACAGTGAAAACAGTCAGCAATTTTCGTACCATAAGAAAATAGAATTATTAAGAAGTACATGAAATTTGATGTGATATGATCAAATCCCAATACGAAGACTATAGAAATGGAAGAACGATAATAGCATAAGTTCGTCTTGTAAGAGAAATTTGAGATAAATGAAATAATCAAAACTACACATGAAATTCACACACAACATACAGCCTAATATAGGATGAGATTTAACCTCTACATTTATATCTTAAGGCACCAAAAAGCCACTCCCTAGTGTTACACGCTATTTATTTGAGTCTCCTCATTCGTGACTCTTGGACTACTCTACATTCTCTCACATGACAACAGAATACTAAACACATGAAATTCACCCATCATCTCCATTGATAGGAGTCAACACAATGATTGGACTCCTAGCTAATGAACAGCATTAGCCCATTAACGATATCCTATTGTTTTCACCTCCAGTGGCCCGTTAAGTCAGTCCACATTTTGACTCCATTGGCCTATTTATTGATATCAAATATAAATCTGACATATGATAGAGAGAAATTTCAGAACAGATTCATGTCTCCCATCCCATTTAGAAGGGTTCTTGGCGGATAATGTAGTGACTACGTTCACTATCTTGTTTATGATCAGGTCACTCTCCGACCGTCTTAAGCCTAAGCTCAAATCAAATCAAGTTATTTTTCACAATTCTTAAACAATTATCCATAAAGTACAAAACGCTGACTAGAAATGACAATCCAAGGACAACTTCTAGACATCTGTAGCCACTTGCCTATGAATGCAATGGTCAAGAGGAGAACAGCACGTAAATTTAAAATGCAATTTTTTTAAAGCTGAATAACGCAATCCATCTGAATTATTTACCCAAAACCTGATTATCATAATATCATGCTAGTGCAGGGAAAACTTATAGACATCAATAGCAGCTTGTCTATGAATGCACAATCGTGATGATAACAGTATTTTAACCTTGACATGCACAAATTAATATATTCCTTCTGGGTTATCTCTTTAAAAATTTACTAGTCATAATACGATGCTTTCCTCTTCAATTCCTCAATGTAAGTTTAGATGTATAACTAGAGTTTCTGCTGATTTTTTTTCTTAAAGAAAGAGAGTGGTAATAGAGGGGTCCCTTCCCTTTCCGTAAAAGTCAGACCTGGGTTCATTAATGATGCTGAAGATTTTTGTACAGAGCGGAGCGATCTATCAAAAAGAAAGAGCTAGCTTCTCTGTCAGGGAAGGCAGGCCAGTTGAATCGTATTTGCACCCCGACGGGGGGACCAAAGGGAGACTAGTTCAGTGAATGCCCTGTTTTCAGGAATTCTTGAATCAGGAGCATCGAATGCAAGCTGTGAGCAAAAAGAATTATCTTAGCAGACAAGAATGAAATTCAATTAGTCCCACATTTCCCGCATCTATTTGATCCATTCTTCCGAGGAGCGAATGTCGGAAAACAAAGTCAAGCCCAAAACTTCTACCAATCCACGGAACCCTAGAAACTAAGACGATTATGAGGAAGAAAATGAAAGCAACAGCTATGCCCGCTTAAACTTTCATAAATGACATACCGGAATTCCGGAGTCCTTCCTCCAGCCTCCTCGTCGCTACCTTGCGCCTCACCCTCGTTGTGATTCGCCTGGGGTTCCGACGCTTCGGGTCTCCCCTCCTCCACGCCCCCAGTCTGCCGCCGACTCCTGCGCCGATACTCCACCCACACCAAAACAACGTGCACAACACACTGCAACGCATAGCCGGCGATCCAGAGCCGGATCGGAACATTGGGCCGCTCCCTAACGGTGGACGACAGGACCCCCAGGGAGGCCACCACGAACGCGACGTTCCACGAGATGTCGAGCGCCACCACAGGCCTGGAGAACCCCCAGTCGGCTCGTCGCTCCTCCAGCTGCCGCGCTGCCGTCTGCCGCACCAGCAACGACGGCCCCCTCTGCCCCGTCGCCTGCCCGAGCAAAACGGAAAGCCGGCTGGGAATCGCCGCCGCCTCCGACGACGACCGGAGCAAAGGCTCCACTGAATCCCTCGACGACGACGAATCCCCCATCTCCCCCTCCCTTCGCCCCTCACCACGTCCCCGCCCTCCTCTTAAGGAAAGCGGACAGCAAGGAGAATACAAAATTATCCAGCGGCAATTCCTCCACTCTCGCCGCCATCAGCTACTCCCGCTGCTTCTCTCCACTGGATCAGCTCTCCGATGGGGAGGTTTCTGAAGGAGACGGCTCCCAATGCGACTGGTAGTTGGGAAGGTTTCTACGGGGACCTCTTCTCTGTATCCCATAAGCTCACCTAATACTATTCGATGAACACAGAGAAGGTGCATTACCCACTAAAACATTGCCATCTGTCAAACCAAAATGATAATGCCATAAATGATGTCGGTGATGACAGTGGGCTTATTTGGGCCGACTTGGAGCACGGGCTCGGGCCCAAAATCAACTGTAAACTAGGCCACCGCATGTTTTGAAATGTGGGGCCCACTCTCCTCCCCTTTGCCTCCACATGAGTTGGCATCAGATAAGGGTCAACGCGACAAGTCGGAGAAGAACCACCGTTGGGGGGATGGGGAAAAAGCGTAAGAGCCGTGGCTGTGGGACCCACATCGAGCTCCACGCGCAACATGGCCACCGGCGCCTTGACTTTTCAACCTAACGTTATCCACGTGGGTTTCGTCACTCCCCTAGAGAGAGAGAGATACCCGCGGAGAGAGGGGAGAGAGAGAGGGAGATATCTTCCCACCAGAGCCTCTTTTTATAGTGGGTGAGAGTTATCCCCAAAAAAGTGCAAGACTTTTAGAGATCCCTTCTTCTTCCTCATCTAGAGAGAGAGAGAGAGAGAAGTGATATCTGGACTAGAAAGAGAGGGATCCTGCAGCGCCACCATGTTGAACAACGGAGTGCTCAGGAGGAGCAAGAGCGTGAGCGCAGACGAGGATCTCGCTCTGTCAAGGGCCGCCGCATGGGCCTGGCACCAGCACACCACCGCCAAAGAAGGCAAGCTCGTCCAACCCTTCGAAGCTGTCGGCGGCGCCGCTCCCCGCCGGCGCCGCCCTTCTCGCTACAAGCTCGAGGCGGAGGCCGCTTCCGCCATCGCCGCTGCCGTCCACTGCCCTGAGAAGAAGCCTCTCGCGCGAAACGCCTCCCTCTCTCTCTTCGATCGCTACGAGATCGAGCGGATCACCAGCGACCTCGATACCCTCATCCACCGCTCTCGCACCTGCCGGAAGCAATCGGCCAAGCCATCGCCACCGACGCCGTCGCCGGCGACGGCGGCGAAGGCCAGTCCCTTCTGGGCCCGCCACGCCGTCGGCTTTTGCCGGCCCAGGGCTGACGCCGTCGGGACGCCCGTCCTGTTCGTCGGCCACCGCCTGTAACCACCGCCGGCCGCGAGGTCAGCGCCGCCGCCGGTGGCCCACGGCATGTGCTTGCACTGTATAAGATTAGAATGAATTGCACTGTATAATCCTCCATAGCCCCCAGCCATGACAGTTTAATGGACTCCACCGCAATTAAGTATTTCTTATGGTGGTTAAGATAATATATAGCCTCAAACTGATCTCCTCTCTCTGTGTTTGGACATAATTTTCTAGCTTGTCAGGGAGATAAAGCAACATAGAGAAGTTGGCACGGATGATAGTGTAAAGATGCTATTCATCTACCGTCAATATAACAGAGGCTTAGCCGGCCTCTGAGGGCTAACACCGTATTTGGGAAAAAATAAAGGGTTTACTGCAATTCAATGTTTTCCACGTCCGATTGGGATGTGTTTTGTTTTAATGGGCCTTAGTAGATCCATTGGGCTTAGATTGTCTGAGCCTGATTGAAATTGGCCGGGCCATTACGAAAAGCGATTATCCGTTCTCTTGTGATCTGCTGACGAGAGAACGACCCTGAGCCCAGTATCTGACCCATTGGGCCTAATCAAACGAGCCAGCCCACTAATGGACAGTGCGACCTGCAATCGTCCACGTCCGATTGGTGAGCCTTGGATGATCCGGCGGCGGGCAGTGGATGTGGGTGGTGGGGGCGTGGATGATCCAACGGTGTGGTCGCTGCTGTAGACTGGTTGAGTCACCTCCCTCGATGTGTTTGCTGTGAGGCTCTTCCCTCACCTCTGACGGATCGCCGACCTCTCTCAGCAACACAGAAGAGAGAGAGAGAGATGGGGTTCGTCGTGCGAGCTCTCCAACGCGCAAAGCCCACCTTCCAATCCCATCTCTCTCGCGTCTCTAGGGTTTCGCAGAGCCCAGTTCATTCTCCTCTGCGATGGATCTCCTCTACGGTGGACCTCCAGAAGCCGGAGGCGGCGGCGGTGGCTGCCCCAGAGCCTGCCTACGAGATCCACCCAAGGAAGCCCGTGGGCGGGGCGAGGGTGGAGATCTCCAACCCCGAGGACGTGATTGAGGTCTTCGTCGACGGGCATGCTGTCAAAATCCCAAAGGGGATGACCGTTCTCCAGGCCTGCGAGGTGGCTGGGGTAGACATTCCTCGGTTCTGCTACCACAGCCGCCTCTCCATAGCCGGAAACTGCCGAATGTGCCTCGTGGAGGTGGAGAAGTCCCCGAAGCCAGTCGCCTCCTGCGCCATGCCTGCCCTTCCAGGTTAAGATTCGGATGTATTTCGATTGAATATCGTGAAAGGTTAATCCTGCATCCCGCTCTCAATTTTTCGAATTTACTAATGACCTGCAGGGATGAAGATTAAGACGGATACACCCGTGGCGAAGAAAGCAAGGGAGGGGGTGATGGAATTCTTGCTGATGAACCATCCTTTGGATTGCCCAATCTGTGACCAGGGTGGGGAATGCGATCTTCAGGACCAATCAATGGCATTTGGATCAGACCGTGGACGTTTCACAGAGGTGAAGAGGTCGGTTGTCGACAAGAACCTTGGACCACTGGTGAAGACGGTGATGACCCGATGCATCCAATGCACAAGGTGACGCCTTTCTTGACACCTGCGGTACCGGCAATTGAATTTTTTCTTAATGGACTTATGGGAATGGAGCGCTGCAAATTACTTAACAAGAAGCATAACACAATATAAATCACTGAAGAACAAACATGGCGCATTTCATATGAAGTTTCAGATCAAAGATTTCTACATGACGCAAAAAATCTCAGCGAGAATTTTCTAATTTATGAAACGAAATCACTCATGTACAGATACACTGTCGGAGGGCAAAACCTTTTTAAATATAGTGTGAAGTCCTCTCTCACTGAGGCCGATACTAGTAAAACCCAATGTTCTGAAGGTTGCATCCAATGATCAAGCTTCACCCTCTCCAGCTAGTTCTTGCTATTTCTTTTCTTAATGACTTTCATTCGAAGCCATCAGCTTGTCCTCAACTTGCCTTTCAAAGATCACTGTGATTCCAAATTTGCTTTAGAAAGCAAAGAATAAGATGGGGTTTTCTTCTAGGGTTCTAACGGAAATCAAAATATCCATGCAATGTATCGAACTGTTAGGAAAGGAAGGAAATTAATTACAATTTAGTAGATCTTCCAAATCTGTTTATATGTTGGATGGAGTCTGGGAAGATCTCAATGAGAAGTCCTTACTCTAGTTATGCTTATGTTAATTTACTGAAATTCGTTGTTTTCTAGCTCATATTACAGCACACATATCTATTCATTTCTCTCTAGTTTTATCGACAGTTATGATGCCTTTTTATTTTTTACGTTTTTATTTATTCTTCTAAAATTATAAACTTAGATAATAGTTTGAGGCTTATTCTTGCATGTTTGTTATTTTTATTTCTAAACACTTTTCCACTCTTGAAAAATTCTGGAAATCATGCAACATGAAGACAGAATAATCAAAACTTTATGAGAGAATTGACTACCTTATTTGGACAACTTGAAATCTATGGCCTTCGAGATCATGTAATCTATGGCCATGCTGTTGGTGTTCAGAGTCCTACACTGTACTAAGTGTGGCCTTGGGGCTGTTGTGTTATTATATGTTGCACTGCTCTTCCTTGTTTCGCACAAGGGGATTTTTCGATCGGATCTGCTGTGGTTGAACATAGCTTCATTTACAAAGTCTTAGATCTTAAAATTTATAATAGGTGACCACTATACAGTCAAGTTGTGGTTGTGTTCTCAAGAATAGTGTGGTTTAACTCATTTGGTCATTTCTTCCACCATAAATATGCATCATGACTATGGGTTCGTTTATTTCAGTTATCGTTGCCTTAATTTTCAACGAAATATAACAGAATTTTTATGCTTTCATTTCAGCCATTGAAGCCATAGTTATTTGCAAATTCCTACTGATTTTTATGAGTGAAAACCAATTTTTTTATGTAGATTATTTTCTGCTCTTTCATTTTGACAGTTATCTATTGCTTTTCGGGTTAAGCAAGAATGATCTAATGTCTGTACTGCCCAACATAGGCATGATCACATCTTACAGGAGAAGCCATTTTCATTTGCAAATGAAGCTATAGGAACAGTTATCTATGAGCGACCTGTGGTATTTATTTCCTTGTTATATGAGGGAAGGACCAATATTGAAGAGAATAATCCCTTGTCAAAGCTTGCAGGACTCGAAAATGTTTTGAAAGACAAATTCATGATTGAGGAACATGGATCTTAATGAGACAAGGGGTATGGCTTGAGGCGAGAGTCAAGCATTATATTAGTTTGCTTATGTTGTGTTTAGGGGGCTGCAACAGAAGCTATAGGAAGCATAGGTTTTATTCTCGTAACTACCGGGCAATGAAATGGTTAGAGATGGACCAAGGAGTATCTGCCCCGTGTTTTCTTTGCTTCGCCGCTTCAATTGTCCTTAGCATCCCAAAATGAAAGGAAATGAAAACATTATTGAGTTCTCATGGAATGTAGGAATCAAGTTTTTTAAAATTCCACGGCAAGGATGCTAATTCCCGGAAATCGGAGTTGACAAAGATTTACTGACGCTTTCAAATATTTGGAGCATTACTATAAGAAATGTTCAATGAATCTACACGATAAACAAAAAATGGTATAATATGATTGTTATTAAGCATTACTGTGATCCCTCCACCATATGTGTTATTGTGTTTCAGGGGCTTTGTTGTCATTGATCATAAGTCTCCTAAATGTTGGAAATTATGTATCATCCCCTCAACATCACTTTGGCATATTTGCATGGGCAGGATTAACTGAGAAGTGCTCTCTTTCAATCTATAATCCTCTTATAATGTTGAGTCGCAAGTTTCTTTCAACTGATATAATTATATTTCTCGCCTCAGCAGCCACCTTTTTCTCATGACTCGTGTGAACTGTAGTAACATGTTCGTTTGGTAGATGTGTGCTATGCTATTTATTACGCAATCCAAATTTTTGAAACAGGTGTGTTAGATTTGCTACTGAGGTTGCTGGCGTCCAAGACCTTGGCATCTTAGGTCGTGGTAGTGGAGAAGAAATCGGAACATATGTTGAAAAGCTGATGACTAGTGAACTTTCGGGAAATGTGATAGATATATGCCCTGTTGGCGCTCTCACCTCGAAGCCATTTGCTTTTAAGGCGAGAAACTGGGAACTCAAAGGCACTGAGACCATTGATGTCACGGATGCTGTGGGATCGAACATAAGAATCGATAGTAGAGGTCCAGAAGTCATGCGCATTCTTCCACGGTTGAATGAGGTATCTTCTTTCCTTTGTCCCTGGTATCTTATCCTCTACTGATTCAGCGGTTGATTTCCATTATTTGCTCACAGCTTTTTTAGCATCACCATGTTCTTTACATGATGCTGGTTAAATGTCTAGGATATTTCCTTTTTTTTTTTTAAAGGGGGTGAAAAAGGAAGTCTGACTTTATGTAAGTGAGGCCGCAATATTTCATAGTAATTTAATTCTGTGTGAGCCACATACATGACAGAGTTATATTATTAAAAAATCATTTTGGTTTTTTTTTTTTGTTTTCTTCGGGAGGAATTCCAGGTTCTGTTTCTTTTTCATCTATTTGGGGTGCAATTATTTTTGCTGTGCTCATCCAGAAACATGCAGCCTCGGCCTTCTGTTATTCAGAACTTTTCAAAAAAAATTGAAACTAATTTGTGTTTCTTATTTTGGTTGGCATGAATTTTGGGGATTATATATCTGTAAATGTAAGTAATAACATTTGGGATGAGATGATCTTTCCCATTGTTCTGGATGTTCACGGAATTTAGAAAAAAGGGAAAGTCAACGAGCTATCAGGTATTATAACAAGCAGATAGCGATTTTCTTTCTATTAATGGGACAGTAGTCTGATGAACAGAGATCTCTCCATTTATCGTTGAATTTTTTTTTCTTAGTCCTTTGCCATAATATTGTGCAGGACATTAACGAGGAGTGGATATCAGATAAGACTCGCTTCTTCTATGACGGCCTGAAAAGGCAGAGACTCAACGACCCAATGATCCGTGGGCCGGATGGGCGATTTAAATCTGTCAGCTGGCGCGATGCCCTGGCCATTGTGGCAGAGGTTGCCCAGCAAGTAAAGTCTGAGGAGATCGTTGGAATTGCCGGGCAGCTATCAGATGCCGAGTCCATGATGGCGCTCAAGGATTTCCTGAATAGGATGGGATCCAACAACGTTCTGTGTGAAGGAAATGGCTCGGCTCAGGCCGACCTTCGCTCAAGCTATCTCTTGAACACAAGCATTTCTGGCCTCGAGCGTGCTGATGCCTTCCTCATCGTCGGCAGCCAGGTAGATCCTGTTCTTCCTCCTCGCTTCCATTCCATCTGCCTTTTCGATTTTAATTCTCAGTGGGCTCCTAATGCTCGCTATTAAGTTCATGACGAAAATAAATAACAAAATAAATAACAAAATAAATAATTAAATAAATATCTACCTTATGGATTTCTGCCAGCATGTTGTTGTGTTTGGTACACAGATCAGATCACATACCTACGGGGGTGGGTTTTTTTTTTCTCTTGTGAAATTCCCTGGATTAGTACATGAGGAACATTTTTTCTGGGAAATCCCATGTGAAATCATTCCTTCCAGGGTTACATGCCACACAGATACATTTCTTCCATTGCTGCCAGTGCTGAAGCTGGCAGGAAAACAAGGAAGCTGACTTCTTCCATTAAAAGGGTTTTAAACAGATGGGTCAATTAGTTATCAGAAATTCAGTCCTTCATTTATGAGCATTTATTGCGTTTCTGTCTTTTTTTTCTAGAAATTTTCTAATAATTGTTATGCTTCTTTACCATGCCCAGAATATGCCTGATATATCGATTTGCATGTTAAATTCTAACGTGGTATGTGGAATATTTTCTGAGATGGGCTAAAATTATTATGTCACTAACCTTGCAGAAATATTTGTATAATTAGTATTTAATTGTGGTGATTGATGCACCTGAAATAATTAAACATCTTTCGGCAGCCGCGGGTGGAAGCCCCAATGGTCAACGCCAGGATCAGGAAGGCTGTCCGGGCGGCGAAGGCCAAAGTTGGGTACATTGGCCCTCCGGCTGACCTCAACTATGACTACCAGCACCTCGGGACCGGGCCGAAGACCCTCCTCGAGATCGCCGAGGGCCGCCACCCCTTCTGCTCGGCCCTCCTCTCCGCGAAGAACCCCGCCATCATCCTCGGTGCTGGCGTCTTCCAGCGCAGTGACAAAGATGCCATCTTCGCCGCCGCCGAGGCTGTTGCTCGGCACGGCAACCTCGTGCGGCCCGGCTGGAACGGCTTCAACGTCCTGCTGCTGAGCGCTGCCCAGGCCGCCGCCCTCGACCTCGGCCTCGTCCCCGAGCCCGGCTTCAAGCTGGGCGCCGCCAAGTTCCTGTACCTGATGGGGGCCGACGACGTGGGCCTGGAGGAGCTCCCCGAGGATGCCTTCGTGGTCTACCAGGGCCACCATGGCGACAAGGGCGTCTACCGGGCCAACCTGATCCTGCCTTCATCGGCATTCAGCGAGAAGGAGGGTACGTATGAGAACACCGAGGGCTGCGCACAGTGGACGGCTCCGGCGGTACCGACGGTCGGCGATGCCAGGGACGATTGGAAGATCGTCCGGGCGTTGTCGGAGGTGGCGGGCGTTGGGCTGCCGTATGACACGCTCGAGGCCGTGCGGGCTCGCATGGAGACGGTGGCGCCAAATCTGCTGCGGGTGGATGAGAGGGAGGAAGCCACGTCCTTCATTGGCCTGACCCCGGAGCGTCCGCAGGTGATGAACTTCGCGCCGTTTGGGAACGCCGTCGAGAACTTCTACATGACCGACTCGATCACCCGGGCGTCGAAGATCATGGCGCAGTGCAGTGCCGCGTTGCAAAAGGAGAAGTGATCTTCTTCTCTCTCTCCCTCTCTCTCCATTCTCTTTTGGTTTTCCTCCTGTCTGTGCCTACTACTCCCAGTTTTAGAGAGAGAAACTGTGCTCTTTGGGTGCCATAACAGGATTTGTGCTCATAAATGGCCACTGCTTGACTCAACTGTACTGCCGATGGGGGGAGCGAAGCCGATCGGAGTTTTTATTTTTTAGTTTTTTAGGGTCATTTATGACTCCATTAAATATGAAGGCTCTCTCTCGCTGGTGGGTGCTTCTCTCTCTTCTAGTCTCCATGGGCAAAGCAGCTCTTCTTGTACAGAGGTTTGAGAGGAGGCCCCCCAGATGGAAACACCTTTTCCAATCAAGTCATTTGGATAACTGCAACCATTCTCTCTCTCTTCACATCGGCGAACCCACGCGACGTTGATGATGCCTGCGAGAGCCTTCTTCTCCCTCCTCAAAACCCACCGTGGTCAACCTCTTCCTTCACTCCCGGGCACAATTTCTTGAACAAGCTGATGAGCAGTTGTCCGTATGATATTTCATGGATCCAAACTTAATTAATCAAACACATTTCATCGACTGGGTTACGACTCTCTCTCTCTCTCTCACTCTCTCTGGCCCGAGCCAGTTTTTTCGGGGTTTTTTATCACTAATGGACTTCCTCCCAGCCCACTATCACCCATTTCTATTTAGCTCTTGTGAAAAAGACAAACAAATAATTTCCATCATTCTCCATCAGATCACCCAAGCTCCCCCTTATCCGGAGCCTCGCCTCCTCTTCCCGCCGCCATGCTGGCCGCGGGAGGGTCGCTGAGGCTGGTCCCGCAGCCCCTCGCCCCACCAAGCCGTCCTCTCCGCCGAACGATGGCGGCAGCGGCCCCCCCGCCGCCGTCCTCTCCGTGGGCGGCGGCTCCGCCGCGGAGGCCTTCCGCTGCCGGCTATCCCCCGCCGCCGTGGGTCTGCCGCGCGCGGCGGCGGGTGCGGTACGGAGGCGGAGAGGAGGAGGAGGAGGAGAAGGAGCAGGGGCACAACTGGGAGCTCGCCCTGGTGGAGTCCTTCAGCGCCGCCGCCAGGGACCAGGCCTTTCTGGTCCACGCTATCGTCGACGGAGAAGAAGAGACGGTCCTGGTCTTCAGAGTGAGCTTTCTCTTGACCTTGCTCCTATTGGGCTGAGAATAGGCGCAGCTAAAACAGGCCCATTTCTGAAATCCCCTCGTTTTCTCCGGACATTTAAGAAGTCAATGCTCGTATCAAACCTTTTTTTTTCTCTTGTCGTTGACTTTTCATGCTACGAACCATGAAACGTTGGATGGAATGACACCTTAACAATAGTCGAGTCAATTTTGTCAATCATATTATTCTCATGCTAGCGGAGTTAGACTTTTCTATGTGAGGATTCAAGGAGTCAATGATCATGTGGCACCATTTTCATGCCTTTGGAGTTGACCCTTCCCCTATTGGTTTTCTTATTGAGACCATGAAACCAAGGATCAGATTGACCAGCAACATTAGAAAAGTCAATTCTAATATCATGCTAGTTTCATCCTTGAGTAGTTGACTTTTCCTCTAAATTTCCTCGCATAACACATGAAAGCTAGAATCGATCGAATTGGTTGACAGTACTTGAGGCGTCAATTCTAATTTTGTGCCAGTTTCATCCCGGTAGCGTTGACTTTTGCTCTATTTTTATTTTTCTCTGGAACCATGAATCCTAAGATAAAAGTGGAAAATGCAAGTCAAAATGTCTCCGAGATCACAATTCCTGGCTGATACAGCTCGTCTTATCTTATGGTACACAGTGTTCATCGAACATAATATTTCATGCTTCTTAACCCTAGTTGACTAATGACAACATCCAAAGGAAATGAGCCATTGAATCATTTGACGATTAGATTGACTGTCTGACACGATCTGCCTCTGCCTTGGCTCGACACATCACTACTATGCCCAAGGGAACTAAACGTCAAAACCAATCACGATTTCAATCGAGGTTGACCATGTCGAATCTAATCCATCTTGATCCAACACAACTCATGGCAATATCACCCACCCACGATCTTCATTGAGTTGACCATATGTGATCCTGTCCTCCTTGACCAAATTTGAATCAGGGGAACATCTGGAGGACCCATTTCTTACCAGGATAGATCTTGGCTGACCCAAGTTGACTTGCTACGATATCCATCCAGAGGAATGATCCAACCATGGCTGTGGTCACGATTTGACCACAATTCAGATCACGATCTTCATTAGTCTCAATCATGCCCAGTTGAGGGCAGAGCCGAACCATCTGATCCGATCTGAATTCCGATCAAGATCAAGATCGACTGGTGCGCCTTGGGCCGGCTTGATGCATGACAATCATCTAATGACACCATCTGAGCTTGACTGATTAGATCAGGTCGCCCAATCACATTTCAGCAAATGGGTTGCGCTCTTTAAGATTTTATTTTAAAGAAATTTCGAAAAAAAGACATGAATTTTGTGTGTGGGCTGGTGCAGGGGTTTTCGTCGCTGCTGAGCTCGGGGACGTCGCCGGACCCGGCGAGGAGCGTTCTGCCGGCGCGGGCGGTGGTGCAGTCGGTGGACGTGGTCAGGGGACCCTTCGACCCCTCCAACATCGAATACCTCGAGAGGGGCCTCTCATGGGGGCTATTCAAGGCCAGGCTCACGCCGGGCCGGCCCTTCTAGTCCTCGCCTCACAGGCAGCAGGGTGAGAAACAGAACGCAGGAAGCCAAGGCAGATCCCCCGTTCATCATTCCTTCTCTGTAATAATGCTAATGTTTCTGCTCTCTCTCTCTCTCTCTCTCTCTCTATCTCTCTCTTGCTTGATGAGCCGGAGAAATCGACAGCCTCCTCCAAGTGCATATACTGTCTATTTCTCACTCATTTTCTCCCAATAAATACGCCTCTGTTCATAGGATAATCCCAAATGGGGTAACAAGCAACATCTCGCCAGTGAATTGATAGAGCAGATACACGCACTTAGAGAGAGAGAGAGAGAGAGGCACTTAGAGAGAGTCTCTCTCTCTATCTCTCTCCCTCAATGGACCAGAGAAATCGTCACTGACTCCCAATACATAACATTTATCTATTCATCTCCGTCTCTCTCGCATTTGAACTGATATCACACCCACTACCTGAGAGAGAGAGATTTGTGGGCTTACCTCGAAGGTCGTCAAGGGTGGCCATCGGATGAGGTGGCGGCGGGCAGGTACAATTTCTGGCCGTCAGATATCATCTCTACGTCGGGGATCCTCCCCCCGTCCTCGGAGAGTATCCGCCATCCCGAGCAGCCCAGCTTCTCCTGGGCGGCCTTGACGAGCTCCTCGATGGAGCGAGGGACCCACATCACGATGCCCTCTCTCCTCCCCTCCCGCGGGCCCCACGGATGGAAGGGAAACACCGTGCACCTCACCGGGTGCGTCTTGTCTGTCCACAGAATCAAAATTTCTCAGCATTAAATAACACCCAAAAATGTTAATTTTCTTCTATTTCTACAGGGCCGGCCCGAGGCCATTGACTTCTCCCAAGGTCAACCTGGGTGGTTTGGATCTCATTCCAATCTAGCTGCCCTAACCTCTACTTTCAGAAATTTCAACTGCAGTCATCAACGGCTTGATTCCTAATAATCTACCTGACATAGATATACCTTTGAAAAAGAAAAAAGATTTTATGGGTTTTCGGGTGCTCACGGATCTCCTTGAGGCGCTCGGGGAACTCGGTCAACTCGGAAAACTTGGCGTCGTCGAGGAGCTTGATCATCACCTTGCTCCCGCACTTGCGCGCCTCGTCCAGCGGAGTGTTCCCCCATCTGCAGTTTCCATAAGATGAGGATGATGACTTGGACATGCGAAGCTATGAAAATATCTACACGGTCCCAGAAGGTCAACCTGTCTTCTGTGAAGACGCTGGCGCCGGATTCGAGGAGGATCCTGGCTATGACGTGGAGGCCCTCGGCGGCCGCCAGGTGGAGCGGGGTGCGGTGGTCATAGTCTCTGGAGTTGGGGTCAACCCCGTTGGAGAGGACCCTCTTCAGGAAATCCACGTCGCCGTTGGCCACGGCCTGGCAGAGGTGGGAGCCGGCATTCTCCAGGCTCAGGGAGGCGCCGTTCTTCACCATCAGTGCGGCCACCCGGTCGTGGCCGTTCCTGATGGCCTCCAGCATCGGCGTGTTGCCGAATTTATCTGGGTGTTTTTACTCTTCGGACTTAGCTGACGAACAGTGAAGAGCCAGAAGAAGAGCAGATCAGAGACCCGGATCTCGGGCTGTACCTCGTCTGTCGATCTCCGCGCCTTCTTGGATGAGGAACTGGCAGACGTCTTCGTAGCCTTTGGAAGCTGCATGATGCTTTGGAGAAGAAGAAGGAGAACACCGTCGGACACCGTCGGAGACAGATGAATCATGATGTCTTGAAAACTTGGAGAGTTCATACCAGAGGTGAACGGCCGTCGTAATCAGACTTGTTGGGATCCGCGCCCGCTCGAATCAGACCCTTCAGGTGATGCAGATCCCCATGGAAAGCCGCGTTGTTGACTTTCAGAGCAAGCTCGGCCTCTTGCTTCCCAATGTGGAAGCTGACGTCCGACTCCAGCTGCTTGATCTGAAGCGTTGACTCATTACCCTGCACAACATAAATTCCCATCTACTTTTAGTAAAATCTCATAAAATCCCAAGCCAGCGGCTACCCAGGATGCGTGACCTCTAGGAGGTTCTTGAAGACGGCCCTTCCGTCGAAGAAGTAGATCTGCATGATGTTGGTGAAGGACTGCTTGTCGAGTCGCAGGAGTCGACTCAGCTCGGAGACCCGGACGGTGTAAGGCTGGGGAATGTTGCAGAGCACGGCGATCTCCCCGAACGAACAGTCGGCCTCCAGTTGCAGTATGGTCTCTTCAGAGCCGTCCTCCGCAATGGCCACTCCGTCCTGCGCAGCAAAGCCATGAGCTCGTCAATGGCGGCATTCCAGTTGACCATCCGCAGCCATGAGCTCGTCAAGGGGAGTTCTTTTTCTTGACTCACCAGTACACCATGACTCACAAAATAAAGCTGATCCACGGCATTTCCCTGTTCCATGATGATTTCACCCGGAAGAAAAAATTCTTCTTGTAGTCTAACTACCTGTGATTCATTCGTTTTCTTGAGTCGAAAAATTACCGAACCAATAGCTATTGGATCAACAGACATATAAATAAATTGGAAAAAAGTAAAATTAAAATAATTACCGTAATCTTATATTAAATTATCGTGTAAGTGAACAAGAATCTTAAACTGGTTTGAACTTCACACCATGAATGACATTGGGTCAGCCCTGTTCTACGGCCATTTTTGTTTGAAGAACATAATTAGATGCGAAAAATACCCAGTCTAAGATTTCCCAAGGTATTTTTAATGATATGATGACCGTCTAAGTTTGTAAAATGCTGATGCTTTCCAAGCCTGTTATACATTATTTTATTCTTTAAAAGAACACAATGAAGTTTAAAATAAATGAAATGTGAAAATGTTCACCAGCTACCTGAAGCATTCATCCTTTAGATATGCTTGCATGCAAGGAATTCCCACGTAATTTTGAAACATATCCATAAAATTAGAAGAAAGTGGCGGTGCGAATTCACATCGCATTGTTTCTTTCACACAATTCACATGGAGTCCAATAAAGTGAACGGTACACATCCTTCATATGATATATAATTCGTAGTATGTGAGCCACAATTGATTCTCCAAGAAATAAGGATATGAGAAAGATCTGACTTTGGCTATAATTTTTCAAAATATCTCAAAATTATTTCTAGAAAGCCCTTCAGTTGTGAGCATCAGCACAAGAACTGAAAGGAAATCCTACAAGTTAAAAAGAGATGATGTATATATAATCCAGAAGCTCCTGAAAAGGAGACAGGATATGACATGAAAGTCTTCATATACATCAAAAAGAAAATTTATTTATTTCTCAATAATGAATTCAAAAGAAACCTAGGAACAGTAAATAGTTTGAGCGAGTAAGAGAGACACTGAGTTCAACTCTTTTCTCACATTGGTATTATCTTTTGGGTCAGCATATATGATAGGAAATGAGAGTCGCATGTGTTCCCATGACAATGGGAAGGAACCTGAAGATCTGAAGTACACCCGACACTCTTTAGATTGTGAGAGTGAACTGAGAAGCTCTGTGCCCCAGCATCAGGAATTCCTTAACTAATGGCGATGAATATGGAAACCTTTCGCTTTGGTAACTCCCATCTATATTGTCTTGAAGAGAATATATAAGAAAAATTTCCCTTTTCGTGAAAACTACAGATGAGTATAATAAGGTAATACCTCGTCAAAGAAAACGTTTCAAGTGACTAACTTCGCGACATTTAAGCAGAAAATTACCAGAAAGAAGGGGAAATTAATTTCTTACGATCTGATTTATAAATTCTGATGAGCATCCTTTAAATAGAGGAACTTTTTCAATGTATGGCCGGTACAAACTCTGTGAAACCTGCAACAGAAAGCATTTTTAGTTAAACATATTGGTATAAGACATTGTTCCCTATTTAGAATTTATATAGAGATTTTCTAATTCCATAAAAAAAATTGAATCATGCATGAGTCAAATCAGTTCATACTAATCTATGTACCTTGGCACGAATAGAGATTGGCATGTCCTGAAGAACATTAGTATCTGTGTAGCTTATGTCGTATTGCAAGCGCACGTGCCCTTTTATTTGGTTCCGTATATCCTTGACAAGTTTATTTCTGTTCATGTATTTAATCAACTCTGTCATTTTGTCTCTATATCTCTCTGTATTCGATCCTTTAACAATTAAAGCGGTCATGTTTCCGATCAAGTAAGCCCCAAGTATCATATCGAAGGAAACAAATATCATAACGAACACCATTTCCCTTATATTAACTGCATGAATATCTCCATAACCTGCGACGTGGTTTGAGAAGCACCAGCATTAAACATTAGTCCGTATCCATGTCGAGAGATAATCCTACCATCATAAAAACAAATAAACAGGATTTTGCGGAAATTAATCATCTCAGTCCCGTAAAGGAAGGCTACGCCTTGATGCTTTGTAAAGATCAGCATTATCATCAACATCAGGAGCATCAACTCACTCATTTGCTGGCCTGTAGATCTAAATCAAGAAAAACAGCAAAACCGGTCGTCAAATTGTTTTAGACACTGTGAAGGGTCGAAATGAACAGGAACAGGATAAGCCTGATGTTGGGATGTGTAAATAACATGAGACTGTTAGAGCATAGCTTCTGCCTTTTTTTTCTTTTTTTTTAAAATGGAGTACTTCTTGAGATTATCCATGATCGAAGGGAATCTATATTCCTAAGAAATTCAAATCCATTATCTCGCATATATTTGCTTAAAAGAATGAGATATTGCGTTTTGTACAGAAAAAGGAGTCCCGCAACAGCAACTAGGTTCCTTCAAAAGTTCATAGCCCATCCATATTACTGTAGTCAACATGAAAATCTTAGGAAGGCTTCACGGGAGTCAAGTCCTAGTTAATAATCCAAAGACATATCTATGAAATATAAGCATCAGTTTTGCATTTAGTTTTTAATAAGGGCTGGAGAACATTGCTATTCCCAGAAGGAAAAAAGATCATGAAAGCCTTGATTTTAGGGAATCAGATGTAGAAACTGGCACACGTACCCACAGTCGCCATGGTAATTATAGCAAAATATAATGATGTCAAGTACCGCTTCAAAAGATCTATCTCCCTGAAATTCTTATAGCTGTTTTCACCGAGTTGTAGACTTCCAATCCATGTGTATCCTTCCATAGATGATGGCAGGGTTGTCGCTAAGTAGTAAAAAATACAAGCAGCAGTATGCGTACAATACAGCTCAACAGCGATGAGTTTAATGATCCTCGTGAACAAGTAGTTTACTCGAATATCCTTCTCTAGAGTCTGTAGAAACTTGGTAATCTTTCGCACCCGGCATAATCGGATCCACAGGAAGTACCTTACCTCTTCCTTTCTCCCGGAAGCCTACATACAGCAATACATACAAGAAGATAAAATGATCTGGGCAGTAAGAAAATGCCTTAGAGAACAAACACTTGCATGAAAATATTAATCTTTTTTTCATATTCATGATAAAAAAATTAACATGAATCAGTATCGTCAGTTTAAATAAGATAACTCCCAAAATGTCTCGTATTATGTATCCGGATAGATGCCGTGTTTGGATCGAATGTCATCACATTAGACACAAACTGTCTGGAAAACAATACTAAATAACTAAGAACAGTATTCTATTATTAGAAAAGGAAAAACTTGTTTTCAATGAAGCTTATATTATTCCAGTATGTAAACAAATGCGATCGAATCCCATCTCATTAAAATTATTTTTTCTGCTTATGAAATATCTCTCTCCGGTAACATGATAACATCACTTGGATTGACCAAGCTAGAACAATGATAGGCCCTAGTGGGTGTATTTTTTTATCATTCGGCGACAGCGTCAGACTGTACGGGCTGGGCTACTACGACATGGCATCTAGGGCAGTGTGAAGAAGTCCCTGCTCACCTTGTAGATAATATCCCACGGAAGGCACGCCAGGAGATCCATCAAGAAACCCGACTTCAGGTATCTGGCACCGAGGAAGGCCATATCAGGTTGGTATAGCAGATGTACAGAGAGGATTCGGGGAAAATTTTATTATTTGGAGTAAATTGAAAAGAATACCCTACAAGAATTATAGACTAAAAAGAGTAATATAGGAATTTATCCCTTGGATAATTCAATGTCTCCTTCACGCCAAAACAATGCGCGTCAGCATCACCATCATGGTCTCCAACTTGTGTATTTTTGGTAAATAATTTTGAACTGCCGATAGAACATTTTAACCGAATAGTCCACCTACTCGAGAGTATCTAAAAGGTGTATCTATATTTTATTCAAGTTGAAAAAGAAAAATTGACGGAACTGGATGACGTTACCGGAGGGCGATGCGCCGGGGACTGTACACCATCCGGTAGGTCTGAGCGTCGCGGAAGGCCAGGAAGAAATGAATGAAGATGTCGACGAAGAAGGCGAACTGCCCGGCGATGTCCAGCAGCAGCAGCTTTTGCGGCAAGCCGCGGAAGAACCCGAACTCCAACGGGGTGAAGAAAGACGAGTATACAGCCCACAGCAGAATGAGATGCGTCCACAGCCGATAGAACCTGGACAGAGAATATATATCTGTGAGTTCGGGAACAAAGAGACTCTCTGTTTTCCGATTTTTCTCTAACAAGGTCTCACAATGATCATAGTCAAAGTAAGTATATGCGACTCTCTGTTCTCAAGAACATTGCGCATGCTGACAGAAACTAACTTTCTTTGAAGTCAGATACCACCCAAAAGCTTCCGATCAAAATCACAAAAGATTTCATGGAAAAAATAAGCATGTTTAATGATCTTAACCCACATGGGATTTAAATACTAAGGTGAAGCATGGACAAATCAAGTTAGAAGATAATAAAAATCAGTCAGTCGACGAGCTAGACGGAAGGGAGGGATCAGACGTAAATGGTTACGTGAAGAGGATCCAGTTGGTTTCGTAGCCTCACGTCACAAGGGGCCCATTAAATGGGTTTTATAAATGACCCGCCCATAGTAGTTTTGCGCAAGGGAATCTCCTCTGCGTTTTATCCAAAAGAATCTTGTGGGGAATCTCCGCCCCACTTGCCTCCGGGACGGCGTCACACCCGGCAGGAAGTCTGCGGCCTGACGCGGACCGCTTTGCTTAACCTTTTCTCAGAGCAGCCCCCAGCGGAAGTCTCGACCACTACAACCTCAGACAAGTAGGGTTCTCGGCCTTTTTCTAATATATTTAAAACTTTTCAATATAAGATAGTCGTATTATAATCACGAGGGTCCGAATTTTTTCTTAATTTCGAAAGTTCAATGCACAGAAGATGTTAAAAAAGTCAAATAAATAAATCGTTAATGAATGCAATCGTGATTAAATAATAGAAAAATGAATTAAAACATAGTAAAACAAAATTAAAAGGATCATTTTCTATGATTTAATGAATGCATGATCCAAGGAAAGAACTGGTAGTAAATATCTACGCGCCAAGCTGGGTCATGGGTGTGGTGGCGGCTGACACTGACCTAGATAAGACATCTCTATATATATATATTTTCCTGATTATAAAATCAACCCGAGTAAACTAGTTTTGATAAATTTATGAAGCAGCACGCCGTAGGACAGCTGTGAATAAGTCCGAGAACACGGAGACTCCGAAATGGACGCGCGCTCCAACGAAGAAATGTTGTTCGTTCATCATCCATGAATGCAATTCGTCTACCCATTCTTCTTGTCGATGATCTGGCATCTATATCTTACCATACACTGCACGCAGACCTGGGGATCCCGGGTTTGAATGCCCATTTCTCCGACTGACTAATTATATCTGAGGTTTTCCAGAGGGGGGAGGCAGTAAATGGAAAGCATGTATGATTCGATTCTCACCTGTTGTCGGGAGTGATGATGAACCGCCCGAAGCAGCCTTTGAACCCATTGACAAGCCGGTCTCGGCTGGCCGTTCGCATCCTCAATTGGCGCCCCAGAAGCGCGAACCGACTGCCCATGGAAGACCCGTTCTCCGGCAAATCTTCGATCTCGAACTCCTCTTCCTCCTCCTCCCGCTCCGGGGAATCTCTGCTCTCCACGATACGGGACGGCATGGTGGCGGCGGGGACGGACGGTGATGGCTCCCGTAGGCAGCGGGGAAATGGATGAATAGACACTCCCAATCCCAACTCGCAGGAAGCGGGATGGTTCCCTCCGATCCAAAATCTTCCTATCAGCCTCGGACACTGCTATATCCGAATCAGAGACGAATCACCAAAAGGAAGAAGACGACAACGAACAACAGAGCGGAGGGGGTGGCGAAACGCCGAGAATGGACGCAGCAGCAATATGCCATAGAATCAGACAGTTCACTGATCAATGGCAACCTGCGGCGGAGGGACGGCGCGGCTAGAACGCTCCGCAACAATCTGGGGCTCGCCGTCAGTCCATCCTCGATCCAGAGCAAGGAATCTTGATCTCCAGAGATCTTCCGATCGACCAGGTTACTGATAGAGAGATACCGATAGAGAGCGAGAGCGAGAGAGAGAGAGAGAGAGAGAGAGAGAGAGAGAGAGAGAGAGAAGGGGTGGCGGTACAGAGAGAAAGGGAAGACAATTTGAATAAGAGAGGAAGAAACTGAGAGTAAGGATTTTATAGAACAGGAGAAAGGCGACCGGAGAGAGAGAGGGAGACAGGGAGAGGGAGGGAGGAGAGAGACTTCTACGATCAATGTGGGCCCAGAGATAATACGTGTCACGTCCGGATCGGCCCCGACAACTGGGACCACCACGAAAGGTGACGCCCTGCCGTCTTCTCTCGCTACCGATCATCGCATTTTTATGATTTATTTCCTATTAATTTCAACATTTACAAAAATATCTATTATTAAATGTAATAATCAATTTCTCTATCCTTCTCTCTATGGCGCCAATGTTGGCCACGCAGATGCGGAAGGAGGACAGAGTTTCAAGGGCAGGACACGGAGTACACGTGCGAAGAGCACCTTTAACGACGACTTTTGCACGCGCAGACGTGCGCCAGCCATTATCGTTGAAGGCTGGCTTAAAAGCAGGCGGGGGCCCACGTAAACGGACCCTAAGTGCATGGCCGCCGCAGCATAATGATTGGCCTAAGACGACGGCGCACCATACGCCCGTGAAAAGCTCACAGGGAAACATTAAAAGCTGACTCTTTTTCCTTAATGATCCCTATCTCTTTATTAATTAATGAATTAAACTTTTAATGCATTTATGCATATTTGACATAGATCTTCATAATTTAATATCATTTTTTATAAAAATAATATGATACCGCTAAATAATATTAAATATAATAAGAGTATGCCTCTCCCTCCCTCTCTCTCTCTAGAGAGAATAAAACTGCTTAGGTCATTATCAAAATGAATGTAAGATCAATCTATCCTAGCCCTCGAGTCATGTCCAATGAAACAAAAATAATCAGGTGGATTTCCAAAAGTCCATTATACATTGATTAAGTCCCAACCTGCCAATGGAATGTCAACCAAAGGTGCATTACCACATTACTATAACCACTTTCTCTCTCTATACCAACCAACAAACTACTCTCTCAAATTCTTCAATCCAAAGACCTCGTGTGAGAGATGTTGCATGCAGGAACGAGGTTCTAGGTGTGTATAAACTTCCCACTGATATGAGGTTGTGTAAATGCACTTATAGGTGTGGCATGTTGTATACATCAATGCACGATCTGGATAGAATTTAGGACTAAGGTACATTGAGATAATAATTTTGATGTGCATAGATAAATTATCAACATGTTTATAATGAGAAATTGTATGAGTTTTGTTGGACCTCACTAATTTCAAAATTGATGTATAATATTTCAATATCGTTTATATGTTCTAGAAATATGTTTTTAAAGCATCAAATGAAGAAATAAGATGTCAAGAAATAGTATCAAAGTCAAACTAGGTTGAAAAAAATCGAAATAAATAAATATAGAAAAGTTTTTAGTGGATAGAGAAAAGGTGTGTCAGCTCATTTGAACCACTAAGCAAATGTATTGACCAAGTATTAGTTAGAAGAATGAAAATGATGACTAGATCATGTGGAAAATATGATTTGACAAGTGACTCAACAAGAACACAAATCAATTGACATGTGACAATCATATGACACGAAGCCAATGATGTGATAAAATTTTTAAATCAAGTAACATGTGGAATCACCTAGTGACATCTAGCATAGTCAAAACACTTAAGTGACACATGAAGACAAAGATGGAGAGCACCACACCTTGCCCAACCACACAAATGTCATCACATCTTCAATCATTCTCTTCTATTTTGATCCCTTTAGTATGAAGGAAAATCTAACAAATGCTTCCTCGATCATTCTTTAACTACCACAATCTTTTGCTTGATCACATGAAGCAAAAGAATGACTCAATTTCTCATCAAGCCACTTCCATCTAATCAACTTCATGAAGGAAAGAGAAACTAGTTTCTCATCGATCACCTCCTATTGTTTTATCTCTTTTGTGTGAAGGGAACATTGATCATCCATTTTTCATGTCACACTGATTGGGATCCATATAGTTGATTGCAAAAAATAGCAACACAATTCATTTTCAACATTTATGCTCTTTAATAGACCTCAAAAGGCAAGATAGCTTTTATTCTCTTGATCATTGATACAGCCCAAAACTTGAAGCCTACTACTGAAGAAGCCTGAAGCTCACTATTGATGCACCTTGAAGCCCATTATTGTTCCAGCTTGAAGCCCACTTTAGTTAGTTGGGCCCAATTAAGAAATTAGGCTAATATATCTATTTTTATTATTTTCTAAATTTCATCTAAATTGTAAATTTCAATTTCAAATTTCAAATTTTCGTTTGAAATTCGAATTTCATCCGAAATTCAAATTTCAAATTTAAACTTCATTTGAAATTCAAATCTTGGTGCCAAATCAAGACTCTTTAGCCTATTTATAGGCACCCCTAGTAGCCCTTGAGGCATACTGCTTTCTATCAATCTAATTTCGTGAGTTTCTTCTCTTGAAGTTCTCTTCCTCTACTGGTGGACTTCAGCACCTCCTTATGGACTCAAGGACCTGTCCTCCTCAACTTATGGATTCAAAGTGAAGGGACAACTACTAGAACACATTTTTTGAGGATTCAAGACATGGCTTCGACCCCCACAACACTAGAGTTGATCATAACTCGTTCAAGCCATCTCCTTCTCAAGTTTTGCTGCATCAAATGGTATTAGAGCCAGATTAGTGATCTAGATTTAGATCTATAAGATGTCACGAGGTAAAGGGATTCACATCAATGACAATGAAAGTTTTGAGGTATGTACTATTTCAAAATCAAAGTTTGCTGATTTCAAGACTCATATAGAACAAAAATTTAAAGCTTTGAATGACATTTTGAAATAAATCGTAGCATGAATTTCTATAGAAGAATGTCAATCTCATGGTCAAACTAGTCAAAAATAAAATAATTTATAAAAAAATATCAAATAATACATGAAGCTCAAAAAGTAGATCAAATTATGATGATTGTAGAGATTTTCAAATGAAAATTGATTTACCTAGTTTTAATAGACATATGAAAATAGAAGACTTTTAGATTTGATTTCTGAAGTTGAGAGATTTTTTGAATATATGAAGATTTCTGATGAGAAACTGATGAAATTAGTTGCCTATTGATAAGTCTTCATTATCATGAGTTAATAATTAGTAAATAATATAGTTTTAGCCTTAACTTGTGATAAATAGACTTATATTTGTGTTAAAGTGTGAAAAGTGGTTTTCAGTTGATTAATGTGATTTTTTGGGTAATTATGTGATTTTATACGAATTTATATGATTTTTACAATCTTACTTTTGAGATAAATGAAGAAAAAGAAATAAAACTAAAATATTGCAAAACAGGGGGGACCTGCCGGCCAGCCGGGCCCGCAAGCGGGTCGGAAGCTCAGTCGGGGAGTAGCCGTGAGCAGGGGCTCGAGCGGCTTGGACCGATAGGGGCTCGTGTGCGCCACTCCCCTTCCATGTCATCGGTGGCCAGCCGGCTATGGGGCAAGGAGTGGTCGTACATGCGAGAGAAGGAACTTTGCTTAGAAATGTAACATTACTATATATTCGCCCGAAAAATCGGCGCACAACCGATGTGGGACTAAACCTGCGTCACACCTTCCTTAGAAGGGGGGGACAACCGGCGCGGGTTCGAATCCTCCCAGAGTCAAAATTCATATATTTTTATCTGATTATCGTAACTTTCTTGTAGATCGCCAGTGAAGGATTAAGCAACAAGAATCACTGGATCATCGACGAAAATCTCGTCAATGCAATTCGCGGAGCATTGCTACTAAAATTGCTGAACGATTCGCGATAAAAGGATCGCGAATCCATCGAGTAAATCATCTCCGATTGATCGACGAACAAGCCATCGTCGGGAAGAGGACGATCCGCCGGGAGATGAGTCGCCACCTCCTGAGAGCATACCAGATGCGATGAAGAGCCTCCTCTTGCTGCGTGCACCTGAGGATGAAGCTCCCTGACATGCGCTCCACCTCCATCCAGCTCCTCTCCGTCGGGTGACAGCCACCGGAGAGCCACAAAGTCGCTATTTTTCCGCTCTGCTGGGTGATAGCCGTCAGAGACAACTTGACGACCCATTTCATTAATCTCTAGACTTCGCGAGAAGATCTAGAGATTGCCCACGTCGTCCTTGTCCAAGGAGAGCCTTCGAGGCCATGGACACTGCACGACGATCCTCCCGAACACTCAGAATTTCGGTGCATCACCGATGCATCGCCGTCACGACGCCAGAACTTTGTTTTCCTGCTTTTAACTTATTTTACGCTTCATTTAGTGATAGTTTTTGTGATTTTAATTTACCAAAATATACTTTGTTCTATTACAATTCTTTCGGCTTTTACAGATCTTAATTTGATTAATTAAATCGTCTGTAATCGCTTACGTAAGAATCGTCGGGCGAAACTCTATTTTTGCTCGATTCACGTTCGCCGGGCACTGACATCATCTTGACGTCCGCACCCTTATTTCCTTTTTTTTTCGTGAATTTAAAATATATTTTCTTTTCATTTCTTAGTATAAAATTCATAGAAAATAATAATCTTTGAGGAAAATTCTGAATAATTACCAGATATTATATTACATCCCTGTGATCGACTTGAAAAATTACTGCTATTTTTGGAAGTTTTATGGAATTATAATTGATATATTTATTTAGAAATACTTCTAAATATCTGAAAATTCGTATTTTCTAGTTTTATAAATTTTATATTTGCATGATTTAATATACAACGACTTAGTCACGTCACTTATAAACTCAAAAGTGGGCCCTCTACATGATATGATCAACTATAATCCACTCATGCAAGATTGGGAAAAGATCAATTTCGAAGTTGGGATATGATGAAGAAATTATTAAAATCTAGATTTCTTCCTCCTTATTATGAATAGATTTTATATCATCAATATTAAAGTTGTAAACAAAGAAGTAGATCTATCACATAATATGCTGAGAAATTTTATGAACTTTCTACACGAGTCGATTTTATTGAATCTGAATCTTATATGATATCTAGATTTAAAAGTATACTTTGATGGAATATTGAAGAAAATGTTACTTTAATTTTTTTTTCAAGTTAAATGATGTTGTTATGGTATTAGAACGTGCTGAAGCTTGATCGAAAAAAAGAAAAATGAGAACTCAAAATTCTATTAATATGTCAACATTTCAACTAGATATGTCAAGATCAGCACATATTTCATTTGCTATCAGTAATGGAAGATCAGTAACCTCAACTGCACCAAGACCAACTAGATTTATTTTTAGTGGGCAAAATTCTTCTCAAAGGAATCCATATGTACTTAACTCTATTCCAAAATGTTACATATGTAATGAAGAAGGACACAAATCAAATGCTTGTCCGAAATATGATGTTGTGAATTTCACAAAGGTCATAGATAAGGATGAGATTGAGGGTGGAGAAGATTATGAAGAAATTCAAGAGAATATTATTGAAGGTGAAGAAGAAGAAGAAGAGGACTTTGGTCACTCTTTAGTCGTTCAAAGGCTTATGTATGCTCCAAAGAAGGAAGAACCTCCCTAGTATCATAATATTTTCAAAATAAAATATGTTATTGATGGAAATACATGTGATGTGATTATTGATTCTAGTAGTAATGAAAATATTGTTTCTTCTTTGATGGTACAGAAATTGGGACTGAAAACTAAAAAATATTCATATCCACATAGAATTAGATGGATAAAGAAGGATTATGAAACCAAGGTTACAAAGACATATTTAGTTAAGTTCTTAATGGAAAAGGTTTATTTTTGATGAAATTTATTGTGATGTTGTTGAGATGGATGTCTATCATCTAATTTTGGGTAAACCATGACAATATGATTTACTCAATTAAAGCTATATTATACTAGAAAGGTTGTCTAGTCGCTTTTTATAGTGAAAAAATTAATAGAAGCTAGAAGAAAGTGGACTACGTATTAGTTAAAATTTTATATTGTGGTTAGATCATTACATATTTGGGAACATGATTGAAAATAAGAAGTTATTTTATTTACTAACCATTAAGCTTTGAAAACAATCAGACCACTATCAACAAAATGCATGCTAGATGAATTTCATTTATTCAAAAGTTTTCTTGTGATAAAACACAAATTAGGAAAATCAAACAAAGTTATTGATACATTGAACCAAAAATCAACATTTCTGATTACAATGAGAGATGTAGTTAGTGGTTTTGAATATCTGATAGAACTCTATACAAAAGATGAAGATTTTGCTCAAATATGATGTGTGTAAACAAGGCAAATCATCTAAAAGATTTCATATTCTTGAAGATTACCTATTTTGAGAAAAATAGTTATATATCCCTCAAATGTTTTTACATGAGAAGTTAATTTGAAAGTTACATGCATGAGGACTTAGGGGACACTTAGGTCATGACAAGACTTTGAAAATAATAGAAGAATGTTATTATTGGCAATAACTTAAAAAGGAAGTTGAAAATTTTGTGCAAAAATGTCAAATTTATCAAGCTAATAAAGGACAATATCAAAACACGGGTCTGTACACTTCATTACTCATTCTAGATAAAACATAGACTAATATTTCTATAGATTTTATTTTAAGCTTACCACATACTCAAAGAGGAGCAGATTTTGTTTTTGTGATTGTGGATAGATTTTCAAAGATGACACATTTTATTACATGTAAAAAGATTAATAATCACATTCAAATAAAAAATTTATTTTTCAAGAAAATAGTTCATTTGCATGAAGTGCTTACGATTATTACATCTGACATAAACTCAAAATTTATGTCCCATTTTTTACTTTTTGAAGCAAATTTGACTAATGCCTAAAATTTAGTACTATGAGTCATCCACAAATTGATGGTTAAATATAAGTGGTTAAAAGGACACTTGGTAATTTAATTCATTGTATTTAAGGAGACAAATTGATGTGACTTAGTCATTGTATAATAAAACACACAAATTTAAAATTTAAAACTAGAAAATACTAATTTTTAGATATTTAAAAATATTTCTGAACAAATAAATAAATTATAATTCAATTAAATTTTAAAAAAGTAATAAAAATTTTCTATGTCGATCACAAGAATGTAGTATAATATCAGATAATATTTCAGATTTTTTCTCAAATAATATGATTTGTTATAAATTTAGACTAATAAATAAAATGAAATATATTTAAAATTCATGAAAAAAAGAAATAAAGGTGCAGACATCAAGATGACGTCAACGCCTTGACGAACGTAAATTAGGTGAAACTTTATTTTTGCCCAACAATTCTTACGTAAGTGAGTACAGACAATTTAATTGGTCAAATTAAGATTTGTAAAAACCAAAATAATTATAATTGAATGAAGAATAATTTCAAAATTTTAAAACACATAAATTATAATTAAATGATGTAAAAATTAAGTTGAAAGTAGGAAAAATAGAGTTCCGACATCGTGATGGTGATGCGTCAGTGATGCATCGAAATCCTAAATGTTTAAAAAATTATCATGTAGTGTCCACGGCCTCAAAGGCTCTCTTTAGATAATAATAATTTGAACAATTTCTAATTTTTTTTTCAAAGTCTAGAGATCAATAAAATGAGTCGTTGATGTGACTTAGTCATTGTATATTAAATGACGTAAATCTTAAATTTATAAAATTAGAAAATACGATTTTTCGGATATTTAGAAGTATTTCTGAACAAATATATCAATTAGAATTCAATAAAACTTCCAAAAAATAGTGGTAATTTTCTAAGTCGATCGCAGGGATGTAATATAATATCTGGTAATTATTCAGAATTTTCCTCAAAGAATAATATTTTCTATGAATTTTATACTAAGAAGTAAAAAGGAAATATATTTAAAATTCATGAAAAAAGGAAATAAGGGTGCGGACGTCAGGATGATGTCAGCGCTCAATGAACGCAAATCGGGCAGAAATAGAGTTCCGCCCAGCGATTCTTACGTAAGTGATTACAAACGATTTAATTGATCAAATTAAGATCTGTAAAAGCCGGAAGAATCGTAATGAAATGAAGTATATCTTGGTAAATTTAAAATCAACAAATTATCACTAAATGAAGCGTAAAGTAAGTTGAAAGTAGGAAAACATAATTCCAGCGTCACGGCGGCGATACGTCGGCAATGCACCGGAATCTTGAGTGTTCGGGAGGATAGTTGTGCAGTATCGACGACTTCTAAGGTTCTCCTTGGACAAGGACGATGTGGGTAATCTCTAGATCTCCTTGCGAAGTCTAGAGATCAATGAAATGGGTCGTCAAAATGTCTTCGGCGCCTGTCACCCGGCGGAGTGGAAAAACGGCGACTTTGCGGCTCTCCGGCGGCTGTCACCCGATAGAGAGGAGCTGGATGGAGGTGGGGCGCGTGTTAGAGAGCTTCATCCTTAGGTCCGTGCAGCAAGAGGAGGCTCTTCATCGCATCTAGTACGCTCTCAAGAGGTGGTGACTCGTCTCTGGGCAGATCGTCCTCTTCCCGATGACGGCTTGTTTGTCGATCAATCGGAGATGATTTACTCGATGGATTCACGATCCTTTTATCGCGAATCCTTCAGCAATTTTAGTAACAATGCTCCGCAAATCGTGTTGACGAGATTTTCGCTGATGATCCAGCAATTCTGGTTGCTTAATCCTTCACTGGCGATCTGCAGGAAAGTCACGATAATCAGATAAAAATCTATGACTTTTGGTTCTAGAAGGATTCGAACCCGCGCCGATTACCTGATAAGTCTTCATTATCATGAGTTAATAATTAGTAAATAATATAGTTTTAGCCTTAACTCGTGATAAATAAACTTATATTTGTGTTAAAGTGTGAAAAGTGGTTTTCAGTTGATTAATGTGAATTTTTCGGTAATTATGTGATTTTATACGATTTTTACAGTCTTACTTTTGAGATAAATGAAGGAAAAGAAATTAAAGTAAAAATGTAGCAAAATCGGGGGGACCCGCCGGGCCCGCAAGTGGGTCGGAAGCGCAGTCACGCATGAGCTGCGAGCAAGGGCTCGAGTGGCTTGAACCGATGGGGGAACGTGTACGCCAATCCCCTTCCACGTCATTGATGGCCAGCCGACAATGGGGCAAGGAGTGGTCGTACACGCGCGAGAAAGGGACTTTGTGTAGAAATGTAACATTACTATATATTCGCTTGAAAATTCAGCGCACAACCGATATGGGACTAAACCCATCACCTTCCTCAGAAGAGGCGGGGACAACTAGCGCGGGTTCGAATCCTCCCAGAGCAAAAATTCATATTTTTTTCTTGGATTATCGCGACTTTCTTGCAGATCGCCAGTGAAGGATTAAGCAACCAGAATTGCTAGATCATCGGTGAAAATCTCGTCAACATGATTTGCAGAGCATTGTTACTAAAATTGCTGAATGATTTGCGATAAAAGGATCGTAAATCCATCGAGTAAATCATCTCTGATTGATTGACAAACAAGCTGTCGTCGAGAAGAGGACGATCCAGTGAGAGATGAGTCGCCACCTCTTAAGAGCATACCAGATGCGATGAAGAGCCTCCTCTTGCTATGCGGACCTGAGGATGAAGTTCCTTGACACGTGCCCCACCTCCATCCAGCTCCTCTCCGTGGAGTGATAGCTGCCGGAGAGCCGCAAAGTCGTCATTTTTCCGCTCCGCCGGGTGACGGCCGCCGGAGACGATTCGACGACCCATTTCATTGATCTCTAGACTTCGCAAGGAGATCTAGAGATTGCCCACATCGTCCTTGTCCAAGGAGACCCTTCAAGGTTGTGGACACTCTACGACTATCCTCCTGAACTCTCAGGATTTCAGTGCATCGCCGACGCATCGCCATCGCGACGCCGGAACTCTGTTTTCCTGCTTTCAACTTACTTTATGCTTCATTTAGTGATAATTTTTGTGATTTTAATTTACCAAAATATACTTTGTTCAATTATGATTCTTCTGGCTTTTATAGATCTTAATTTGATTAATTAAATCATCTATAATCGCTTATGTAAGAATCGCCAGGTGGAACTCTGTTTCCACCCGATTCGTGTTCGCCGGGCGCTGACATCATCTTGACATCCGCACCCTTATTTCCTTTTTTCGTGAATTTTAAATATATTTCCTTTTCATTTCCTAGTATAAAATTCATAGAAAATCGTATTCATTGAGAAAAATTCTGAATAATTATCGGATATTACATTACATTTCTATGATCAACTTGGAAAATTACCGCTATTTTTTTGGAAATTTTATTGAATTCTACTTGATATATTTGTTCAGAAATACTTCTAAATATCCAAAAAATCATATTTTCTAGTTTTATAAATTTTATATTTGCGTAATTTAATATACAACGACTGAGTCACATCAGTAATGATGTGACTTTACTGATGTGACTGTCATTGTATATTAAATCACGCAAATATAAAATTTATAAATCTAGAAAATACGAATTTTTGGATATTTAGAAGTATTTCTGAACAAATATATCAAGTAGAATTCAATAAAACTTCCAAAAATAGCGGTAATTTTCCAGGTCGATCATAAAGATGTAATATAATATCTGGTAATTATTCAGAATTTTCCTCAGAGAATACTATTTTATATGAATTTTATACTAAGAAATGAAAAGGAAATATATTTAAAATTCACGAAAAAAAGGAAATAAGGGTGCGGCCGTCAGGATGACATCAGCACCCGGCGAACGCGAATTGGCCAGAAATAGAGTTCCGCCCGATGATTCTTATGTAAGTGATTACAAACGATTTAATTGATCAAATTAAGATCTGTAAAAGACGGAAGAATCGTAATGAAATGAAGTATATGTTGGTAAATTTAAAATCAACAAATTATCACTAAATGAAACGAAAATTAAGTTGAAAGTAGGAAAACAGAGTTTCAGCATCGCGACGGCGATGCGTCGGCGATGCACCGAAATTCTGAGTGTTCGGGAGGATCGTCGTGCAGTGTCCATGGCCTCGAAGGCTCTCCTTGGACAACCACGACGTGGGCAATCTCTAGATCTTCTCGCGAAGTCTAGAGATTAATGAAATGGGTCGTCGAATCGTCTCCCGTGGCTGTCACCTGGCGGAGCGAAAAAACGGCGACTCTACGGCTCTCTGGCGGCTGTCACCCGACGGAGAGGAGCTGGATGGAGGTGGGGCGCGTGTCAGGGAACTTCATCCTCAGGTCTGCGCAGCAAGAAGAGGCTCTTCATCGCATCTGGTATGCTCTTAGGAGGTGGCAACTCGTCTCCCGGCGGATCGTCCTCTTCCCGACGACGGCTTGTTCGTCGATCAATTAGAGATGATTTACTCGATGGATTTGCGATCCTTTTATCGCAAATCGTTCAACAATTTTAGTAGCAATGCTCCGCGAATCGCGTTGACGAGATTTTCGCCGATGATCCAGCGATTCTTGTTGCTTAATCCTTCACCGGCGATCTGCAGGAAAGTCGCGATAATCAGATAAAAATATATGAATTTTGACTCTAGGAGGATTCGAACCCGCGCCGGTTGTTCGCCCCTTCTGAGGAAGGTGTGACGCGGGTTTAGTCCCACATCAGTTGTGCACCGATTTTTCAGGCGAATATATAGTAATGTTAGCTTTCTAAGCAAAGTTCCTTCTCTCGCGTGTACGACCACTCCTTGCCCCACAGCCGGTTGGCCACCGGTGACGTGGAAGGGGAGTGGCGCACTCGTGCCCCTATTAGTCCAAGCCGCTCGAGCCCCTGCTCGCGGCTACTCCTCGACTGAGCTTTCGCCCTGCTTGCAGGCCCGGCTGGCCGGTAGGTCCCCCTCATTTTGTCTTATTTTTTATTTCTTTTTCTTCATTTATCTCAAAAGCAAGACTGTAAAAATCATATAAATTCATGTAAAATCACATAATTACCTAAAAATTCACATTAATCAACTGAAAACCACTTTTCACACTTTAACACAAATATAAGTCTATTTATCATGAGTTAAGGCTAAAACTATATTATTTACTAATTATTAACTCATGATAATGAAGACTTATCACACCCCTCAACTTAAATCATTGCTAGTCCCTTAGCAATGGAATTACGAAAATAAAAATTTACAAATCTCAAACATCATATTTCAATAGAGAAAAAAAAAATATAATTAGAAATGATGCACCTTTAAACACATTGGATTCTTATATCAAGTATTTAAGAATGATGTCAAGCACTTAAATGTTTAAACACTCCTTGGAATAACAATCTAGACTTCACTTCTTCTATTCATATCTTTATCACTTCTTCACTCATAGATGTATTTACAAGATGTTCCAATTATCAATACTCATCCAAGAATAATATTGATCCTACATTTCCCTTTTTCTATGGCTTGATTTTTAAAGTTTGCACTATATTTCTTCCTTCTTTTTTCTTTTTTTTTTATATATATAGTGGATAAGTAGTTTTTCCTGTAGACAAATTTCGACAATAAGAATGATGTCTCACACCCTCCATGTGTACTCTTCATTTTCAAGGCGTTCACTTTATCCACTTATTTTGCAGCAAGTGTTTTTCTATGCACGATTTTTGACAATGAGAATGATGTCTCACACCCTCCATGTGTACTCTTCATTTCTAGATTTTTCACATTGCTCTCTCTTTTTTTTTCTTTTTTTTTTCGAAATAAGTGATTTCTCCTCACAAGTCCTATAGATCAGGGTGCAAAAATTTCCATTAAACTCAAATGATTAATCAAATTTTCATATCAAGTAAATATTATCCATCAAGATCATGAAGTGAAAATCTGTAAAATCAAATCCATGTTATCTATCATGTATCCAAGGAGTATTCCAACATGTCATGCTACTAGATCATTCTTTTGACTCAATAATAATCTTCTTAGTATCTTTTGGTATCAATCAATCTAATTGATTTAATTTTTCATGCATGCAATATGATGTAAGAAATTTGTAAATTAGATAGTTCTGATAGTTTTGTTTTCTATTTTCAGTTCTATTTTAGCAGCAATAAATTTGTCAAAAATAAATCAAAACTATCTTCTTTATAGCTGTAATTTCGAATTTCAGTAATATATGTCTAAGGGATTGAAATGTGAGAAAAGGGTCTCTATAATTTCAAATTTCGGGTTGTTTTTTCGTCTACTGTTTTTGACAGTCTGTTGTTCCTAATAGAAAACCAGAAAATAGATGTTGCAGTTTTTCCGAATTTTATTTTATTTTTATTTTTTTAGTTGCTGTTCTAAGTTGAATAAAATGCAAACACATGTTCTTAATCGTCTTACAGCATAAATTAATAATGAATACTTCACCCCCCAACTTAAAAATGACATTGTCCTCAATGACACAGAAAAATTAAAACAGAATATGTAGAAAATATAATTTTCAAGTGAAGCATGCATTTAAGCATTAAAAATGTTGTCATAAATGATAAAGCTCCAAAAGACATCACCTCAACCTCGTTTTTAATTTTCCACTTCATCTTACACTCCTCCTCCTACACTTTTTCGAAAAAACAAATATAGAAACAAGTACTGCGAAATTTTAAGAAAAATAGAGCTTAAAAAAAATCAAACAGAATGAAATAAAAACCATGGGTTGCCTCCCATGCAGCGCTGAATTTAATGTCTTCAGCTGGACAGCTCTTAGATCATATAAGATGATCTATGGCCATCAAAATATATTTGTATCCCAAGGTAAGTTTCATGATATTCTTTTTCAGATTTAGCATAAATTCATATACTTCATATATATACCTTGACATACTTTCAGCCAAAAAAAAATGGAAATTAATAAAATTTTCCCAAAAATAATATTTCCATTTTGAAAAGAATCTTTCCTCATTTCTATCTTGTTTTGTAAGGCTCTCATTCATTAATAAATACTTTCTATTAATAGACCATAAAATGTGATGAGGCCATATAATTTTCGAATTAGCTCTTACCCAATCTAAATTCTTTTCATCTAAATTGATATATCTAATTCTTCCACTCACCCATTTCTTAATGTCTTCTTTTATCTGCATAATCTTCCCCTACTCCATTTTATCTTCCATACATATTTGTTCAATTTGTGAGGAGTGAAATATTTCAAGCTTAGAAGTAATTCTAATGGGCTGTGGGTTTTGAAGGATGGAAGGATTGTCTTCTTTAATCTCAGATCTAATGAATTCAGTAAAATTCAAATTTTCTCCTCGAAAGTTATCTCTATATTCATATTCATTATTTTCTTTTCTCCCCATTAGTTGAATCAACTCTTTTTCTAGCTTTTTGTTTCTCAACTTATCAAATTCTTCATCTTCCCAAGAGCTATCTTTTAATTTCGGTATATGATATACATCATCATTCTCACTATCAACATCCATGGCTGCAAAATTATGATTAGATTTATTAATTTCGTCTCCTACATCCCCCAAATCAATTGATTTTTCCTCACCTGAAATATATTTTTCTTCACTTCTGTCCTTACTCCCTTCTACTAAAATTTGGATGATTTTTCCATGATCAGCTGCTGTTTCTTCATCTAAGGGCTCTTTCTCCTCATCATCCTCACTATATTCATTCATCAATTGTGAGCAATAAATGATTTTATTCAAATTTTCTGCTACTATATTTTCAGCCTTAATATTCTCCTTTACTTCTAATGGCTCATCAATTTCTTCTAATAATTGGAAATAAGGATCAGATAAAATATTCTCACTCAATGTATTCACTGACCTAACATTTTCATTTCGTAGGTTTTTTTCTAAATTTATCCAGCTAGACTCTCCTTGCTGAAATCTTACTGTTGGACAGTTTCCTGAATTTTCTATGGGCTAACTAGGTAGCTGTCCCTCTTCTCTCTTATTCCCAAGAGCCTCTATAATTTGTTTCTAGTGCAGCATCATTTGATTCATAGTTTGTTAGATCATTTGGCTCATAGTTTGTTGCATCATTTGGCTCATTTGCTGCATCATTTCTATAGTATCAGGTTAGGTTTGAGAGGGCTGATTTTTCTGAAATCTGTTTTCTTGTTTTGGACGAAATTCAGAGTTTGAATTGGATCTAAGTGCTTCTAGATTTTGAATATTAATTGGGTGTCTCAACGAAAAATTATTCCCCCAATTAGGATTATAAGAGTTAGAAAAATATTTCCTATTTTTACTAAAATCGTGGGGTACCTACACTTGTTCTTGCCTATGATGATTTTGAAATTCGAAATTATCATTTTCACCATACATAGGACATGTACTATTTGAATTAAATTGAGGGTTAAGAGGCTTTCTAATATTGTCAATAAGTAAATTAAGTTTTTATAATCTTTGATTAATCTGAACCTCATTTCTAAATTTAGAATCATCATCATGATGTAATTCATAAATTCCTCTCTTCTTATCCCTGTCATATAATTTAAAAGAGGCTTGATCTCTAGAATTTTCACTTAAATTCTCATAAAGACTGTAAATCTCATCAAGGGTTTTCTCCATAAAAGCTCCTCCACATATAGAATCAACTATATTTCTATGTTGTTCTAATAATTTATCATAAAAAATTCTATTGAGCTGCCACTTAGGTATAGCATGATGAGGACACTTTTTAAGTAAATCTTTGAATGTTTCCCATGTCTCATGTAAAGTTTCTCCTGATCTTTGAGAAAAACTCCATATATATTTTCTCATATTTTGGGTTTTTCCTAAGGGATAAAATTTTCGAAGAAAGGCATATTCTATGTCTTTCCAGCTAGTTAATTCTCTATCTAATGTGGATAGCCAATGACTAGCTTTGTCCCTAAATGTATGAGAAAATAATTTCATCTTAATAATTTCCAGTGTAACTTGAGAGAGATTAACTAAATCACAGACCATATGAAATTTTTCTAAGTGCTGATGAGGTTCCTCTAAAGGCAATCCATGAAAATTAGGGAGCATTTGAAAAATTCTTAGATTTATTTCGAATTTAACATTGGGTGCTAATGGGACTCTAATATTGGATGCTCTTTGAAATGAATCAGGGATATAATAATTTTTCATGGCCATTGGATTGTTCTCAGTTTGACCTATACTTTCTTTAGGATCTATCAAAATTAATTTTCTTTCGGATTTTTAGTCTTGAATGAAATAATGAAAGGATTTTCTAGCCTTGGATGCAAGGATCTTCTACCATGCATAAAAAAATCAATAAATTCGAGGGAAAAGTTTAGTAATTGTTACCCTCCTTCAGTATGCTCCAGTCCTTGCCTTGCTTCTTTTTGTTCACTTTTTCTTAAAAAAAAATCAACAAAAAGAAAATAAAACAAGAGTTAAATTTTTTGTGTACTCTAAGAGAAAAATAGAAAAATACTAAATATTATGCAATACATCCCCAGCAACGGCGCCAAAATTTGACGTGACCTATTCGTTGTTTATTAAATCACGCAAATATAAAATTTATAAAACTAGAAAATACGAATTTTTAGATATTTAGAAGTATTTCTGAACAAATATATCAATTATAATTCAATAAAACTTCCAAAAATAGCGGTAATTTTCCAAGTCGATCATAGGGATGTGATATAATATCTGGTATTTATTCAGAATTTTCCCCAGATAATACTATATTATATGAATTTTGTACTAAGAAATGAAAAGGAGATATATTTAAAATTCACGAAAAAAAAGAAATAAGGGTGTGGGCGTCATGATGATGTCAGCACTCGGCGAACGCGAATCGGGTAGAAACAGAGTTCCACCCGGTGATTCTTACATAAGTGATTATAGACGATTTAATTGATCAAATTAAGATCTGTAAAAGACGGAAGAATCGTAATGAAATGAAGTATATGTTGGTAAATTTAAAATCAACAAATTATCACTAAATGAAACGAAAATTAAGTTGAAAGTAGGAAAACAGAGTTCTGGCGTCGCGACGGCGATGCGTCGGCGATGCACCGGAATTCTGAGTGTTCGGGAGGATCGTCGTGCAGTGTCTACGGCCTCGAAGGCTCTCCTTGGACAACCACGACGTGGCCAATCTCTAGATCTTCTCGCGAAGTCTAGAGATTAATGAAATGGGTCGTCGAATCGTCTCTGGTGGCTGTCACCCGGCGGAGCGGAAAAACGGCAACTTTGTGGCTCTCCGGCAGCTGTCACCTGACGGAGAGGAGCTGGATGGAGGTGGGGCGCGTGTCAGGAAGCTTCATCCTCAGGTCCGCACAGCAAGATGAGGCTCTTCATCGCATCTGATATGCTCTCAGGAAGTGGCGACTCGTCTCCCGGCAGATTGTCCTCTTCCTGACGACGGCTTGTTCGTTGATCAATCGGAGATGATTTACTCGATGGATTTGCGATCCTTTTATCGCGAATCGTTCAGCAATTTTAGTAGCAATGCTCCGCGAATCGCGTTGACGAGATTTTTGCCGATGATCCAGCGATTCTCGTTGCTTAATCCTTCACCGGCGATCTGCAGGAAAGTCGCGATAATCAGATAAAAATATATGAATTTTGACTCTTGAAGGATTCGAACCTACGCCGGTTGTCCGCTCCTTCTGAGGAAGGTGTGATGCGGGTTTAGTCCCACATCGGTTGTGCGCTGATTTTTCGGGCGAATATATAGTAATGTTAGCTTTCTAAGCAAAGTTCCTTCTCTCACGTGTACAACTACTCCTTGCCCCATAGCCGACTTGCCACCGGTGACATGGAAGGGGAGTGGCGCACACGTGCCCCTATCAGTCCAAGCCGCTCGAGCCCCTGCTCGCGGCTACTCCCCGACTGAGCTTTCGACCCGCTTGCAAGCCTGGCTGGCCGGTAGGTCCCCCTCATTTTGTCTTATTTTTTATTTCTTTTTCTTCATTTATCTCAAAAGCAAGACTATAAAAATCATATAAATTCATGTAAAATCACATAATTACCTAAAAATTCACGTTAATCAACTGAAAACCACTTTTCACACTTTAACATAAATATAAGTCTATTTATCATGAGTTAAGGCTAAAACTATATTATTTACTAATTATTAACTCATGATAATGAAGACTTATCAATTATCCTGCCCCTTTCTGGTGGAAGGTGACGCGGGTTTAGTCCCACATCGCTTGTGCGCCGAATGTTTGAGCGAATATAAAATAATGTTACATTTCTAAGCAAAGTCTCTTTCTCGCGCGTGTACAACCACTCTTTGCCCCACAGTCGGCTAGCCACCGGTGACGTGGAAGGGGAGTGGCGCACACGTGTCCCCATCGGTTCAAGCCACTCGAGCCCCTGCTCGCGGCTACTCCCGACTGCGCTTCCGACCCCCTTGCGGGCTCGGCTGGCCGGTGGGTCCCCCCCATTTTGCTATATTTTAATTTTAATTTCTTTTCCTTCATTTATCTCAAAAGTAAGACTGTAAAAATCATATAAAATCACATAATTACCCAAAAAATCATGTTAATCAATTGAAAACCACTTTTCACACTTTAACACAAATATAAGTCTATTTATCATGAGTTAAGGCTAAAACTATATTATTTATTAATTATTAACTCATGATAATGAAGACTTATTAGTCGTCAAATTGTCTCTGTCAACTATCACCTGGTGAAGTGAAAAAATAATAATTTTTCAGTTCTCTAGTGACTATCACCCGATGAAGAGGAGCTAGATAAAGGTGGGGCACATGTTAAGGAGCTTCATCCTCAAGTCCACTCAATAAGAAGAGGTTCTTCATCACATTTGGTACACTTTCAAGAGGTGGTGACTCATCTCTTGATGGATCATTCTCTTCCTAACAATGGCTTGTTTGTCGATCAATTAGAGATGATTTATACTTGATAGATTCATGATCCTTTTATCATGAATCATTCAACAATTAGTAACAATGTTCTGCAAATCATGTTGACAAGATTTTGTTGATGAGCAATTCTGACAGCTTAATCCTTCACCGACGATGTACAAGAAAATCAAGATTTAATTAGATAAAAAATGTGAGTTATGGTTTTGATAAGATTCAAACTTGCGTCGATCACCCACCTACATGAGAAAGTGTACTCAAATACTCTTATATAGTGACATCATCATGGTATCTCGTTGTTATAAATAAGTGATAATTTAGGTATTAAAATCTTCGAAAACATTATGGAGAAGTTTTATCGCCGATTTAATCCCACATCGATTATACGCCGAGTGTTGAGATGAATATATAGTAATACCACATTTAGAAATAATGAGTATTTTTCTCGTGTGTGTACGACCACTCGTCCCACATCTAGCTAGCCACTAGTGACGTGGAAGGGAAGTCACACACACATGTCCCCATCGGTCCATAGCCGCTCGAGCCTCTACTTGCGGCTCCACCCTGACTATGCTTTCGACCCACTTGTGGGCCCAATTGGTCGGCAGGTCCTCCACCTTTTTTAATTTTTTAATTTTATTATATTTTTCTTTATTTATCTCAAAAATAAGATTATAAAAATTATATAAATGTGCATAAAATCACATAATTAGCCAAAAATTCACATTAACCAAATAAAAATTACTTTTCACAATTTATCTCAAATATAAGTCTATTTATCATGAGTTAAAGCGAAAACTAGATTATTTATTAATTATTAACTCATGATAATTAAGACTTATCACAAATCAAGATAATGAGATCTTGCCTTAGCTCAAACATAATTCACATACAATTCTATGATAAATTGGTCTATAAATTACTCTCTATTTTTTATTGTTTATTTTTTCCCACTAAAAGTCCCTCTTGACTTGATTAAAGTACCAAGAAAACTTGGTACTAATGTAGATACAAATAACATGATAGAATACATCCAAACAATACATGAGAATGTAAAGAAGTGTCTTACAACTAATTATTCAAACTATAAGGAAAAGGCAAATAGAAAAAGAAGAAGGAAGATATTTGAAGTTGGTGATTTTGTTATGATATACTTAAGAAAAGAACGATTGACACTAAGAAATAATCACAAACTCAATCCACAAAAGTATGATCCATTTAAAGTCCTTCAAAAGATTAATGATAATGCATATGTCATTGACTTACTAGAGACAATGGAAATCTTAAGCCATTCCCTTCTCAAGTTTGGCTGCATCAATCATTCCATTGTGTTGGTGTTATCTACTATGTGAAGGAGAACCTAATGGCTTAAGGAAAATCTATGCACCATCTCTCTTGACTAGGTCTACATTGAATATATACGAATATCTATTAATTATCCATGCCATCATTTTGTAATTGTTCTTAATTTAGGCAAGCTAGTGCTCAAAATTTAGGAGTAGATTACAACAAATATAAGGAGTTGACCTGAGATGAAAAATCTAGTAGATTGCTCCACATAGAGCAAATGTAAACACTAAGGATGTAGGAGAACCTAGGGACAAAGTCCTTGGAGAGTGGATGTCAATTTGAAGGACTTATTATGCTGACAATTTTTATTTCAAATATAATTTACAACGAAATAAGTTATATTAGGTTTTGATATTGTGTTGTTACCAAGATGTCAATAGAGTGATGTTTTGACTTCTATTGAGAATTATTTTATTTTTCAAGTCAATTTAGGGAATACTTGTAAAGTGGATAGAATGGTAAATGTCTTTGTCTAGAATGAAGAGAAATTTGTGAAAATAGTGTAAGAAAAAGGTTACTAATCCAATATTTTGTTTATAATTCTAAAGAAGAGTATTGAAATCTATGAGAAGGGACCCATGGAAAATAGACAAGGCCAAGGGAAGGCCAAACTACGTGGAATATTAAGGTCCTAAATGATTTTGAAGTTATTATATCAACCTACTGAAATAGTGTGTACCAACTGAAAAACTATGTTGACTCAAAAAATCATGTGTTGATCCATTGTGTTGACTCAGATTATTTTGTGTTCACCTATCATTACAACATTTCCTATAAATAGCTTAAAATCAATTCATCCCCCCCCTCTTAGTATATTTTCTTGGCTATTATGTGCGAACAAAATTAACGCTTTAGTGCACTTTGACTAAACTTACTAGTCAGTCTACTTGTTGTTGACTTGTTACAAATGAAATTTATTCGAAAGTTATTAGTTCATATTTCAAATCAAGAAAAGATAAATTATATTTTAATTTAAATTTTTAGGTTATAATTAATATGAATTTAATGTTCTTTATATTCAATGATTTAAACTTGGCAATCATATATTGAAGTCTTAATTGAACTGTTATTATTTCAACTCTAACATTTGAATCTAACACTTTCAATATTAAGATTAAATTATTTTCTACCTTAGGCATATTTGAGAACACTAAACTACCAATTTAAGAAAGATATACAACTAAAGGTTATGTCATATATGATTGCATGGCATGTGTGGACACATATTGTAGTACATGATGTATGTGTTGCTGATAACATGCATACATTCATGCTTTGATGTACCTAAACTATACGATTTTACACATATACTTGATAGAAATCATGCATGTTATCACTTAAATGATTCATTTTGTGTAATCCATATATTATTGCTTAAGTCACAAGTTTACACATTTTTTAGCACATCTATGGATTAATGTTTTTGGACATTGTGGAAGTTCAACAACTCAATTATATTGATTATTCTCTAAGCTTACATGTGCAGAGTATTAGGCCTCTATTGGGAAAAAAAGAGACGAAATCCTAAAGTCTAAGTATTGAAAAATTGGGCCAAAGACAAACCCAAGGACTTAAAGGCATGCCAATAAGTCAATGGGCCTACAAGGGTCAGACCAACAGAGCACCAGCTGAAGCTTGGAGCTGAATGTGGATCTCCATGAGCCCAACCAAGGTCTAGCTGGTGCCAAGGCTGTGGATGCATATTTTCATGAAATCTAAATAAAGTTTATCTAGAGTCAAGGCTCAAGAAGACAATTGGGTCCAGCTGAAGCCAAGGCCCAAATATGCAGCCCAAGGCCCAACTACAAGGAGCTCAGCTGTAGCCCAAGGCCTAATCGGGCTGGCTGAGGGGACAAGCTTCAAATTGCTGATGAATAGAAGAAGAAAAGTAGGGCAGTGCTGGCACCCACTCTTGAAATATGTAGACCCTAAATGCCCTTGTAAATCGCTTTAATAGTAGACACAAAGGGAGGTCAATTGCTAAATTGTAAGAGGGTAAAATAGGAATTAAAAGGGGGTATTTAATGTCTCATGTCCCCACCTGTGGAGGCACTCTTTGGTGGTTCTAGACTAGGATTGGCTGTAGGACAAGACCCCAAGAGTCCCTCTTCTGTTATGCAAGTATGAATGAATTTATTTTGTCCATTTCTTGTGTGATGGAAGGGGTTAGCAAAGAGGAAGGGAGAAGAGTGACGTGGAAGAGAAGATGCACCTACCTGCAGATGATTAGAGCCCTAGGTTGGCGAGATAGACCCCTAGGGTAAGTGTGCGATCTTCATGTGCATTCACTATCCCATTAACTCCGAAATTAGGTAGGTTAGTATTAGGAGGGAGCAAGAGAAAGAGGCTTGCCAAGAGAGAGAGCACCTACTGGCTGTTGATTAGAGCCTTGGGTTGGCGATGTGAACCCCAAGGTAAGTGCTATTCTTTAGAGCTTTCATGCCCCCTATCTCAATCCTTGCATAGATAGGTTAGCATTTAATGTTCTATGTAGTTTAGAAATCACGTTTGCACAGCCTAACCGATTACATTCTTCCAAGTGTCTTACCCCTTAGGTGTAAGATACTTCCCCTCCCTCCATTCATCTCTCTCTCCCCTCAATCCATGAGAGTTTAAATTTTCACCTCAACCTGATCCCATTCCCTGTGGATATGACCCTAGCTCAATACTTTCTACATAATCAATCAAGAGTTAGACTTATAAATATTTTTGATTAAGCTCTAGTTAGGATTCACAACACCCTAAATTTAGACTTATCAGTTGCCACATGAGAAAATAAAATATTTATTCAGATTATATTTATGATGATTTAATTAACATGTTATAATGTTTATATGTTTTCTATGATTCATATGATTTAAACATGATGTGAGATAGGTTTTTCAATATATGACGATTATCAAATTAACAAGAAAAGTAAAAATTGATATAAAATTTAATTTTGTAAGGTTTATCATGATGGTGGCACATCATATTAGTACATAGATTAAAGTCAAAATAAAATCATATGATCTAAAGCTGACATAGGCATTTAGATAGTCTTCATTAAGTTAGAAAGCTTTAGTTCAAATGTAAATTTAAATAACTATACAAATAGAAAGGAAAAAGTCAAATATTGGAAGGTCAATGTATGGAAAATGTGTATTTTAATTGTTGGGTTATGACCCACACTATAATCAAGGAGGGGTCGAATCAATTTAGTTGTAAAAACTCCTTTTCTATATTTACTCAATTGAATCTACTTTTTCTCTATCTATAAGATTCGTGTAATCCCTATAGTTTAATGGTTGTAAGCCCAATAGATTTTTTTTGACTCTATGTTTACATCCACTCTCTAAGAACACTTTTGTTGTTGGGTTCTACTAAGTATGGTCGTTTGATCATACACTACTGATTATAGGGCTTAGCTCATGTGGAATTTCACCTTAAAATTCTCTTTTAGATTCATCATTCTAGGAGGTCAACATTTATTCAAAGAGACATCTCTCAATTAAGACAACACATTCATATTGTTTAAGGGTGATGTAAGGGCCATCCCATCTAGATTTAATTATTATTTTAGTCACAAGTTTATCTCAAAACTAATATGAAATGATTTAACTGTGGGAAGTGTTCAAAAGGAGATATGAGCTTAGAATATTTTTAAAATTCTAATGAAGAGGATGATGATTGATGACTTGGAGTTGTTACCCTCTTCTAGTCAATTTGTTGGTCATGGATTGAAGGCTTTTCAAGTTTCATATAGTGGGAGGAAGATCTCTTAATGCTTATGTAGCTTTCATTAAGTTAATGCATTTGAATGATGTTCTTTTAAATACTTCAGCTCTCCTTAGGTGAAACCAAAATGTGATTCATTTATCACATAATTTTCAGTCCTTAAATGGCTAAATAATTCAAAGGGGGGTGAATTGCCTTTTAATTTTTATAAGAATATATCATTTATATCTCTATATTAATATAAAGAAGCAAGCCGATAGAAGATAGTTCACACTAAATTTTATAGTGATTCAGTCAACTCCTTTGGCCTACATTCACTTTCGAGGACTCCACCTCGATTTCACTATTTCTCTTTGGAATATGATGTGACTTAGTTGTTGTATAGTAAATCATACAAATTTAAAATTTATAAAACTAGAAAATACGAATTTTCAGATATTTAGAAGTATTTATGAATAAATATATCAATTATAATTCAATAAAACTTCCAAAAATATCAGTAATTTTTCAAGTCGATCACAAGGATGTAATATAATATCTGGTAATTATTCAGAATTTTTGTCAAAGAATACTATTTTCTATGAATTTTACACTAGGAAATAAAAAGGAAATATATTTAAAATTCACGAAAAAGAGAAATAAGGGTGCAGACGTCAAGATGACATCAGTGCCCGGTGAACGCAAATCGGGCAAAAATAGAGTTTTGCCTGACGATTCTTACGTAAGTGATTACAGACGATTTAATTGATCAAATTAACATCTATAAAAGCTAGAAGAATCGAAATGCAATGAAGTATATCTTGGTAAATTTAAAATCAACAAATTATCACTAAATAAAATAAAAATTAAGTTGAAAACAGGATAACAAAGTTCCGGCATCACGGCGGCGATGCATTGGCGATGCACCGAAATCCTGAATGTACGGGAGGATCGTCATATAGTGTCTATGGCTTCAAAGGCTCTCCTTGGACAAGGACAACGTGGGCAATCTCTAGATCTCCTTGCGAAGTCTAGAGATCAATGAAATGGGTCGTTGAATCGTCTCTGACAGCTGTCACCCGGTAGAACGGAAAAACGGCGACTTTGCGGCTCTCCGGTGGCTGTCACCTGATGGAGAGGAGCTGGATGGAGGTGGGGCGCGTGTCAAGGAGCTTTATCCTCAAGTCCCCGCAGCAAGAGGAGGCTCTTCATTGCATCTAGTACGCTCTTAGGAGGTGGCGACTCGTCTCTCAACAGATTATCCGCTTCCTGACAACAGCTTGTTCGTCAATCAATCGGAGATGCTTTACTCGATGGATTTGCGATCCTTTCATCGCAAATCGTTCAGCAGTTTTAGTAACAATGCTCTGTGAATCGCGTTGACAAGATTTTGGCCGATGATTCAACGATTCTGGTTGCTTAATCCTTCATCGGTGATCTGCTGGAAAGTTGCGATAATCAAATAAAAAATATGAGTTTTGGTTCTGGGAGGATTCAAACTCGTGCCGGTTGCCCGCCCTTTCTGAGGAAGGTGTGACGCGGGTTTAGTCCCACATCACTTGTGTGCTGAATTTTCAGGCAAATATATAGTAATGTTATATTTGCAAGCAAGTCCCTTTCTCGCGTATGTATGACCACTCCTTGTCCCAAAGCCAGCTGGCCACTGGTGACGTGGAAGGGGAGTGGCGCACACGTGCCCCTATCAATCCTAGCCGCTCGAGCCCCTACTCGCAGCTCCTGCCCGACTGCACTTCCGACCCGCTTGTGGGCTTGGTTGGCCGGCAGGTCCCCCCCCCATTTTGCTATATTTTTATTTTTATTTTTTTTTCTTCATTTATCCCAAAAGTAAGACTGTAAAAATCATATAAATTTGTATAAAAATACATAATTACCCAAAAATTCACGTTAATCAACTAAAAACCACTTTTCACACTTTAACATAAATATAAGTCTATTTATCATGAGTTAAGGCTAAAACTATATTATTTACTAATTATTAACTCATGATAATGAAGACTTATCAGAATACACCCTTAGTTTTAAGAGAACCTTAAAAAACCCTTTACATTCCTAAGCTTTGTGAGCATATGACCAACCAACCAAGAACTCTACCCTTAGAGTTCTTAGGTCCCTAGGTTTTCTTATTGCAAGCACGCCATATGTGCTTCAACAAACTGTATGATTACATTGATGACACACTGTAAGTGTCTCAATCAGTCCACATACACCACAAGTGTCTCAATGAGGAATGAGTTTACTGTAACTTTGAATTCTTCTATTGTATTCACCACGAGTTGTTGAAGGTGTTGAAGAATGTTTGAGGATGTTAGATTAAAGGAGAAAGCTTTTGGGTTGTTGGAGAGGTGTCCGAAGCTTTCTTGAATTGATCTTATCCTTGAATTTTAGAGAGCTGAAGGTAGGTTAGGAAGAAGAGTTGTATTTAGAGCAACAATGCATCGTTTAAAATCTTGTATTTTCTCTTGCCCTATAATCTAGACAAAGCATCTTATATATAGGTAGGGTGGGTCTCCCCTTCTTTCCCCTTGTCAGGTCAAACAGTCGAACTAAAACAGGCCTTAATAGACCACACATGAATCTTAAAAAATATAAAAAATAGTAACCATAAAGAGTGAAAAATTCATAACTCTCTTGATACTTTGAATATTTAGGAACGGCTTTCAGCCCTGAATTCCTCTTTTAATCAGCTTTCCATTGAATAGTTGTATGTTTATATAGTTTATAATTTTTACCATTGAATCATTATGCCCCTACGTGAATATATGATATTAGTAATCTTCAGGGCTGAAAACTATTCCTAAATCTTTGAAGTATCAATAGAGTTATGAAATTTTCACTCTTTATGGTTACTATTTTTTATATTTTTTGAGATATGAAATTAATTTAGTATAAAAGGTCATACTATTGAACTATTTTGCCCCTACGTGAATATATGATACTAGTAATCTTGTAAAATTAATATCAAATCAACTCTTTAATAATTCTCTATGAAATTTTTTATCATGACTCCTTTTTCAAATAATTCTTTATTGATTAATCAAATGCCCACATTATTGAAGTCATTTGATACAGAAAATTTAAATATTAATATCTACATGTGAGATAATTCCATCTTTACCTCACACATAATTTTTATTGTCTTTACATCTAGTTCATCTAAGAGTCATATTTATGATAAAATTTTAATCATATAATCCATACCTCAAATCATTATTCAAGAAATTTAAATATTAATATATTTATCACATCAATTGTATATTCAAGTCACATTTAATTTCAAGATAATCAAGTTAATATATAAAAATCATCAAAATTATATTTTCTCTTATAGAGTTAATCCATAACTCAACAATCTCCTTTTTTATGGCTACAATATTTTAAAATTGATTTAGTATTTTCTTTGACATTCTATCATTTCTCCCCCTAAATTTCTGACTCCTCAATGTAATCAATGTTATTCTTATTTTAACTTAAATTTCCTTCCCCTCTATAGCATCAAAAATGATGAACAGTAACATAAGAGGTAAAAAATTAAATAATTGATCATCATCTATAAAATATTCAGAAAATGTGATTAATAGCAAAATATTTAGCATATTGCATCAAGTGACCTCATGCCAAGATGTCTAGAAATACTTTCAATTTTTTCTTCTGATATTGGTTTGGTGAATACATCAACTAGCACTTGAGCACATCAACTTCCAGCTGATACATATTCAGCTTCAGCTGTAGATAACATGATTGAATTTTATTTCATAGATAGCCATGAAATAAGACATCCACATAATATTAAGCAAGAACCACTAATACTTTTTCTATCAACCCTACTTCCAGCATAATCTAAATCACAATATGCAACAAGATTTAATTCATGATTTTTTGGGTACCAAAGTCCCAAAGATCTTGTACCTACTAAATATCTGAAAATTCTGTTTACTGCATTTAAATGAGACTCTTTAAGATTACTCTTAAAACTAACATATAAACATACACTAAACAAAATTGAAACTTCCAAGAAAAAACTTCAAATTAGGAGGGTGATCCTCCTGGTGAACTGACCGTACCCCAAACCGACACAGGTGAACAAGTATAGTATACTAGGGCGCTTCGAGAGAACCATGTCGAAGGAACTCGTATATGGACAACTAGCTGTTAAATACAATAATAAACCTATCATACCTCAATAAACCTTTTGATAAACTTCTTTTCCTTGTTCATCTGTATCTAATTTACACGAGGTTCCCATAGGAGTGTTCTTTGAGTTTAATCCTTCAAATTTGAATTTCTTGAGTAGCTCCTTAGTATATTTTCTTGAGAGATAAATATTCCATCTTTCATTTGTTTGATTTATAATCCCAAAAATAAATTCAACTCACCCATCATACTCATTTGAAATTCCTTTTTCAGTAACCTAAAGAATTCCTCACACATCAATGTATTATTTGATCCAAAGATAATATCATCAACATAGATTTACACTAATAACATATCATTATCTCTTTTCTTTTGTAAATAAAGTGGTGTCAACCTTTCCTTTACTAAACTCATTTTCAATTAACAATGTACTAAGTTTATCATACCATGCTCTAGATGCTTGCCTCAATTCATATAAAGTTTTTTTTTAATTTATACATATAATCAAGATATTCAGAATTTATGAATCTAAGGGGCTGAAGAACATGTACTTCTTCTTTAACTGTTTCATTTAAGAATGCACTATTTAGATCCATTTGAAAAAAATTAAAATTATGTGCACAAGAAAAGGCTAATAATATTCTCATGGCATCTAATCTAGCTACCAGAGCGTATGCTTCTTCATAGTCAATTCCCTCTTCTTGTATAGTTCCTTATGCAACTAGTCTAGCTTTATTTCTCACTATTGTGCCTTCTTCATTTAATTTATTCATATATATATATATATATATATATATATATATATCCATTTTTGTCAATTTTATTTTAATCATTTGGTTTAGGTACTAATTCTCATACTTCATTTCTTTCATTCTAAAACATGATTGTGTTCTGATTTTGTCTTTTGAATTTCCTATGATGTTTTACAATGGATGACTCTTCATTACTCTAAAAGGTTTTTGAAAATTTTCATCTTCATGATCTTTTTTTGTATCATCAATAATTTCTTTATCTTTGTCATTTGGTGATTTTTCAATAATTTCTTCTTCTTCTTGATGAGTGACGTGACTTAGTCATTGTATAGAAAATCACGTAAATTTAAAATTTATAAAACTAGAAAATACGAATTTTCAGATATTTAAAAGTATTTCTGAACAAATATATCAATTATAATTCAGTAGAAATTTCAAAAATAGCGATAATTTTCCAGGTCAATCACAGGGATGTAATATAATATCTGGTAATTATTCAGAATTTTTCTCAAAGAATACTATTTTCTATGAATTTTATACTAGGAAATGAAAAGAAAATATATTTAAAATTTACGAAAGAATCGTAATGAAATGGAGTATATCTTGATAAATTTAAAATCAACAAATTATCACTAAGCAAAGCAGAAATTAAGTTGAAAGTAGGAAAACAGAGTTTCGACGTTACGGCGGCGATGCGTCGACGATGCACCAGAATCTTGAGCATTCAGGAGGATCGTCGTGTAGTGTCCATGGCCTTGAAGGCTCTCCTTGGACAAAGACGATGTGGGCAATCTCTAGATCTCCTTGCGAAGTCTAGAGATCAATGAAATAGGTCGTCAAATCATCTCCGGTGGTTGTCACTAGGCGGAGCAGAAAAATGGCGACTTTGCGGCTCTCTAACGGTTGTCACCCGACGGAGAGGAGCTGGATGGAGGTGGGGCGCGTGTCAGGGAGCTTCATCCTCAGGTCCACGCAGCAAGAGGAGGCTCTTCATCGCATCTGGTACGCTCTCAGGAGGTGGCGACTCATCTCCCGGCAAATTGTCCTCTTCCCGATGACGGCTTGTTCGTCGACCAATCGGAGATGCTTCACTAGATGGATTCGCGATCCTTTTATCGCGAATCGTTCAGCAATTTTAGTAACAATACTTCGCAAATCGTGTTGACAAGATTTTGGCCAATGATTCAGCAATTCTGGTTGCTTAATCCTTCACTGGCGATCTGCACAAAAGTCGCGATAATCAGATAAAAATATGAATTTTGGCTCTAGAAGGATTCGAACCCGTGCCGGTTGCCCCACCCTTTCTGGGGAAGGTGACACGGGTTTAGTCCCACATCGGTTGTGCACCGAAGTTTCTAGTGAATATAAAGTAATATTACATTTCCGATGAACTCCCTTTCTCGTGCGTGTACGACCACTCCTTGCCCCACAGCCGGCTGGCCACCGGTGATGTGGAAGGGTAGTGGTGCACACATGCCCCCATCGGTTCAAGCCGCTCGAGCCCCTACTCGCGGCTCCTGCTCGACTGTACTTTTGACCCACTTGCGGGCCCTGCTGGCCGACAGGTCCCCCCCATTTTGTTATATTTTTATTTTTATCTTTTTTCCTTCGTTTATCTCAAAAGTAAGACTGTAAAAATCGTATAAAATCACATAATTACTCAAAAATTCACGTTAATCAACTGAAAACCACTTTTCACACTTTAACACAAATATAAGTCTATTTATCATGAGTTAAGGCTAAAACTATATTATTTACTAATTATTAACTCATGATAATGAAGACTTATCAATGAGCACTAGGTTCTGATTTTTCTATAAACTTCACATGAATAGACTCTTCTATAATCAATGTTATTTTATTGTAAATTTTATATCCTTCAGATTTTTTTGAATATCCTAAGAAAATACCTTCATCACTTCTAGGATCAAATTTTTCTAAATTTTCCTTACCATTATTTAACACAAAACATTTACAAATTCATATGTGATACATTTGGTTTTCTTCCTTTCAGCAATTCATGAGGTGTCTCTTTCGATTTAGGTCTAATCAATACCCTATTCAG